CAACGCGCCAAGACGTGCTCCACCAACATGTTCTAATTGCCATATTCAGGGACATATTAGAACTGGTTGTCCTACACGTCTAAATATATAGAACTCAATGAAATACACGTGTTTTGGTTGTTGTGTATAGCTTCAAGTTTTCGACCGCGGTCAGAATTCGATGTTGGTGTCCGGTTCGGTCGGGTGTCCGGTTCGGTTGGGAATTACGTTACGGCGGGATCGACTGCTGTCGCTTACTAATGGATCTAGAGCCGGGATGCTTCAGGAAGATTACTGCCTAAATACCTACTCCTCGGATTCTGGAAACCCAGAGAGGACCTCAAGCATGGCCAGCACGTTGACCCCAAGTTGTTCTTCTGAGACCCGTGATTGCTTGATTAGTTCGTCATTATTTCCGTCTGGAACAGGGCCCTGACAGGTCTGTTGTTGCAGATCCCATATATTTGCTTTTTGATCGTCCCAAATCCTGGTCATATTGTCACATGAGGATGCAAGAAAAACATCGTCCGCAGAAAACCCGAGCCCATTGACATAGCTCGTGGGCCACTCAGATCTCCGTCCTTTCATCAAACCCCAGCACAAGCCGGCTCTTGCCCTAACCCTAACCCTAGCATAAGACATGGTAGAGCCACGTGGGTGGTGTAGGCGGCGGTCAGGTTTGACTGGCAGTATGTTATCGAGACATTGCACCCCACGCGACATCACACACTCTCTTTTCTTTTTCCCTTCCCCAGTCTGCCTTATGGCTCTCATCAGTCAATAAGAATGGCTTGTCTTCACTCCGCGCTTATCACGACTTGGACCCCGAGTCCAGTTGGAGTCCGACAGGAATGAAGGACTGCGACAACACCCTGTTCCTTCCTTTCCAGTCTCTGCTTGATACTACATTTTGCCTCTTATTGGGCATAAGAATGAGTTGTTCATACATGCCTCCTCCTCTGTCCTCCTCCCTCACCGCCGATCTTGAAAGACCTTCGGCCGAGGGCCAGGGGATAGTCGGTGGTGCAGCTCCGGAACCGGCCAGAAGCACTATTACCACCCCCTGCCAGACGTGCGTTCGCCAAGCCTCCAACAAGCGGACTTTGATTTGTGTTTTCAGCAGCGGGTCAGCCTGCAACCGTTGTCGAGGGCTGAAACGGACGTGTCTAAAGGTACGTACAGGTATAGATAGCGCTGGCAGGGTGCTGACCGAGTCGGGAGGTGCCGGAGAAGTACGCAGCCGCAGCGCGCACCGTGTTCGACCTGGTCCGCGAGGAGAGGTTTGCCGAGGCCGACGAGCTGATCAAGGAACTCGACATGAAGATGCGGGCACCGAAGACTCGCCAGAAGATGTCTGGGCAAGGGCTGTCTGCTGGTCGGGTCCTCCGGTCGCAGGCCCGTCGCCGCCGGTCCGCGTCTCCGACCCCAGCCCTCTCGACCATGACAACGGCTCCCTCAGAGGAGCAGGAGCAGCACCAGCAGGCCCCCCTGCCGCTCGACTTGTGTGGGCCCAGCGGACAGGAGGCACCTTCCGACCTTGTAGAGGCCGTGGAGCGCGCCATCGGCCGGGCGACGCTCGAGTATCTCGGGTGGAAGAGTAAGTCAACCCAATCCTAGATCTGAAATCGTGTCTATCGCGCGTTGTAGTAGCTGACAGAGGTCTGGAATAGAGGGATAAGTCGGTTTTTAGTGCGGTGGACGGTGGTGCCAGTCTGTCATTCGTAGAGGAGCCTCATAAGGGACATGCCCTAAATCCCGTTCCATCCAAGTCGTAATGCCTTCAAAGTAGCAAACATACACAAGCAGAGCGTCGCGTTGTTGTGCTCCCACATTTAGTTCTTAACTGGAAAAAAAAACTCTTGCATTTCGACATGACTTGGAGACAGTAACAAAGACCTGTACAGAACATACAATCGATTCAAAACACTACCAGGCCACACCCAAGCATAAGGTAGAAAGCTCTCCTACCTTAGTCCTCGGTTGTTTCTTTTCTTTTCTTTTCTTTTTCTCCCTCCTTTGCAGGCAGCAGACCGCTTTGTTTGGGTTCTCTGACGACATTCTATCGTTGGCTTTTTCTTCTCTGCGCTGATGGGAATGAAGGGCGGTGGTATTATTCTGCCCTTTGCTGTACTGTACAAGTTTCCAAATATATATCAGACCCACCTGTGACGGCGCTAAGGCGGTCTGGACTGGCAGTATGCTTGCCACGTGGGCGGTGTGGATGGCGGTCTGGAATTTGACTGGCAGTATACTTTGCCCACGAGACCTCGCTCAGTCTTCCTTCCTTCCTTTCCTCCCCAGTCTAGTCTCTTTGTATGTACAATACTACCTTATAGCTCACTAGGCAATAAGAATGAATTGTCCGCATTGGGGGGGAAGAAAGAAGAAGAGGAGAGTGTGTGAGGTTTCGTGGGTACATACAATATGTCTATATCTTGAAAATATTTATTGCCGGTCAAAACCCTGACCGCCAATTATACCGCCCATGCGATGTCCACCTGGCCGCTCCACATTTGGGCTGTGACGTTACAGTATGTGAAGTATAATACTGCCTTACGCCTAACTTCTCGGCTGCACCCCCTCCCACCAAAATTCTTTCTCCGGTGCACACCCCCTCCATTTTTGGTTTAGTTTTGATACCTGACCTGTTTTGTATGGTAAAAGAGAACACCTAAAAAAATTCTATTTAGTTAAGGCCTTCCCTAATCGTTAACTAAAGCCTCCCCTAAGCTTTAATTAAGACCCCCCAAGCTTTAATCAAGGCCTCCTCTAAGCCTCCCTTAAGCCTTTACTTAAGTCTCCCCTGATGCTTCCTAAAGTGTTCCCTAAGCTTCCTATAAAGCTCCCCCATAAAGCTCCCCTATAAAGCTCCTTATGTAAGGCACCCTATAAGGCACCCTATAGGGCTCCCTATAATGCTTATTATAAAGCTTATATAAGACCTATAATAAAGCCCTATTGGCTTTATGGGGGCTTTTGCTATAGGCTTTATAGGGGCTTCACTATATAGGCTCTATAAGGGCTTTGTTACTCAGGAAGGAATCCAGGATAAGTAGACTGTTCACAATGGGGCCTGTCCTTGCCGTACAGTAAGGAATATCCATCAGTAACTTAGAAGGGACATCACTCCTTTCATACATTTGTACTTAATAGGTAGCAGGCGCAGTCATGCCACCTGCTATACCACCAAGAACCGGTCAGAAATCTATCTAAGCCGGGCTCTAAACCTCACTGAGACAAAGGTATTAATTAGCGCAGAGCCAACACACCAACACACAGGTGATAGTGATATAATGAACACCAGGAGGACTGGAAGTAGATAGACCAACATGAGTCAGGGAGCTTTGTCCTAAACCATGAGAAACCTCCCTAACAAGCCACAGAAGCTGCACGAGACCTCTATGGAGAAGGAAGTGGACAGGCTGATCTACGAGGAACAGCCCAAAGCAATCCAATCAGCATCATCAGTGTTAGGCATCGGCATCAGCATCAATCCAGCTTGCAGATAAAATACCAATGCCGCAATGCAGGAAGACGATGTGGAAATTGTCAGCAATAGCTATGGTCCACGCATTTCCAACACTGGTATTGAAAAAAAAAATCTGAATAATATTGGGATCAGTCGATAGCGCTCGTTGCAGGGAGTAATTGGGCAAATTCTGAGCCTAATCGGCCTTGAGGTAATGGCGTAAATTTCAAAAAATCAATTCGAGCGATGCGTGTGTGTGTGTGTGTTCCCTTTTTTTTGGACATAGTTTCCTGTACTATATACCATGCTATATATGTACGATTCATGGCTCGTCATGAACACTTAATTCGATGCGTCCAGCCTTCCTTAGTTCCTGCTTGCGGCTTGATTCTATTTGACTTCGTTCTTCACCTCTTCCTGTCGCTCAACGACACCCGCCTCGACACTCTTGACAGCCAAAGTTCCGGCACCGCCAAAAATATTCTCCATTTCTTCGAGGGAGCGGCCGGATGTCTAGATTTAGATTAGTTGTAATTTTGTACAGTACACGATAGGGAAAAGACAAAGAGTAAACGGACGCACCTCTCGCAAGAAAAACCACGAGTACGCGATAATGGCGTAGTTGAAGATGGCAAACATCAGGAACGTCCTCCATCCAATGTTCGCAATCGCATGAGGTGTCATCTGCGACATGACAAAGTTGAACAGCCACTGCGATGCCGCGCCGATGGCCACACCCACGTCCCGCGTCCGGTTCGAGAAGATCTCTCCCATATACAGCCACGGTAGCGGCCCCCAAGACATGTTGTAACTAAAGGCCTTGGCGTAGGTCATGATAATAGCGGCAATACCGGGCCGTGATGCCCCATGCGAAGATGCCGTCGCGCTGGGCGGGTGCGTCGCCACGATGCACGCGATGATGAGCATGAACGAGCCCATGGCAAAGGCTCCCGCCATGAAGGGCACCCGACGGCCGCCGATCCGGTCGAGGACGAACAGTTGAAAGGTGAGCACGCCCACCACTTTCACCACCCCAAAGAAGCCCGTCACCAGCATGTTGGAGTTGCCCGCTCCGACGGCAGAGAAGATCTGCGCCGCGTAGTACGCCAGCGACGTGTTGCCCGTCAACTGCGCGCACAGCTGGATCGTAATGGCGATGAAAATGCGGTATCGATTGGCGGGCAACAGAAGCTCCTTCAGCGTGAGGTTCTCCTTCACCCGGGCTTCCTCTTCGATGCCCGCCAGGATTTCGTCAAATTCCTTCTGCAGCTGCTCCGTCTCCTCGCCACCACGGATCCATTTTAGGGATTGTCGCGCCTTTTCTGTCTTGCCCTTCTTAGCCAGCCAACGCGGACTCTCCTTGACAGTGCACATGCCAAACAGCAGTATACTCGAGGGCAACAGTTGCAGGCCCAGGGCGATCTGCCATTGTTTCGTGATCTTGGGCTGGTCGACCGACACGGCGTAGGTCACCCAGTAGGCGACCATGACTCCCAAGGCGAAGAAGAGCTGGAAGCAGGCGCCCAGCTTGCCTCGAATCTCCTTGGGCGACATCTCGGCGGCATAGACAGGAATCAACATGGTGGCGGCGCCGATGCCCACGCCGGCGACCACTCGACCGGCGTAGAACGTCCCGAGCGTGTGACTGTTGACGACCTGGAGGATGGTGCCGACGGTGAAGACCAGAGCGCTGACGATGAGACCCCCGCGTCGTCCCAGCCGCGCGGTAACGGGCCAGATCAAGAAGCAGCCGAAGAACGCGCCCCCTTGAAGGATGGATACCGCATTGGAGTTGACGTTGGTCTTCTGGGCGCTCGTGTATCTAAAGTCCTTCTCAAACGATGCCAGCGTGAGGACGCCGCTGATCACACCGGTGTCAAAAGCAAAGGCAAACGAGCCCATACAGCTGACAGCGACGATGTAGATGACTCGGAGCAGGCCGAGCGTGCGAGCCATGCTGAAGATAAAACTGCCCGTCGCACGGCTCGTTCTGCAGTTTGAAAAATCGGCCCAAGGTCCCTCTGATGTAAGAAGAGGTTGCCGGCCGCGGGACGCAGCAACAGCTTAATAGTGGCCAGCCGCGTCATCCATCTTAAAGCAATTTTCCTTTTTCAAATCCTTGCCAGCTGCGTCTCCATGCGTGCAGCGACCAAGACGACGGGCAAGTCCGACATAGCAGCGTCTCGTCCACCCAGAGAGCTCGTCTGGTTCCTTGGATTGGGAACCGCAGCGGCCGAGGCAGTCCATCTCGACTGGCACCGGCGCTTTACGCGTCAGCCAGGCCCTAAGGAAGGCATGGGGGGTGGTGGTTGGCTGGCGACGATGATCCAAATGATGGGCGGGATTGCGTGCTTCTTGGGAGCGTTAGTCCCATGCTTTTAATTCCCACGTGCGACCGGATCTGGGAGTTGTCTTTGACGCAAGGAGGAAGAAGAGAAACGGAGGGGCTGATCAGCATATCGAGAGAGCGACCGCAAACCCGCGTGTAGTCCAGTCATGGTCTCACTGATCTTGGTCGTGGTCGCGTGTATCCTGTATTCTCCGCAACATCTGCTCTTGGCACATCGCGATGGCGCCAACAGCCCCGCAAAGTCATCTCGGATCATTCGCTGACCCCGGATTCTGTCCCAGACCAGCCCAACTCAAACAGCGCTTGGACGCCATTCTAATCCATCGAGTTATTCATTCAATGTGCTCGATGTGGATTCTCCATGGCTTTGGGAAGGGGAGATAATGCTGGAGTCAGAGCGACCTCCTGCAGCCTGAGGCCACATAAGTCACGTGCGTGGTTACTCGAAACTCGCAAAGGGGAAACGACAAGAAAAGAACGGCGAAGAGAAGAGAAGCTCGGTCAAAGCGAGGTTTCTATCTCACTTTTCTGGAATTGCTGCATAGTCGACCAAGTTTCAGCAAGCAGCACGGTCTACGGAGTTGTAAGCTCAGCCTGGCACCTTGATCAAGACCGAACCCAAAAGTGAATTTTTACTGCGATGCGGCTGACGACAAGCAGTCAGTGTTCCGTGCCTGAGTTCTATTTCTATGAATTACTAAGTACCTTTGTAAGTACTTTTTTGTTCCTTTTTTTTTTTGTACCACAATTCACCCAGGCAGAACAATTCGCAATCCCAGCTGTCGAACAGCAGATGAATTTCAATGACTTCGTACTAATCTTATAAACCGGAGGGGGAGGTTGATTTGATGGACGACACGGAACCAAGTTGCAACCTGCTCGAGCACTGTCGCCTGTGAACTCATAGGTAGGTTACATCCATGTCGATCAATCATTGATGATTGATGCAGCGGGATCCTGCTCTCGGTAGGAAAACCGCGCGGCACTGGCAGTGTTATCACCTCAATTCTCCACGAGCAATGATAAATGATCAAGGAAGGTCCGTGGATGCAGTACGGAGTACTCCGCAGCCCTTGTCAAAGCGCATCGGAGTCATGGCCTGCAATTTGTCGATAAGAATGATGCCGAAACAGCATTCCGCGCCCGATGTCACCTCACGGGAGAGACCCCTCGCCGAGTGTTGCGTCGCTTCCGATCGGCCGTGAATGTTTGCAGGCCTCGTGCGAGGTACGGTCGCTCCGACACATCCGTCATGCCAGATGCTGTACGCAGTGTTCTGGAGGGAAATTGTTCTTTGTGCCTGAAAAGACCAGCTTTGTGCATGCAAAAGTATTCGAATTGCAAGGCAGGCAGTCGTGTCCAGGCGAAAGAGCCATGTCGATCGCATCGCTAGCAAGACGCCAAGACCCGCTCGCTCTCTGCTAGTTGTCACTATTAGTTAACTGCGCCAATCGACTTCATCTCCATCCGCCGTCGATCGTCGTTCAGCGTCGTGTCTGCTGCATCTGGAAGGTTGGGCCTTCTTGTTCCACCCATGGCTCCAAACTGCTTTTTTTTTTCGGAGGTTCCGTTCCATGCATTGGTTCAGCATGCTGTTTCCCCTGTTCTGCGCCGGCCATCCCGATCCGAGATCCGCTGCGTCTTCCTGAGTGGCAGTGTTGATCCATGATATTCAGGTGCATTTCCCGTTTGGACGATAAGGTACCACCAGCTAATAGTCCGGGACATGGAGTGCGGAGCCACACAGCCTGTTCAGCTGGACAACAGTCGCAACGATGACGGGTTGCTCGCCGTGGATAAATCCAAATGAGGCGGGATGCGACGGTATTTATGCCCTGGAGGACGCCCATCCTGCTCCAGATGACAACATCCTCCACTTGTCTTGCATCATTGCCATCCCTGTCACTCCTTCTTTGTCCTTCTTTTCGCCGGTCAGTAGGCAATCGTTGAAGCTGGCCGGTTTGGGGAGAGTCCGTCTCCACCTCTCATTGGTGTTCCTGCTATTGCGCCCATCTTCGTCGCTGAGAAGATGGCTCGCCTTTGTCGCTCGTTTTGTTTCGGCTTCCTCCTCTCTGCGTCTCTCCTTCTCGATCAGGCGCTCGCGGCATCCAACTGGCCGTTTTGGAGCTACGTAACCGCGCCGTTTGAACCTCCGAAATTGAACATCTTCACTGCTGCTGGCTCAACTCCCGATCCCGGCTATTTCTTCATCGGGCCAAGAGCGGATGGCGTCAATGGTACGGCCGCGATGATTTTTGACCAGGCAGGCAACCTGGTTTATCAGGGCCCGGATGAAGTGACTGCCAATGTCAATGTTCAGACGCTGTTTGGCAAGCCCGTGCTCACCTACTGGGCTGGAACCATGTTCTCCCTCGGGTATGGATACGGCCAGGTTCACATCTTGGATGACACCTATAAAGAAATCTACACCGTCTCCCTGCAGGTCCCCTTTGTGACGCCAAATGGTACTACCGAAGCATCCTATATTGATTTGCATGAGAGCAAGATCACGGACCGCAATACCATGCTTGTCACTGCCTACAATGTCACCCAGGCGAATCTGACCGCTGTGGGAGGCCCGGCTGATGGCTGGATGCTCGCGGCCCATTTCTACGAGATTGACATTGCCACCAATCAAGTAGTTTTCTCCTGGAGTGCTCTCGACCACCAGGATCAGATTCCCTTGACCATGTCCCACCAAGCGATCGGAACAACAGGCCAGAGTCAGAGCGACCCGTGGGATGCATATCACATCAACTCCATTGAGGCAGTCGAGGACGGGTATCTTGTGTCGTTGCGTCATCTGTGGTCAGGCTTCTATCTCTACAAGAATGGAACGGTTAAATGGCAACTCAGCGTAAGCCCTCCTTTCCCAAGACTTTTGATTCATTCCAGGAATTGACCGATGATAGGGTGATACTGGTGCCGATTTTGATCTTGGACCGGGCTGCAATTTCTCCTGGCAACATCACATGCGGGTGCACAACGAGCAGTCTGACGGTCTGACTCTGTCACTGTTCAACAACGCAGGTGCCAACCCGGATGCCCAGCAGCCGCCCACGACCGGTCTTGTGCTGAACGTCGACCTTGCCAACATGTCCGTGACCAATTTCCGGACGCTGGTTGACTACGGCGACCCGATCTACTCTAGCAGCCAGGGAGACACGCAGTTACTGGACGGCACCACGACTGGTCATGTTTTTATGGGCTACGGCGCCAATCCCGTGCTCCGAGAGTACGACTCGAATGGATACGTCATCCAGTCGGCAACATGGGGGCCGAACAATGCATTCGCCTCGTACCGCGGCTTCAAATACGAGTGGCACGCCACGCCATTCTGGGACCCGGCTGTCGTTGTCACCAACTCTTCGGATGGAGTCGACGTGTATATGAGCTGGAACGGCGCGACCGATTATGACACCTGGGACGTCTATGGTGGGCCAACGCAGACGCGGGCCAACGCGTCCCTGCTGACGACGGTGCCTCGGAATGGCTTCGAGACGAAGGCGACGCTCACCGCACAGAATGTGAGCTACGTTCAGGCCGTGGCACGATCCGGAAACAATGTCCTTCGAGCATCGGCGGCGATCCCGTTGTAAAAACAAAAAAGACGGCTAATGAGGATGTTGTTGACCGTCTTCGTGGAAGCACTTCATTGACGGCCATTTCATGGAAATTTTTATTCAAATGTACGAACTTGTATATATTAATCCGATGGGACATGTATGTCATTAATAATCAGACATGACGAACCTAATAGGGATCCAAAGCTATGTTTTTAATTGAGTTGCAGTTTCTCCATAGAGTATAATAAGCAGCTCAATTTCATTTCGTGCAAATATTGCAAGGCTGGATATGATCAAGGCTCCCGTTGTCAACGCGGATTCAATTGCATGACATCATGACATAGTGTAGGTATAAACTGCAGTAGTAAGTGGTACAGCTCAAAGCATCATCACTGCTCGAATGGTGGGATTATCTAGATAGCTTAGCTAGGGAGCTTCCGTTGCCTGCCTTCCCAATCTTCACTGCATACATAGTATTTGAGTCACTGACCTACGTACGTACCCTACGTACGTACGCATCTCATGATACCGATAAAGTAGTCGAAAACAAAAGACATTTTCTCGAATAGTGCATGCACTACCTTGACTAATAATACTTCAACATGTCTGGTCTGACCGTCCAGACAAGAGAGAGAGAGAGCGTGTGTGTCCGCGCAACCAACCCGTCAAATCAACTACGGAGCAAACAGAATAGAAGCCATCCATCTGCACAGAAACTGTTCAATGGGCCACCAATACGACACTCTTGTCCTATGAAGTCATTGATCGTCCCGATGGCCTTCTCATTGTAGAGTCACTGACTGATCATATGAAGATGAAGCGCCGGAATCCTCGGTGAGTTTTTTTTCCCTTGTGATCCTTCAAGGAGGCGCTTTTTTTTTAACGAACTGGTATCAAAATATTCTTTTTATCATAGTCCGCTACAACTCAGCGACGAAAATCTTCCAAGTTCTGATCACGTCAACTAAATCCACACCTGCCACCAGCCCTGGTTCGCGAAAAAAGATGACCAGGCCAGGGTGGGGATGGAGTGGCCCAAGATCTCTGAGTAACGAGTCCAAGGAGTCGTTAAAGATTTACACCGGCGCATGAATAATATAATAATGCGGCTGGTACTTCCAGCTTATGTACATACAGTACTGCACTCCAAGGTTTGAACCTGCTTAGGAAAATGCTTTGCTTTATATGTATAGCCTCGCTAACCGATATTATTGATAGCATCGACGAGTTCCGTAGATCCGCAACTTATAACTTATGCCCGCATAAATGACAGATAATCTGGAACAGAATTTGCGGGATTTCTCGAAGAGAACAGCAAATAAAAATGTAATAAACAAATCCATATATATGTGGGTAGGAAGCGCGCCTAGGAAGTAGAGGATAAAAACCACAACTATACAAACAACTCTAAAGATCGGAGCTATACGGAGTAGTCCTTGACTACCTAGATTCCTGGCCATGTCCACCCCGTATCCATGTGATATTTAATTCTGGCCAAAACTAATAAACTATTAATAATAATTCCCTAGGATCGAACTGAAAAGCTGCAAGGTGTGTGTGTCACATGACGGAAAGCGTATATGATCTCTCGTTGGCCAGGTTTGGAGCAAAACAACCCTTGCTTGGAAAAGGAAGCCTGCAAACTATGGACCTAGTTATAAGTCCTTGATCCTTTTACGTGATGTTATTTTTTCATTATTTTCCCCCTTGTTATCTATCGGGTTGCATGTATGACAGACAGTCATTCGAGGATCGAGACTGGTGTTGTGTCTCACCTGGACGGAGGTGCCTGAACGTGTAATGTACTTTGTACTTCGCACAGAAAACTGCTTAGTACTGTAGTACATAGATACATTAGGTAGGTACAGTACATAGACGCAAGACACATGCAGGTAGCCGGCCAGCAGCAATGATCCGCTTCCCGAAACAAGCACTATCTGCCACGGGGAAGAATGCCACACTCATTATTATTCTATACAATGCTGTCATTTCCGAATTTCATTCAATACATTGCTCCGATTTGAATTATTTCCCGCAAACAAAGCAGAAGGATTCCAGCATCTGTATACAACACACCGTCGATCCGAGACACGGCAATGTCTGCCTTCTTTGTCTTCCTGCGTTCTTCGCAAAAGACAAGCAAGGTCTTGGCCAGATGTCCTTGCTGGCCATGAGCGAAGTGATGGCCATTGATTGCTTCTGTTTCGGAAGGGATCTTGCTTCGCTCTCGCTCCCTGTAGTACACGAACACGAGACGGATGACAGGTGCTGCGTGATGCAAGGAAGAACACGGGATAGGGTTACTGTGGCCATTACTATGGCAGTCTCGAAGGACTGGAAGAGAAGCAGGCGTGGCTGGATTTTCTATATAAGGGTGCTGGCTGCGCTGATGATAACGAATGTATATCCAGACACTGCCTTCAGAGACGAGTCCCCGGACAGAAACTGCTGACTCGATCAACTCAACTCTTGCTATCTTCGACCACCTCCATCCTCATCATGCATTTCCTCGCCTCTCTCTGCGTCGCCGCCCTCTTCCCCCTGACCTACGCCGCCGGCAATGCCATCGTCTACAACAACTGCACCGGCCCGGTCTACCTCTGGTCGGTGGGATCGTCCGTCAGCCCCAGCCAGACGCTCAAGCTGGGCGAGGACTACACGGAGGGATACCGGCGGGACAACCGCACGGGCGGCATCACCATCAAGATCACCCGCACGCCCGGCGGCCTGTACGACGGCAGTCCCCAGACGGACTTTGCCTACACGCTCGACGGCAACAACCAGATCTGGTACGACATCTCGGATGTGTTTGGCGACCCGTTCGCCAACAGCTCCGTCTCCGTCGTCCCCACGGACCCGTCGTGTCCGGTCATCAGCTGGGCGAACGGCATCCCGCCGTCGGGGAGTCAGACAGCCGTCTGCAGGGCGGATTCGGATGTTCAATTGTCGCTTTGCGCGGATGCAAATTAGGTCAATCATCTGAATGGTCGAGCTGGCACGAGCTGTGAATGTCGATCGGTCTTCTCCTTTGATTGACTATTATTTCCCTCGCCCCTTCACTTCTTGAGTGGCTTCTTTTTGAATGGTTTCTTTTTGACGTGGAAAATGTGTGGACATGATTGTCACTATGAAGGTTCACTGTGAGTGTTGTATGTAGTACCTACCTATATATACACATGTCAATATAGGAGTAGCTAGCAATGGACAAAAGACTATATGAATATATTCATCATGCGTGTGAACATCTGTGGACAACGTTGAAAAAAAAAGCATCACAGGTATCACAGTGTCAAGTATCATATCAGAAGTGCTGCCAACCAACAAGCACAGAAACAAAACAACAATCGCAGTCAGAGAACCCTCCGTCTCAGTCATCAAAGTCATAATCACTCGACATCAACCAATCAATCCTCTTCATCCACATCCGCTTCCGCTTCAATATCTGCATCCACCCTCAGCCTCCGCTTCAACATGTGATTCTCCCGCCGCAGCTCCTCCACCTGGTCCTCGTACTTCTCTAGAGCGTCGGCGCTCGCCGCGCTAAGCTCCTCGATGATCTTGAAGACGCGCCACAGCCGCAGGACCACGACCAGGGAGCCGATCTCCTCGACGATGCCGCGCAGAGCGACGTCGAGCACGAAAGCGACGACGATGACGAGCGAGTCGAACACGTGGAATTTGGACGAGAAGTAGCTGTGGTGGACGTCCGTTAGTAGATGGACATCTACCTAGGTAGGTAATAAATAATCAGATCAGGTTGGTTGACGTACTGCAAGCCAAAACTCAACGTCGCCGCAATCAACTCCAGCATGAACAGGCACGAAAACACCAGGCTGACCAGCCCCAACGCCTCCTGGGCGGTGCCCCAGCGCGGATCGATGCGGCGGTGCCTCTGCTTGAGCTCGCAGGTGTGCAGCTCGATCAGGAAGTCGGCGAAGATGCAGGCGACATCCACCGCGACGAGCAGCAGCACGAGGTAGTGGCCCCAGCGGGAGAACAGGAAGGCGCGCGTGTGGCGACGCCAGCCAGCAGCGTCGCTGTCGCCGAGCACCCCGTCGACTGCGTCCTGCTGCTGCTGCTGCTGGCGAGGATGCGCAGGATGCCAGGAGGGCAGGTGCCTGCCAATGAAATCGGCGACGGAGCTGCTGTGGGGGAAGAAGTGGGACGACGAGGCGGTGTCCAGCGGGCGGAGCAGGGGCTGCACGACGGCGGGGGAGGCCATTGATGCGGATGCGAGTATATATATATAGTATAGAGTATCGAGAGCGCAGAGACAGGTATTTACATAAGCATGGATCTGATGGGGAGGAGCGCAGCTGCTGGGACCAGGATGAGGGCTGAGGGCAGAGGGCAGACGTGCTGGACTGCGGACTGCGGACAGTGATTTGCGGGGTGCGGCGTGGAGTCGCCCGTTCTCTGCGTCGCCCTCGGACTTCGCAGCGCGTTCTCCGCCCGGCGGAGCTCTGTCCCCGCATGTCGGCTTTCCCCCGGCTGGAGACTGCCGGGGTCTTCTTTCTTCCCCCTCGCTTCTCTCTTGCGAATTCTGTGTGTGAGAAATAATATCCTCTTTCACTATCATTCCTCTTATATATGACCCCGTCTGCCCTCTGATCGGCCGTTTCTCCCCGCAAAATGGTCGCCCCCGCCGTCCGCGTCGCGCCCTCGGCAGCCACCAGAGCTCTCAACCTCCTCCGCACCGTCCAGTTCACCCATCCGCCCAGCTGCCCCTGCCATTCGAACCCCAGTCACCACCACCATCATCAGCAGCAGCAGCAGACGCTGTCTCTGGCCCACCATGTCCGGCGGCATCTGGCCACCCCCGTCGACCCGTCCCGCGAGAAGGAGTATGCCTTCGAGATGGCCGCGTCCAGCATCCGGTTCGGGCCCGGGGCGACCAAGGAGGTGGGCATGGACTTTAAGAATCTCGGCGCCAAACGCGTTTGTGTCGTGACGGACGCCAATGTGGCCAAGTTGGACGCCATGAAGCAGGCGGTCGAGGGCCTGTCGCGCGAAGGGATCGAGTTCACCGTGTTCGACAAGGTCCGCGTCGAACCAAAGGATAGCTCGTGCGTTTCACCAAAAAAAAAGATTGGGCTCTAGAACGAAAAAAAATCAAAGACAACTGACGCCATTGCAGGATCAAAGAGGCCATTGCGTTTGCTAAACCCTACAACCCAGATGCATTCCTCGCCGTGGGTACGTTGACCGGTTTTCTTCCTTCCATCTCGTTTTTCTATATACAATTACATGAGGATTCAATCGAGCTGACAAAGCTTCATGCCAGGCGGCGGATCGGTCATCGACACGGCCAAACTGATGAATCTCTACACCGTCTTCCCTGACGCCGACTTCCTCGACTTCGTCAACGCACCGCTCGGCAAAGGCCTCCCTGTCACCAAGCCCTTGAAGCCCCTGGTGGCCGTGCCCACCACCGCAGGCACCGGCTCCGAGACGACCGGCACCGCCATCTTCGACCTCGTGGCCAAGAAGGCGAAGACGGGCGTCGCGCACCGCAACCTCAAGCCCACCCTCGGCATCTGCGACCCCATCAACACCCGCACCATGCCGTCCGCCGTCCACGCCTCGTCCGGCCTGGACGTGCTCTGCCACTCGCTTGAGTCCTGGACGGCCATCCCGTTCAACGAGCGCGTGCCCCGGCCAACCAACCCCATCAACCGCCCCGCCTACCAGGGCGCCAACCCCATCTCCGACATCTTCTCGCTCAACGCCCTCCGCAGCACCGTCAAGTACCTCCCGCGCGCCGTCAAGGACCCCGAGGACTTCGAGGCGCAGTCGCAGATGCTGCTGGCCGCGACGCTGGCCGGCGTCGGCTTCGGCAACGCCGGCGTCCATCTCTGCCACGGCATGAGCTACCCCATCTCGGGCCAGAACCCGGGCTACAAGCACGCGGGCTACGCCGTCGACCACCCCATCATCCCGCACGGCGTCTCCGTCGCCGTCACCGCGCCCGCCGTCTTCCGCTTCACCGCGCCGTCCAACCCGGACCGCCACCTGGCCGCCGCCGAGGCCTTTGGCGTCGACATCTCCAACGTCAAGCGCGAAAGCGCGGGCGAGGTCCTGAGCGAGGCCATCGCCGAATTCCTCATCAAGCTGGGCGACCAGCCTCGGGGCCTGAAGGCGTTGGGCTTCAAGTCCAGTGACATCGACAGTCTGGTCGAGGGAACCATCCCGCAGAAACGGGTGCTGATGTTGGCGCCCAACCTGAGCGAAGAAATCTCGGCCGAGAAGGAGGAATTGAGAAAGCTGTTTGAACAGTCAATGGAGTACTAGTGAGCTAGCTAGCTGTCTAGGTATGTATGTACATATATGTATGTACAGTACCTAGTCTCTGAACAGATGACGGACATATGTCCTTCTTTCTTGTCCCCCTTTCCTGTACATAGCATTCAACCAGCCATATTCGAACAAGTAAAGAAATAAAGGACGGAGAAAGAAAAGAGAGTGTGAGAGAAAAAGAGAGAGAGAGAGAGAAATCGGATAATTTCAAACACTGAATGGTATCGCAGCACAGAAACAAAAGCAATGAGGCCATCAGTTTCATCCATCGTAGTCCGTAGTCGTTATTCCGGCGACCAAAAAAACACCCCGATCCAATCCAATTGGGGATGATATATACACACACACACATATATATAGCACCTTGCGAAATGATATATATCGCTATAAAGAGCATTGAACAGAAAAGAAGAGAGAGAGAGAGAGAGAGCAGATGCATGTGAGGGCATGGCTTGGACGCCTGACGGATAAGCACAGATGGAATGGCGCGGATAAATTATGGTAACAGTGATGATCCGATCCAGTTTAACTAACGGCTGTTGTCGGTATATTCGACGTCGGGTCGTCATCCAAGCTTGTTCTGCAGGCAGCACCAGACATCTTTTTCACTAGTCTGCGCATTTGAGATGGATCACTCGACTTCACACACGACTGGACTCGAATCTTCATTCTCATAGACGATGTCCGCTCCCAGCATCCCCATCGACGAGGCAATCCGGTCCAGCCATGTAACCGCCTCGGGATCGTCTTTGCCAGCGGTGCGTGGTGGCCCGCGGCTAACTTCGGAAACAATACGAAACGGCAGCGAAAACGTTCGTGTAGAGCTCTCAGCACTGCTGACGGTTTGGGGGCTTGACTCGGATGACACCGTTTCACTGCTCGAATATGTAATCGACGGAGTACGCGAGGCGATTTCCTCGACACGCGGTGGAGACTCGACTTCTTCGACGCTGATCGTCTGCAACAGCTTCTTGAGCGTCGTGATGGCGCTGGTGGCCCCCCGGAGGAGGAGCGATGGGCCGGTAAGCGGAAAGACTTGGTGGGGGATGGGACCGATGAAACTACCCGGTCTCGTGACGATTCCTTGCTGTCGTTGACTGTGAGCGGCAATGGAGTAGCGCAACTGGTCACTGAGCTCCTCCAGCTTGAAGCAGGTGGTGCGAATGCGCTGGATCAGAGACACCACCTCGTCGCGAGGAGTCGTCGAAGTGATCCCGCGCGCCTCACTGAGATAGCGAGGGCATTTGACCAGCTCCATAAAAATCACGTCCTCAATGGGCGCGAAGGCGGACCACTCGCCCGGTTTCTGAGAGTCTTCCTCGAGAACCCTGCGCGCAAAATCCTGCCACTCGTCCTCGTCCAAGAAGCACGGCTGGCCCTCGGACAGAGCATGGGCGATGATGAATGCCCGGAATGAATAATAACAAGAGCGACCAAACCCGGACATATGGGCCTTGACCCCACGCCGGAGGAACAGCTGCTTCGCCGCACGGGCATGATAGATCCACGCGTCCTTGGTTGTCTGCGCATACATCTCGTAGACGGTGAGTAGCATGATCGTGCTGAGCATCGCGTCCGACATGGCCGCATCCGTCGCCAACCCCCGGTAGACCTTCCTCAAGGCGTCAGAGTACATACGCTGGCTGGCCATCTGCAGCTTCGGGTCCTTGGCGAGATGGGCGAGATACACGGCGCTGAGACAGCAAACGGTTGCGTCCAGGAACGGATAGGAACCGAAGAGACTCCTTATATATTCCGGGAAGTCGGGGCCGCTTCCGTATCGAAACTGATTGTAGGTATACATGGCGGGAAAAGCCGTCTGAATGAAGTCCACGAATAGTCGCGGTTGCTGGCTGGCCAAAGACTTCTTGGCCAGAGATGGAGAAACATTGTCATCGATAGAGGCCGCCGCATGGCGACGCATGATCATCGAGGCATGTCCTGCGCCGGCTTTTGAGGTGGTTGTGGTGACCGTCCTCGTCCTGTCCGCATCGTTACCGAGACGTCGAGCCGCCTGCCGATGCCGCCGCTTCAGGCCGGGGCCTTCATCCTGAAATTTGAAGCCACGATTGTATCCAGGACACGGGCATCCGCGTCGTCGACATTGGGTGCACTGCGGACGAAGCTCGTCGCACTAGAATCCGCCTCTGTGGTCAGTCGTGAGGCCTCGACACGATCCTCTCTTGCGGGAGCAACTCCTGACCTTGACGCGCCTCTCACGGCAAACGGAACAGCCGGTGCTGCGAGGAACGCCCACCATGATGGGTCAGCAATTCTCGAGATCTACCTAACGAATGAAGTGCATAGTGGCATGTGTGCCATTGCAGACCCTGGTCGCGTGCGGCGCTGCGAAAGGGTGGCATGACCAACGGTCGGTGAGGTGTGAGGGCGAGGAAGAACTCGGCAGTCAGCGACCCCAGCTCGCGCGGGAGACGTTGAGCGTTTTGATGTGGACGGCGAGGGGCCAGCCTGCGGTCGCCGGAGGCTGCTGCGCCGGCCGGCAGCCAATAGGAAGGCGCTCCGCCGAGACGGTTCTTGGTCGAGCCCCGTGGCCACGGCGCTAACCCAATCCGGCGGGCTGCCTGGCTCCTTCCTTTCTGGCACGGGCACTAGCACTGGCGCCAACTCCTGCCCGGCAACCACGCGGTGACAGGCGGCAGGCACTGCCGGCTGATCTACGCAGCTAACTACGCTGAGAAAGAGAAGAGGAAATCCATAGATAGTGTGAGGGGTGAGCATTATTATGGACACCGTCCGGAGTACAGTACAGGACGTACTGTGTACTGTGTGGTAGGTACAGATACGCGAATAATAACCTCAACTGGCATTAAATCCACATGTCGAAAGAAGGAGGGAAAAAAAAGCACAACTGCTCTCACGCTCAACTAAGGACCTACGATCCCGCCGCACGGGGTCGATCTAGCAGAATCCAGAAAAGAAACGCACAACGCCCTGCCGGCTGCCCGAACATACCCCAAAAAAAAAAACAAAAGGTATAAGCAAGTCAACAACAAGTGGTATCAATGTGGTCGGAAGAAATCGACATTGAACCGCTCGGCCGCTTTCACGTGCCGTCAAAAAGATGATCTCCCAAAAGAGTTATTGGAGGGCGAATCCCACCATGAGGGCCCAAGGTCGGACAGGTTCGACAGCGTGCCGTCATCCGCATATGTCGTGTTCCCCTGGTTCAACAAGGGTGCCCCCAGGTTCTCCGACAGGAACTTGAACTCGCTACTGGTCGGAGCCCAGTTCAGATCGACGCCCTCAAAGTCGACATTCGGCGGTGGCGGCGGAGGTTGAGTGGTAGTAGCCACGCCTCCAGTGGCCGACGGCGCAGACATCGGGGGTGGAACCGACGTCAGCGTCTGGTCCGTCTTCGATGTGCCCAGTCGCGACTTCTTCGTGCGGGATGACGAGCCACTCCCATCGCGAACCACGTCCCCCCTGGTCGGGGACTGATTCGACGTGCTCATCAGACGCTTCGAAGCGGAGCCCGACTTGCGCATATGATTCTGCCATCGCCGTTGCAGACTGACCAGAAAATCGCGCGTCCGCTTCGCGTTCTCAAAGGACTGTCCCAGTTCGTCCAGAGCTCGGAAGCAGACGTTCAGATGCGCCGCCATGGTGGCGTGATCATCCCCCTTGGACCGACCAGGGCTTTGAGACGACGTCGAAATGGTGACAAAGATAAGCATGAGCGCGGCGGTAAAGATGATGGCGACCACCTGGTTGTTGATCCGCCGGAACGTGTAGTGTTTCTCGTACAGGCGAAGAAGGCGGGCCACAGCGGTAGCAGACTCAATACACATTCTCCGCGCATGGAGGTACCCGGGTCCTTGCCTGGGGTTTTGGGGCTGAATGTAGTTCTTCGACACCCATGGTCGGTGAACAAAGATGACAATCTGGTGGTACTGCATACTATTGCACTGGTTAGATCGGCCTGATGCAAATGGCGATGAGGAGGAGCAAAAAGGAGAGCCCATAACATACTGAAGCATCAGAAGGTGTGGCAAGACCGGCACGCTGTCGTTGTCCAAGTCAACCTGCAGATTGGATGGCAAGTTTTCTTTCCAGGCAAAGAGATCCTCGGTCACTTTGTAGTTCAATCGCTGCAGGTCGTGCTTGGCAATATCGGCACAGCCATACCTATTACTTCGCGTTAATTGGCAATGCATGCACTCTCAAAGGAAAAAAAAAAAGTCTCCCGAAATGGCATTCAACATGGCAGGCATGGTGGGGAAATACTCACAGAATATGTCCCAAGGGAGAAATCATCTCCCAAAGGACAGCAAACTGTCTACTGATCAATTCACTCGGATTTTTGAGGCCTTGACTGAGACCCCTCGCTTGGGCATCTGCCATTCCATAGGGATACCACGTCTCTTCTTTCGCACGACTGAGATCCGACGCTGGCTTGAGAACAGATATATCGCCAGCATTCATGCGGAACGGTCTGCCCAAGTAGAAACCCCAAAAACTTAATAGACAAAGATGTGAATAGATTTGTCGTGAAGGTGTTCCGTCTACCGGTCATACTCACTGGTCCGCAACGTAACTGCCCCAAAAGGCCACCCGTCGCACCTCAGCTTCCATCGCATTCATATTTTCTTTCTGGACGTAGGGGGTCATGTCGACATGCAAGCCCAGGTCAAACGCCAATCTCATGGACATGCCTGAGACGTACGTCAGCCTGAGAGAATGTATGTCGTCGAAATATCAATGCTCACCGCTATAGAGCCAACCGCGTGCATCCCGATTCGATGCCGCCTCGTGGCTGCTAAGAATGACTAAAGCCTGCACCGTCGCGACACAAGGAGAATCCAACTCGATTTCAAGGAGGGTTTTAGCCCGATCTGCGAAAAACTCAGAAAGAGACTTTGGAAATGTAATAAATGTTGGGTGATATCGTGCTTCAAAGGCGGCTCCCAGAGCGCACCTATTGTCCAAGATCAGCATGGTCGAACCCACGAATTTGGTCTTACGCGTAATTCTCACATTGCGTTGGTCAAAACTTCTGAATAGAAAGGGGTATCATCCAAGTTTTCTCTCCACTTCGATCTCGCCATCATGTACATTTCTCGATCGACCACGTACGAGCTGGGATTCTGCCAGGTAAAGTACAACTCGATCAGATGATCTTCCAGAGCAGGATCGACGGGCTGTCCGATCCGCAGGTAGTTCAAGAGATCTTGGCCATCATGACGGACGGAACGTGTATCCGGCCCGGGACGCTGTTTCGTCTCAGGTAAGGAGTCTATCAAGTTGAGGTTCGACGTCGGGCCGTAATAACGAAGGTGGCCGTCACCCGCTATCTTCAGGGTCCCCATTCGCGAGGACAGCTGCTCAATCACCTCCCGTTCCGCCTCATCGTCGCTGTCTGAATCGAAAACCTCGTCGTTCAACCTGTTTGCCTGTTGAGGGCCCGAGTTCACGGAATCAAGAAAGTCAACAGAGCGAGAGTCAGCACCCACAAAGCGTTCTCTCTCCGTAGAGGAGTTACTGGGACTATGCATATTGGCGTAGATGTTGTCTAGACACTCTGCCGTCGGCAAGGAGAAGTCCAACGCAGAGGGTCCGGAAGTGAGGCCATTCGTATTCCTTGGGTCCGCTCTCATGGCTGGATGAGGAGCCGGAGCAGCGGAGCTCTGCGGAAGAACCCCCGGATCAGGCTCCCTCATGCGACCGAGCGGCATGGCTGGATTGTGATCCGGGGCTTTCGCAGACGAAGAGAAGGCGTCAACCCGAGAGGTTGGCACGTTCTCTTTGTTCGATCCAGGCCGTCTCACCACCCCCCGCGGGATCTGGAGAGTATCGAGCACTCGGTTCATCCCCTGCTCGGCCTCTGGCTGCATCGGGGGAGGCTCCAGCCCATGATCGTAGATAAACTGGCATAGCTGATCAATTCTCGCAGAGAAGAGTTCAGTGGCAGCACGGAGGGAAACCCTGGCAAGGTCAGCAAGGGCCGAATGCAAGAAAAGACACCTAATATTAGCGGCAGCCTGCCGCAGAGATCGGTATCAACGACGACAGATTCTTCGTAAGGCTCCTTGAAACCGGACGACGGAACAGGTCTATTGAAACCACTCCAAGTGGACGGCTAGGAACGCGCAGAGGACATCAACATACTTCCTTTTATCGTCCCCATGCTGGTACTTGCACTCCTTTCCTTTCTTCTGACAGTTCTGACAATTGGGCGTACCCCCATCGCACTGGCCACGAGAGATGAGTCAGGAGGCGGGGCCGTTGTAGTTTATATAGTGACGGATGGTGCAGCATACCCTGATCTTACTCTCCCGGCAAGGGACACATGCCGTCGTGACATGCTTGCGGGGGGCCTTCTTCGGCTGCTCCGACGACTGCTGCATGGCTGGCTGAGACTGAGAGCCCATCAGGGCTCGAACTAGCACCCTCTTTAGCAGGAAAGGTCGAGCGTCGCAGTGATACCCTCCAAGAGCATCTGCGTTCTACCCCACGCCGAGCGGACAGCGTTCGTCAGACATGATCGATGCGGCAGGCGCAGAAGAGAGAAGCAAGAGCAGAGGAGATTGTAGCAACAGAGATGACGCTGGGCTGTTCAGAATTTGAAGACACGTTGGATGGGGAGAGACCCACTCGGCAGGAGCGTTCGTCGGGCGCTCGGCTGAGGGCCAACCGCCACCAGGGCAGGCACGCAAAGCCAATTATTGAGTCAGCTGCCCACCACGGAGGGAAAACCGACCGGCTCGACTGGCGGTGTCTGGCTGCGTGCAAGGCGCTGTCGGTGATGGGCGTGGCGACGAGGGTGTGGGCGGAGGGACTTTCTACGAGGATACACAAATCCAGAGTGTGGGGGAAGCTCAGTCGACTTCAGGCGGCTACAGGATAGAGATGCACGACGGCATTTCGCAGGTCCTGGAATGAACGCGGGGAGATCTGTTCCAATGAACCGCTTTCACTGGCGAATCACCGCCCATAAACTCTTTACCCTTTTACTATTTTTTTTAGGTTTTAAGAAACAGCAAACGATATCGATTATCTACGGTTTTCTCGCCTTACAGAGCTAACCCGATGATTATACTATCTACAGTACAGTCTGCCGCAGCAACGCTTACCAGTTGCTGGAGCGCTTCAGTGCTTCATTCTGAATGATCTCGATCCAGTAGCCATCCGGGTCCAAGATGAACGCCACATTCTTCATCTTGCCGTCCGTCAGACGCTTCTTCCAGTTCACGTTCAGTGACTCGAAACGGGCAACGGCGGCATCCAGATCGTCCACGGAAACACCTACATGGGGGATTAGTGAAACTGCAATCAAAGGTGTAGGGGAAAAAAAAAACTCACAGATGTGGCCGAATCCCTGGGGTTGCGAGTTTCCATCATGGTAAACTTTGCCCTCCTGTTTCTCCGTGCCATAGTTCCAGGTCAGCTCCAGGAGACCTTCCCACTCAGCCACAGGGTTCTTGGCGCCTTCCTTGACGCTGGGGTTGGCGCCAGGGTAGCCCAGGAAGTACAAGTTGAAGCCAGCATCGGGATTCTCGACAGTTCGTAGCAGAGTCATCCCGAAGACCTCCTGGTAGTACTTCAGGCTGACCTGGGCATCCTTGACCCGGAGCATGGTGTGGTTCAGCCGGTAGGTCGATGTGTCAGTCGAGGTCCCAACATCCTCGTCATGACGACGGATGATCTCAACCCAATAGCCATCCGGGTCCTTGACGAAGGCAATGTTCTTCATGCGGCCCTCGGTCAGTTTCTTCTGGAACGGGTAACCGGCGTCCTCCAGCCGCTTGCATGCGGCCTCGATGTTGTCGACGGAGATGGCAATGTGTCCGAATCCCCGGTAGGGCTCCGTGTTGCCGTTGACAACGCTGTAGTTGGGGTCATTCTCGGTGCCGTAGTTGTGGGTGAGCTCGAGAACGCCATTGCGGTCCGTCCAGTGGCGATCGCCAGAGAGCGACGACGGGCCGTCGTAGGCGAGGAAGTAGAGCGAGAAATTACTTTCGGGGAAGTCGAGCTGACGGATCTGGTTGAGTCCGAGGAACTTGTAAAACTCCACTGAGCCGGGTCAGCTACGCACGTGGGAGACGAGATTGGGGAGCCTCGAGGAACCTACCGGATCTCTTCGGGTCCTTGACCCGAATCATGGTGTCTGTTGCACTCCAATTCCATGGTGAGTCGACGCGCTTGTGGGGGAGGACAAACGGAGCGAAGAGTCAGCACGCACGGTTAAGCTTGTACTTGGAGGTGTCGGTGGCGGCCATGGTGCCGGAAGCTCTGCGAGAACCTGCAGCAGACGGTCAGTGAGCGACCCCTGGTCTCCAGGCGGAGATCCCACGTGGCAGAAAGTATGTACTGTACCTTGGAGAAATGACAATCGCGGTGCAGGAACGCTGGTAAGAACCTTGGGGACAACCAGAGAGCGGGACGAGAGTCGATGGACGAACATGGACGATGCCAAGAGCAACAGAGTTCGCTGTTTCGAGGAGGAAAGAATAATAAGGATAACGAGGGAGGGGAACCGGACCCCTCACGGTGGTAGAAAGCGGGGCTGAATGTTCAAGCGAGCCATGGTGACGCCATGAAGAATCTGTTGACATCCGGATTAGTAATTGTTGCTTGCGACTGCTGTGACGATACTATATACCAGCTGGGTCGGATCGTCGAATCCACGACATCATCGGGACGAGCCACTGATCGCGGAATGCGACTTGTCCGTGCTTGTCTTGCGCTGTACGTCATCGCCAGAATCCCGCAGGCAGAGGATAAAGAGGCAATGCTGCCTGCTGTTCTGTAGATCCATTCCACCAATTCTTGCCTTGGCCATCACCGAGTCTCGAGGATTTCTGCAAAAAAAAACTCTCGGGAAGATTCAGGGTCTCCACCCCAGACCCGAGATCGCCGTCTGGTCCCTGACTCCCTAGTTTTTTGTGCATGCATCGTTGGGATCACCGTGATCATCGTTACACGCCGTGTCCGCAGCCCGACGACAGCAGTCCACAGCCATGTAACAGGCCCTCCACATGACCACGATAAAGGTTGAACAAACCCCGAAGCAGTCGAAACGAATCACGATTATTGTGCTTAATAATATTTTTATTAATGGATTCGTGCGCGTTTCCCTGAACAAATCCATCGGGCTGACAGCGGATGGGCCGCCGTGCTCGAGCCCCGGAGGAGACCGATCACCCGCAGTTTGGCGCGATACCCGCGACAACAAGAATGGCAGCTTAAAACCATCGCGACACGCTGCGCTTCCGACCACCACCTATCCCATCCCGCCCTGCGACGGTTCCCCACGTCAGTCCCTGCTGGATCTTGACCAGCTTCGCCCGTCAGGTATTTGCCCTTCCCCTTCTGAGAGCCATTGTCTGTGCTTCTTCTTCCCTTGCTGCCATGTCTCGCACGCTCTGCCCGGAGGCCCGTGGAATCCCCCCGTCCATCCATTCCCTTGAACCGTCGAGGATGGCAGGCGTCTGTTCGCGTGCTTAGCCCCATCCAGCGTTCGTCCGCTCGGCTCGCTGGGCGCTCTTAAAGCATCGCAAGCTCTAATTCGGAGGGTTCTTGTGTCGCCTGTGCACCCCGCGTCCACCTCTCATTTCACTCCGCCGCATAGCCGGGCTGCCTTGTTTGTGCTTGTGTCGTGTGACTATTTTCTGGACAAAATCAAATCGTGCTTGCCCATGCCTATATACCTGCCGCGCTTCTCCCCCTGCTGCTCCAGACTCGGGTCACGAGATCGTTAAGAGAGAACACCATGGCTGAGTATGAACCTCCTCTCCAGGCTGGCCTCTTCCACCAGCGAGACGCTCCGTTTGGCGAAGTCTTCCTCCCCTACTGGGCCCGGAGCCACGTCCAATACGCCCAGAACCTGTTGGAATGCTCGGATGAGCCCATCGAATACGACCACGAGGACGAGGATTACCGGGACAACTGTTTCTTCTTCCCGGAAGATTGTACGCGCGCACCCGTCAAGGACGCCGAGTTCGAGAGCGCCAGTAAAGGCCCAGTCCCTTTGACGAGCGAGGTTGGCGGTGATTGGGATGACACGATGGCGACCCCCGAACTTCCCGACATTAAAATGCTCGACACAGAGGCCCTCAGCGACCTGCTGGAGGATAACCTCTCGCCTCCGGAGATAACTTCTATATTGTACGTCTCAGGGGAAATGCCGTGTCCGGAGGAAGCTGACACTTTGGTTTAGGGTCTTTGCTACGAACGGGGCCATCTTCGCCTACGCATCACCACTGCCAGCGCGTCAGCTGCGCAACCTCAGTGCAACGTACGGAGCAGCATATACATCCTACGCCAAAACCGCCTCGACGGGGAATCTGACCGGGGTCAATCCGGCCAGCCATCCGTCCTCTTTTGTCACCGCGCCGTCCGTTTCGTTGGGGGATGTGGGATCGATCGTATTCGAGCAGGACAACCAGGTGGCAGTGGTGACGAAAATCGCAGACAAGGTGCTTCTCGCAACGGTGGGGCCGTCAAAGTTGGAGAGTGCACAAGACACCAATGAGGCCAAAGTCGACAGTACTGCGTTGGGGTCAGACAATGCACCGACGGTCGAACCTCCGCCGAATGTACCGCACGGGGGAACGAATGGGCCGTCGTCATCGGCTGAACCTCCAGCCCAAACGACAGTCGAGTCGGCTTCCAGTCATAGTCAGAACGACCCCAATCGGCACCCGGACAGCCTGCTTGAGGCGCAGTATGAGATCGACCGCAGCAGCGATCTGGCACGGTTGGCGGGGCTCAATCTGAATTCATCTCCGGAGATTTTACTCGCCCTGGAATCCAAATCTGCAGCGCTAGGAAGATTTCTTAGTCAGAAGCTGCGAGATTTAGAGACTCCAGAGGACTTCTAGAATGTCACGGCCGAAGCATGTTGTAACGGGGCTTTTCTTTTCTTGATGTTCCTTTCAGCACGAATTCTCAAATTTACGCATTTCAAATGTCTTTTTTTTCATACGAGATATCCTGGCATCGGAGTTGAGGAGTATATGTTTTGCATGAGACCGGAACCCGTTGGACCTGGCAACATAAAATATTTGACATTCAGCCTTTTCTTCCTTCCCCCCCCCCCCCCCTCCTCTGCACATCACGGCCGTCCTGTAAGTAAAGTACCGTACCCGTCATGTTGGCTGTTAGAAATAGAATATGCAAAGGTCCCGCGGGTCTTAGGTCTGTCGGGCAATTCAATTCAAATCAAACAGGTAGTCCTGTTTCTACTAGGTCCCGCCGCCATGCTGAAATGCACAAAAAGACTTTTGGCACTGGGATGGATGTATGGCTGGAAATGTACTGCATGGTTGAGGCCTCAGAGAGGTAAACAAGAGGACCATATTCATTTGATGCATAAACTGTGAGAGAGCAGGACTCTTCCCTCGTGAGGTCAAATATGTCTCAGGAGTCTGAGAGCAGCCAGCACAAGGAATCGATTTAGAGGGGTATCATTAATAGGAGACGATGACTGGCTGGGCCGGAAGAAGCTTTTGGATTGAGCGACATCCGGCTTATGAGATGGATAGTAGATAAACCCCCAATGTTTCATCAAAAGCCACTGCATGGCCGACTCGATGTCTCGAAGAAACTCAGTCGGTATCATTGCCAATTAGACACTGTCGTAGCGAGGCTCAAGAGGTAGGAAGCAATTTGTTTCATATCAAGGGAGGCTATAGGTATATGTATGTATCTACAAAGAGGGGTCCAATATATCATCGAAGGGAGGTGGATCAATCTAGGATAGAATTCTGTTATCATGTTGCAGAGCTGATACTTACAAAGGCTTCGGCTTCGGCTTAAACGTCTATCAGCGTCTCGTTCACATCAATTATAGCCAACGCCAGAGGACCTTCGTGTGCGTTCAATAGTGTTGCTGTCGGTGACGACTAAACAGTAATCGAATGGATGCACAATGACATCGACCTCCTATGAAGCATAATAATTCAGAGTAGCTTTCTGCCCACAATATCGTCAGGAGGAACGACGCTCCTCGATATACGGATGGAGGAAAGGAAAGCAAGAGCCGAGACCTGCCTAAGCAGTCGCCATGGTACCGGGGGTGTTTACACACACAAATTTCGGCCTCAATATCCAGACGACCTTCTCTAGAGGGACACCATGTGCTTACAGCCATCAACGACTTCTCCTACTCTTAGCTTTCAGTGCATCTCAGATGAGTAAGACCGCATGATCTATCGGATATGCAAGGAGCCAGCAACAATCGAAAAGAGGGAATCGAGTCTAGAGTCGATGCATCTGGAGAACTTCCATAACAAGTTGCTCAGCATTCGCAGGAGATAATTGCTGATATGCAGGAGTATGCAATGTAAAAACAGAATGAGGTTTTAATTGCGATTGTTGCTATAAAGGTGGGCAGTGACTTTAAGACTGTGGAGGTAGATTCGGATGGGATGACTCCCCTGGTAACCAACGACGGATGACTCACTCGACTCGATATGACTCCCGCAGCTCAGCTGAATACCTATCTATCTGTACTAGTAGACCTGAGTATTATAAAAAGAGCATTATGATCCGATTACCTAGGTAACTTCTTTTATTTTCTTTCTTTTTTTTTCTTTTTTACGCCTCGGATATTAGATATCTTTGAAGATATGATGATGCTAATCGACTTCACTCCATATATAAAATTTGCATGAAAGTGTATATCACATATCAATCTCGTTTTACCCATCTATCCACCTACTTATCTCGCTTGTTTATTTCCCTATCTCTATCTGACAGATAAATCAATTAATAAACCAGCCATGTCATAAAACACAAATAATATACGGGGAATCGAACGGACGGACAGACAACTATCAATCGCAATTGAAACTACAACTACAAGTGTATATACAAGACCATATACCATATATTAAGATTTACGGCGAAAAAAAAAGGAGAGTGAAGGGGAAAAAAAATGCCACTAGAACAGAACCCCCTCACAGGCGAACTCTTCCTCCGTCTTCCGCCCCCTCATACAGATATCATCATCACTCCCGCACGACTAGCGCCGCAACCATACCCATACCCTGCTGAACAGGACAAGTCCAAGTCCTCTGAAGCGGACCAACACGGGCATAATCATGATCATGATGGCGATGGTAATGAGGATGACGACGAAACCATCATCACCACCGCCCTAAACGACCCTCGTGTGTACCCCTTCCTCGAAAGCCCGCCTTTCCCTTATCGACGGGAGAACGCGGTAGATTATGTCTGGAAGGTGGATGCGGAGTGTCGGCAGATCTTGTCCTCGCCAGAGTTGCAGAGGCAGATACAGCGACAGTTGCAGATACAGCGGGAACGACAAGATCAGGGGGACCATGCTCAGGGTCAGGATCCGTGTGAAGGAGGACAAGCAGCATCGTCATTTGCAGACGGCTGTCCGTTCCGGTTCATTCGAAAGGTGGTGGTTCCTGCTACCACCTCCAGCACCAGCACTGGGAAGAGCGACGACGGCGTCAAAGAGCCCACCAAAGAAGTGCTCATAGGCGACATTATCCTCAGGCGCTACCCATTCTACGAAATCCCGCCGGACAGGAGCGAGGAGAGGGACCGAGCGAGGGAGAAGAACGAGGCTTTGCCTGCTGGACATCCGGATTTGATTTGGGGGGTTGGCTGTATGTATCCCCCCCTGTTCCCTGATTCCTTTCTATCTACGGAGTAGGAACCTTAGATGCTAATATATGTGTGTCCAGTCTGGCTCCTTCCCACCTACCACGGTCGAGGAATCATGACCTCCGTCCTGAGAACAATCATCACCGACTGGGCCATCCCCTGGATGAACGTGTCTGTGCTCAAGGCATCTGCGTTCGTGGGCAACGACCGCAGTGTTGCCGTGTTTACGAAGAATGGGTTTGTGTTGGAGCGGACGGTCGAGAAGGGGAGTGCTGTGTTGCATGAGGCAAAGGGTGGAGGAAGGAAGGATATTGTCGTTTTGAGGTGGAATAGGTCAGGAGCAAAGGAGAGAGAGTGATGGTGATAATGATAAAGAAGTGGTCTCTCTCTCTAATTTTTTTTTTCGTGACAATATGAAAATGAGGAAATGCAGAAACCGCGCAAGTGATCGTTTATGTTATACTATGGCAACACTGTCGAGATAAGATTTATCTATACAAGGATTCTGTTGTATATGTATATCAGTATCCCAAGATTGCAAGATCACCTAGGTAAAGTATCTAGGAAAGTCTAAAGTGTAATAAAGTATCTACATGACAGACGCAAACACATCATGAACAAAATAGGAAAGAAACCATCATGTTTAAACAAAATCATCACATTAGATTGTGGTATATGCTCAAATCTATAAAAAGAAAAAAAAGAAATTATCTCTCGAGCTGACGTCCAACTCGACTATTTACCAAAAACAATCATCTCAAGTCGATATCAACTCGATTATTTGTCAACTTTGCTCCCTCCAGGGGAAGTATGGAAATGACCTGCAGTGCTGGCACTCCGGTTCAGACCCGATCCGTCTGCTTTCTCTGCATCAGTTCTTGCCTTGATGTCAGCTGGGGGCTGCTGCACACCGCTGACGTTCCTGCTCCCGGCTGGCGTAGCTGTCGTGCTCGGACTCAGCGGCGAGACGGGACTGGTGACGGTCTTCTCTCCTCCACTGATCACTTCCTTGATCACGTTCCACCACTTCTCCGCGTCCGCCGGCGTGTGCGCCTTGAAGTTGAGCTCCGTCGTCGTGTGGAACGCATTGCCAACCTTGCCGCCAGACACGTCCTTTCCCTTCAGGCTGAATTTGACGCCGTCAATCCCGCCGATCACGCACTCAGGCAGATACAGCGACAGCTCCGGCGTGGGATCTTTGTTGAAGTCGTCGTCGTCCTTGAACTCGTGCAGGTACCGCGCCGGCGTGACGACGTAGTACCCGGTGTTGTATCCCTTCACGATGGCGCGCGACTTCCGTTCGAGCGTTCCTTCGATCAAAGGCTTCGTTGAAGGGTGATCCTGGTTCGGGTAGGAAACGTTGGACATCGACCGCGGCGGTGCATCCGGATCGATGAGAATGCCATCGTTCCGCTTAATGAAGCGGGTCCATTCGTAGTCGGGGGGAATGTTCTGGGCGCTGCTGACGATGTCCCCGTACATGGCTCGCTGGCGATCCAGCTGGCCGCCCATGAACTGGAAAAACGAGCTCATCGCTTGCTGGACCGTCTGGAGGATGTGCGCCTCGAATTCCTGGAACGAGTTCTGCACCGCGATCGTATCCTGGCGGTTGTTGTTCTCCTCGATAATCTGCTTATTCAACCGGTGGTTGACCCCCCTTCGCAGCACGTACGGGTCGTTCGATGGCTCGATCTTGGTGCCAGCGGCCGAGGCTTGCGCTGCAGCATACTGCCCGAGCAGCTCGATGTGCTTCTGGGTGGCGGCCCTGGCCTTGTCGACGGCCTTGGAGCTTTTGGCGGCGCCCGACTGCACTTCCTTGGCTTTGCTCTTGATCTCTTTGTGCAGACGCTCAAGGGTGGGAAGGACGCTGCCTTTCAGATTCTTCTCCGTTTCGAGATACAGGTTCGAAATTCCCTGCGTTTCTCAGTATTGTCCCATCCATCCAGCTGGGAGCTGGTTGTGAAGCCTGCCTACCTTGGTGTTATTGCGCAGACTCTCAAAGATGCCCGCGACACCTCCGAGGCCCTGGTCGAAATGGTGGCCTTCGCGAAGGGGGTTGCTGACTGTCTAGACACAATTTAGCAGTCTGCAACTTCTAGTGAATTAAGTAGAGACGTCGCACCTTCAACACTTTCTCGTAATCCTTCGACTGCGACTTTTGGATTTTGGCTGTCGCCTCCACGTATTCCTCGAGGTAGCCGCACATGTGCTTCCATGCCTGGAGGCGCTCGAGCAGCAGGCGCGTTGTCTAGATAATCCATCTGTCAGCTTCGCAGCTTCATCCTCAGGCTGATTACACATACCTCGCTCGTGTCCTCGCCGATAAGGCTCTCATCGTCGCTCACCGAGGCGCCTCCATTGGTGGTGGTTGTCGCGGCGCTTTGCACCGTCGTGGTACGGTGCGGCAGCTGGGTCCCGACCGGGCTCACAGGGGTCGACATTACTGCAGATTGTCAATCACACGGCCTGTGTAATTCTCCAGGTCAGATCTAGCGATTGTTGGCTTTATTGAGGATTTGTTTTCGTGGGTGTGACAACGCAAGATGCGGGGAAGTGCGGGAAATCCGCAACCGTGGGTTGGGAGTCGGTCTTCACGGAGTAATACTACCGGGTCGATTCCAAGGCCAGCCAAGGGGATTAATATTTTTTTTAGAAAAAAAAAAATTAAAACACCCAAGGGAACGGGGACTAAGACATTTAGATGCAGAAAGAGGATGCAGCGGTGTCCAACAAGCCTTTCTTCGCGTCTTGGCTGGGTGTCGATCTGCGATGAGGTCACCACTAGGAACCTTGCTCCGTACGGACTGAGTACAGAGAAAATGACCTATCCACACCAGCCCCATTCGATGCTACGGCGGAGTCCAGACAGGAGTCGAATAGTCATTCTCAACTCTGTAATTCATACAGTACGGTTGCTTAACTGTTAAGGTTTACCTACTCCTACCGTGGTATAGAATCCCGAACAAGCTAATACCTACTGACAAAGAGATGGTGTGGTGTAAAATGACGGGAGACTTCCCCTCTGATGTCATCGATTTCTCCTTCCCATTTCGTCAGAGGTGAGGGGAGAAGTGAAAATATTAATTACTACTTATTCCGGAGTAGACCTTCAACCTAAGGATTCAATTATGTTGCTTGGTCAGCGGGGTCCTCTCCCACGGCGCTAACATGGATGGCTGCGACGCCTTTTCCGTTCGGGGCCGCAAAGCCACAGCACTCCCCGCGATAAGCTTCAATAATCTTCAATAACTACCAGGTACTGATCGAAAGAGCGCCGCGATCCTGGATTCCTTATTATCAAGGCGCACTATCAGCGTCAGTCGCGGTTTGTTGATAGTAAGCTTTTTAAAATAGATAGATGATCTTGGCGGAAATTGCACAATACGATGGGGAAACCCGTAGACGATGGATTGCTACAATAGAAAATTATCGAATAGGAGGCAGATGTATACTAGATGATTCTGAAGAGTGCGGGATTTTAGCTTTATGGAATCCAGCGTGTCGAGACTTTAATGTGTGCGATTCTGCTGTACTGTCCTCAATCATCGAATATCCACAATTTCATTATCATCAGGTCGTATGCTATTATGTAGTACATTCATGCTGATACTAGTCAGCTGTTCATATCGTCACATGATGAAACACTGCACCTGTAATGCTCCTTCCACCCATTTCTATGTGAAACACCAGAAATAAAACGCCACCGTATGGGAGATCACTGTCAGGTATCTATGAGAAACATGATCATAAGGCTCATCAATGTGAAAACCACGAACGCCAGGAGAGGGGCAAAGAAATATGCACAACCAGACCAGAATAAAAAAAAAGAAAAGAAAACCATAACAGGGGAAAAAACAAGCGGGAGACTTCGATGTGCTCTGGGAATGGATGTTTTGACTAAATCCATCCCGAACGCAAAGGCGGGCTCATCGAGTCATGTGGTCCGCATCAAGTCAAAGAATTTTTTGAAGGTATCATCGGAGGAGTCATGACGAAACGAAACAAAAACGGTAGAAACAACCCCCAGCACCGAATTGGTGTCTGTGATGGTCACATTTACATTAGTGATTATGCATCATCAGCAAAGGCGAGGTTGTCTCGATATGAGAAGTGAGAGTTGAAAGGTTCAGCGGCTTTGCTGAATCAGCCGCGACCACGAGCCTGCAGCAGGCGCAATCTGCGTTCTTCATCGTCGTGGGCGTTGTTATTGTGGTTGCGATCGCGGCTCTGGTCCCGACTGTTACCACGGCTGTGACTGTGGAAGAAAGAAGGACGATGATACGATTCGGTCAAGGCAGAAAAATGGGACCATCCACTGGACCTCACATGAGCTTGCTGGGGTGAGCGGGGTGGGTTCACGACATTATCACCCGCAGTAGCTGACTCATAATCAGGTAGGTCGCTGTTGTATGGGGTTCTAGGATTGGAACGTAGCGCGGTGCTGTAACTGGGAACACGACTGAGGCTTTCGACTTCGAGGTACTGGGGGACGTGATATGGCGTCGCCATCCCAGAGGGAAGGGTTTCATAATCATGGTCCACCGACGGTCTGCGGGACACAGTAGTGCTGGAGCCTTCCGGACTCTGAGAATGTGAGCCAGAACTACGATTGTATGAGAAATAATCCGACCCATGGCCCGAAGTCCGACGTCCGGGCTCGGAGTCGTGGCTGTCAGCTGCGTCAGGAGACCGGCTCTGGTTGACGCCGTTAGCATGAAGGCGCGAGAGGCGGCTATGCAACGCCGACGCGGAAATATCACCGTTAGACACAGTGGCCATCGAAGGAAGGTCTTCAGCGGAGAGATTGCGGCTGAGAGTTCCGAAGGGCGCCGCAGGCCCACTAACAGGTCCAGGGGTGCGATATCCGCTCACGTCAACCTCACTGTACAACTGATCAAACTGATGTTCCCCATACAACGGCGGCGCCTGCTCCGTAAGGTCAAGCAGCGCCCTCTGCGCATCCGCAGGAGTTTGGTCAACAAGATTATTATTGTCATCGATAGTAAGGTTCGGAGAGATGAAGATGGAGACTGGTAGAGTCGCTCGCAGCTTTCGACAAGGTAATATTAGCATGGCACTGTACAATGTAAAACGACGGAACCTGCAGAATCGTTTTCAACCTACCTCACTAGTATGTCCGTCCGGATTGTGGAGTTGGACTCTGAATTTGAGCTTGTGTCTGACCTTGATTCCCTTCGCGTCAGTGTCCTGGAGACACCTGGTCAGAGTCTTGGGAAGCTCGAGATAACGATGGAACTGGTAGCCCTCGGCCGATTCATCAATGATCTCCAGCTGTTTCTCTTCATCCAGCTCATAATCATCTGTTACGATGACCCTCGTCGTCTTGTACGTGTTGTAGGCTGTCTCGGGCTCGCCTGGGTTCAGAGAGAGGTCGTGACTCTCAATTAGCTGAGAGGTGATCAACCCGATCTTCAGTCCCTTCAAAAGAGGAATGAGACGAAAATCGACTCGCACAGAAGTCCCGAAGATCACGGCCTTTGTCGGGGTGCTGATGGAGTACTCGATCTTGTTGGGCCAGATATTCTCCACTGACTGAACGAGCGTCAGCCATTGAGGCCTTTCAGTTCACAGCAACAGCTTGACTTACCATCGCATGTGCCAGCTCCAGCGCGCTGGGATCCAAGGTGCGAATGATTCTCAGAGGTTTTCGGATAACAATATCTCTCGCATATTTACGACCGATCTCCGCCTTGAAGCGATAGGTAACCCAACTGTCATGCAGACCTTCGACGCTCTCTGGCAGCGATCCGTCGAGGATGACATCGAAGGGAAACTCGTAATTGTCCGCACGCAAAACCTCCGTTTTGCCTTTGCCGGGGTCACGGAATGTCCAAGTTTTCTCGAAAAACACCTTCTCCTTCATCGGCCTGCGACTAGCCCCGCCGCTGGTGGGCAGATGCCAGCTGAAAATGACTGTCAGTCGCCCTCCATTTTGCAAGAAAATTGGGCCCAACTTACGAGACACGAGACATGCCAGTCAAATGAAGCTTCAAATGCTTGATGGTGAGCGCTTCTGATAAGCAAAGCACCAAAGTGCCTTGCAAATGAGCGCTTGCAGCTTCATGCTCGTTTCCGCGGAATACCACGTATCTGTCATCGAGTCTAATGGCGGCGAGTCAGCTTGAAAGTCCACTTCTTCCTCCAAAAAAAAAATCAATTGTCAGGTCCTGTTGGGGTTCAGTCCTTACCTAATGTCAAAGTACTTGGCATAACTGGCACTACCACCACCACTGAGCAAACTCAGCGCCTCCATAGTGTCTCAAGCATACAATGATGCTGAGACCAGAGGCTGTGTGCAGGAAGCCCAGCAGCAAAGCAGGCAGATGAGGCACAGAAGAAGAGGTCGTGTGAGATAATGACAACAATGTGAAGTGAATGTGGGAAAATATTGAACGATAAAGAAGTTGATTCACCCAGCAGCGCGCCGAGATAATGGCACGCCCCTCCTTCCAGCAGCAGCGGCGGCAGATAACCCAGAATAGGCGCAACTTAGACCGGCCTAACCACGGGTCCCACTGTTCGATTCCTTGGTGAAGAGGCACCGTTTCCGTCGCCGTCGCAGGGCTAGTTGCTAAGTTGGCGCGGGAGTGGCAAAGACGATCTCACGGAGCTGTGCAGAGACTCCGTGCTGATATGAAAAAGAAAGAAGATTTCGCAATTTTACCAGCGGAGCCGTGCCGAGTGTGGACTACCCCCGAACCTCAGGGCAAGGGCTGCAGTGAATCTCTACAGTTATAAATGCATTGCCGACAGCAAAAGCCATGCTTGTCCGGGCCCCAGAAAAATCAGACGGCCAACTCTAGACAGTCACAGCCAGAGGGGCAGGCGTGAGGGGGATATGTGTATAATACGTCACAACTATACTGATACAGCCCTATCACCGGCCGGATTAGGCCAGGGAACTTACGGGAACTTCGAGACCGGAACATTACGGGCACAGCCCTGACAGCGGCTGCAGCCTGCCAGACAGACAAGCAGCAGCGGCCATTGCTGCGAAACCACCCTGGCTGCATCGGCCGTTAGGGCCGGCATGAGGTGGCAATGGCATGCATCCATGAGCTGTCATGTAATCACTCCATCCAGGCTGCGGGAACTGTGCCCAGTGACAGCGAAAGCTGATTAATCGACAGAGAAATGTCTAGATCCTTGTCTCAGGACTGACAGATCATATGGTGTGTCCTCGAATGAGGCATCCGGCGAACAGACTCGGCACTTGCAAGACAACAGCAAATAATCTCTTCGGGGCAAAAAATACTAATAATGCTAAGCTGATAGTCTCTGCAACAATTTGCCAGGGTTGCAATGCCAAACAGGGCGGTGGCTGACCCTTAAAGGAAATCCGCCTTTGTGATGGGGAAGTGCCTTTTCTTTTTCCCCTGCTGCTTACGGTACGGTACTGTTCTGTACCGTAATACCATACCCGCTCGCCATTGCGACTGCCTTGCCCGTTATTGCACTTGCCATTCCCAGAAGCATCGATTCGCCGGTCCAGCGAGAACCACATGGACGACATTATTCATTCTTCATCTATCGAAGAATCCGCTGTCTTCATCGGCTGCAAAGTTAAGCCACGTCAAATAAACGCCAGTCTGATTGCATCTGCAGCACATTTTACTTCCCTTGGCCTCCGAGAGGAATCTAAACGTCATCGCCAATCAGCAGGAACCCTGACTCTGCAGCAGGTCAGGGGTTTCCTGGTTCTCCATCCCTAGTTCTTGCAATCTGCAGATCCCGCTCTGCTCCACAGCACGTCTTCTAGAAGACCTCCCGCTGGAAGACAAGTTAGTCCACGGCCGAGATTTGCGCCTTTAATTCCTATTGGAGCAAAATTTCAAGCCCTGACACCACATCTCGGCAAGCGGACTATCTCCCCGAACGGAACAGCTCCGCTATCTAACATTTTCTCTCTGTAGGAGATCGAGTCCAATGCCTTTGTTTACCTTCTGCCGTCCCCCGTCCTCACTTATCACCTTGTCCCGCTCTTCTTCGTATACTGCTGGTTCTGTGGAAAGAAGCATCAGGTCCGTGGTGACAAAGTGATGACTGAGTCAGTCACACCTCAGGGCCGAATGGACCGCAACCGGCTATGGAAGAAACAGACAATGAGTCAGGCCACTGTACTACGTCGATTCGGTGAAAAACATAACATAGATGGCAGTTCCTTTCACTAAATCCAATTTCTAAAAGCCTAAACGTCGGCAAGTTTATCGACCATAATTCCACGGAGAATACCGAATGAACCGTGCCGGAGCCATTCGTTCTCGCAGTGTTTCTGCCGACATAACCTGTACACAAGCAAGAGCTAAATTCAAGGATCGACAATTGACATCCCGATCCTGGCCAAACTTGTCCCCGTCACATTGCGGCAAAGAGGGGCTCGGGGAATGTCGTGACGGTCGGGACGGCAGCCAGGGTTGGGAAGAGAGGACGGAGCCGATGATCTGATCGCGTCACCGCGCCACAGACGTCGGGGGTTACGGCAAGCCGGGATGGATGGAGACCTGCTCGGTTCAACCGCCTAGAAAAGGAATTGCTCGTTGTCGATCTGCCTCCCCACCGGACTTGTAACCAGAAAAGCTTCTCTCTTGCGGTCTTTGGATGCTCTTTGTTGTTCGTTGTTGTTGTCCCACCAACCTGGAGTCTAGAACAATGTCGACGTGATCATCAGGTCCTTCACCAGATCAAGTCAGCTTGCGTTATCAGGCGCCAATTTTTTTTTGCTCTTCCCGAGCGCCCGACCCACTGCAGATCCCCAACCAGCCTGACGTCGGTCAGCTGGGAAGAAAGACACCAGAATGATGAACGGAAGATCAATTAGCAGCTCGCACCTGCTGAACAGTCCTTGCATTCAACGAAGTTGCATGATGCACCTAGTCAAAGATACGAAGTACGCCAGGAGCGGTCACGCCGCTCGAGTCGCTGGCAGTCAGGACGGATTACTTTGTTAGTCTATGGAGATAACAGATGGTCTCCCACCAGAAACCTCGACCTGCGCATTGTCATAGCTGCACTGCCCTGCAAGTGCTAGGTTTTAAGTTTCAACGCTGTGCAACTTAGCTTGCAGCCAATAGTCCACTCCTCATGCCAATCGTACGGATATCAATGTTCTCGGGGAGAAGCCTAACAGTTCTGGCTCCACACACATGGCTTGACAACATTGAATGATTGAGTATCGACACGTGCAAATGCAGTTTGTCTGTTATCACTCTTGAAGTACGGAGTAATCTTTTTGGTTTCTGACCAATGTGCAACGCTTTTCTTATCCGGTGTGACGGCCTGTCTGCTCAGCTGGCACGCCAGCGTTGATAAGGTCCAATACATTTAGGCGATCAAATTTGATTTTGCCTGGCAAGATCCATCATCATATCGAAAGTCGAAAGCCTACCTAGCTAGGTAGACCCGTAGTATGCGCCAGATTGCCAATAGCCACGCAGGGACCGAGCACGATACCCGTGATATCCACTTCGTTAGGGCTTTTCCGTCATTTTTTCTCGCGGCCCAAGATGGTGATACTACTCTCAGCAGGTTCTGCTTGAAACCCGGTCTGGGTCCCTGACGGGCGGCCCACTTGGCCCGGCAGAGCTTTGCAAACTCAAAATACACCGATCGACGGGATGGGAAAAGAGTCCAAACAATTTATGTCTCAACGAGCCCACAAGGGTTGAACTGGTAGATAATTTTTATTCGCACGAGGATTCGATGACAGGGCACGGAGGATGGCACGGGAATTCCTTTATGGTGCAATCCATGGAAACAAAAGTTATTCACCAGACGGGATGACCTGTAGGGGTTGGTCTGATCGCTCCTCCTGTCTGTGGCCACCGTCTTTCGATTCTCTGCCACGCACGAATAAGCCAATTCCGAACTGACTCCAAAGATGATGGTTTACAATTACAAAGGTCGAAACAGCAGATGATGGCTGACCAGGAACAGCTTGAGCCACCAAATTGATACTGTTTGGAAATTCATTCACAATGTGCAGTTTTTATGATTGATGACTACTGATTGTGTCCCATGTTGAAATTCCCTGTACGGAGCACTGATTCGCCTATCTACGCATTCATTTCATGGATTACAGACTTCTCGATTCGGGGCTTCTCCTGTCAATGAAAAAGTCTAAATCTTCTTCACTACTGTCATGTCCCAAATATGACTATTTACAGAGAAGACGATGTCATGATCGATCCACATGAAAAAGATTCAACTACACCGGATCTACCCAGGACGGTCGGTTCCAATCCGGCAGGCATTTAACCATCGCTGGAGGCTTCTTCTGCCAATCGATTTTCTCCCCTGGACTGTCGACAGTGCTTGTCATGTCGACGTGGTCGTGAACGTAACCTCTCCGCTCCTTTGCCTTGCTGCTTCCATCGTTGGAATATCCAACATTAACGGTGGGCACGACCATGATCTTCCCCATCTCTTGTCGCCACATGTCTTTGGCCAGCAACGTAGCTTCGCCCATGAAGCATTCCCCGTCTTCTGAGCTCCGGAACTTCAATTTGCCCCGGGCGAACGGTTGTGCGTTCAGCGTGACCATCCCTCCCCAGCATGAATAGACTTGCAAGGGTAACTTTGACTCGTACCTTTTCCGGCTGGACGGGTCATCCCAGAACAGGTCGTCTTTGTAGGCCCACGAGCCGTCGTGAGGGATTTCGAAGAAGAGGTCTCCCACCATGGACCGCGACACCCAGACGTTGTTGAAGGTGCTCCCTTCCAAGATCCAATCGAAGGCACAAGCCATGTGAGCCGACTGGGTAACGTGCTGGTGCAGCAACTCGAGAATATCCTCGGGACAGAGGGCAATGTCGTCGAGGAAGATGACGATCGAGTCTGATGCGAACTTATGTCGATCGTGACCACTCCACAGCGGAGCCAATGCCATGTTGCGCAGTTTTGCGAGCTTCTCGACGCGCTCCGAACTTGGTGCTTTCGGGTCCAAAGAACTAGTGTTGTGGTAGAAGTGGGAACCCATCAATTCGACTTCTGTCTGGAAATTTTCGAGAATCTCGTGCGTGCCATCCTCAGACGGTCCCTCAACGACAGACAAGGCGCACCGCTCCGGTCCGAGGTATTTCATTGCTTGCACAATACTCTCCATCAGACGAGGCATGACCTTCGCCGACTGCTGCAGGTTCAGGGCGAAGAAGTAGCGAATCTTGTTCGCGCGGAAACGAGCGGGGCCTCTGTTGCTGGGTATACTGCGAAGATGGTCATACCTTGCTCCGGGGGGCGTTTGGCAGACGAGTTGAGAGGTTTCATCAGTGTTGTTTGCTGGCTCGGCGGGCAGCTTCGGGGCGTCTGGGATTGGTGATGTCGTATCACCAGTCTGGGGGACGTCCGTTGCCCGAGATGGAACTTTTCCACCGGCGGTTTGCCGGGAGACTGAGCCATGCTGAATCACATTGTCTTTTGCCTTTCCATCCGAATCGGGGCTTGAAAAAGTGGTGAGATGAGTCTCCTCCCAATCGTCTCGCCAGTGCGCCCGACCGATCGCTATTTCGCCCAGAGTGGTCAACAGATTCCCATCCGCCCAGTGACGACAATAGAAGATCAAGAACCAGGATCCAAAGAGGAGGCCAAGGCCGAGAAGGACAGTCTGGACTTTCATTTTCCTTCCGGCCTTGAACCAAGCCGAGACGAGTATTATTTATTGACTGGAAGGAGGAGACGGATCTTGGCCCGTCTTGAGAGAAGAGAAGAGGAAGAGTAACAAGGCAGGAAAACCGTAAGTTTTTATTAATATTATTACATTTTTGTTTCTAATTCTCCCCCGACACAGGCGTTGGGGGAAGGAAGCTGAAAACAGAAGCATCGCGATGGATAGACATATCCGGCTGCGTTCACATTCTACTATCCCCCCAATCAGGAAAATAAACACAACTGTATCCGAAAACAGCTACAACATAACTCTAGCATAGAAACAGTATCTCCAGAGTTAAACCAGACTAAACTGTGGACTCTGATCCGTATCGATACGTCGAGTAGGAGGTAGGTACATGTATTTATTTTGTCCCCCGTGGCGCATTTTTGTCGTACGGACACAGAATTTCAAGCCACCCGGACAAAAAAAAAACAGACAGCAAACAACGGACAGAAGAAGAATTTGAAGAAAGGTACGGTACGTAAGTAGTAAAGCAAGACAAGTCATGACGTGACGTCTGGACTTTTACTTCTAAAAAAAAAACACTAAAAGAATAAAAAAATTTAAGAATCTGGGAGCTGGGTTATGTGTGGCTGTTTCATGAATTTCTTTCATTTCATCAGGAATGCGGTCTAGCCGGAATCGTCGTCTGATATTATTAAATAACCTGATCATAGACCAACACAGACAAGACGACATAACACAACATACCTACGTACACAGTAAGTAATAAGTATTGAGAAGAATAGAATCTACATCTATTGATATATATGTAGAGATCGAGATCGGGGTGTGGACCTTGGATTGAACTGGATTGGATTGGACCTATGTACATACCTAGATAGATAAATAGATAGATAGATAGATCTAGTCCAAGTCAATTAATATAATTTTATGGACAGAGCTGCAATAATTGATTAAATAAATAAATAAGTAAGTAAGTAATATTAAGTTTTATTTAATCTCTCTCCCTCTCTCTGTTTTTTTTTTCCGCTATGCCAAGGTAGTCCGACTCCTTAGTTTACTAGCTCCTGCGTCAAGGTTGATGTTCAGATTGATGTTATATTATTACTAGCTAGGTATGTATAGCTGGAAATGGTATCTATTGAATTGTCCACTGTGTATTGTATGTAAGAAAGTATGTACCCTAAAGTGCCTGTTGCTTGTTGAGCAGAGGGTACAAAAAAATGAGATGCAACAGATGGAAAGGGGGAAAAAGGTCCAAACAACTCCACAAAAAGCGCTGCGCTGTGCTGTACTGTACTGTATGTACATACAATAATCGAATCAATCAATCAATGATGCCCAGCAGCGGTACAGCACATTGCGCTATGTTCAGTTCAGTCCATTTAAGCTCACAGATGAGATACACGGCCTGATCGAATGACCTGGATGACCTAAAGAACCTCGTAGCCTCCGAGACGAGAAAGAAGGCGGATAATTATCATATAGGTATGTAGTAGAAAGTAGTAAGTGGCGGCGCTGAGATGTGAAGCAATGCAATACAATACAATACAAGTAAATAAACCAAGACAAGTCAAAATCCCATCCTAATAATACCAAAGGAACTCCCTGCCGGAAACAAAGCTGAACAGTGAGCAGTGAGGTGAGCGGCCCAGCCGCTCATATCCACAGAACGCCAGACGCTGGTCATCAGACGTCAATGTCAATGTCTCTTCTCTTCTTCCTCCAGCGAGATATGGTTGTTCTTCGGCTGTGCGTGACGAACGTCGGCTCGCAACGTTACAAGTCAAAACTCAAAAGCCGATTCTGCACGTCGAGGTCGGGTCGGGGCGGCAAAAACAGAAGCAAGAGCAAGAGCAAGAGCAAGAGCTTTATTTGTTTCCTTCTTCTTTTCAGAAAATCCACCCCAATAACACCCAAAGACCCACGCCTGCAGCGACGCAGATGGTTGCGACCTTCAACACAGCGATCGTATCGCCTTGTTTCGCGGCGCGGGTCAAGCGGCTTGCGCTACCTCTGAGACTCGTTGAGAGGGACGAAAAGACCTCGTTCTGATAACATCACAGAGTCAGCATCAATAACCATCGTGTTGACAGTATTTTTTTTTAAAAAAAAGCAGGCTATGCAGACGAACCGTGCTATCGATCGTTTCCTGATTCCGGGCATTGTCGTAGATGTCGATCGTGACCGACTTCAGCGCCGACGTCTTCTGGGCTAGCGAGTTGAGGAGGGCATTGTTTTGTCTGGGACGGCGTTAAAAATTAAAACTAACCCATGCGTAATATACAGGGGGGAAAAAAAGACATACTGTTCTCGCTCGTAGGCGTCGCTCATCCTGCTTGATGATGGTCTCACACGCCTTGCTCTTGGGCTCGTTCAGAAATTTCTCCCGAGTGGACGCTAACAGAGGGCCCCTCTGTTTAAATACAGGTCGCAGATACGGGAGATAGTGAGGATGGCTCAACGTCTCGAGAAAACAGAGGCCGAGTGAGGTTTGTCGAGGTATCGGGTGGCTGTGACACGGCGAAGGCGGCGATGTCGCTCGACCGCGGAGTTCACCGCCCTGGATGTCACACCCGCATCACGTGACAGTCTATGCGGAGGATAAGATCTAGGCCCTACGTGCCAACCCCTTACTCCTAATCACCACTCTGATCGAGCAAATAAATCCAAGGAGTATCATCGAAAGTAGAATTACTCATTTATACCGGGCTCATTCCGCTCAATCCACTTCCCGACGCAGGCACCGAGTCTAACGAGGCTAATAGACTGCGTGAGATTAAATACATAATATGGGTGCAGCTAGATAAATAAGACCGTAGCAGTCGTCACAGCGTGTAACAGGCAAAAAAACCATTAATGGAGAATACAGAATGTACCGGATGGAAAGAGACGGACATGGAAATAATAGGCTGAGAAGAGAAAGGCAAAAGAACAATTCCCTCGAAACGCTATGCCCCAATAATCAGACGCCGGCGTAAAAAATCAGCAAGAAAAAAAATTAACAAAGAAAACAGCCAGTTAAAATCGAACTGACTGCAGAAGTATGAAGCAGAGTACAGGAAAAGTGCAATTGAACGGGGAACAGCATATGTAAAGATGCTTATTCATAACCAAAAAAGAAAAAAAAAGAACACCCCCGGTCGCCAAAAGGCATTCCAATTCTCCGCCCCGTGTTCTGCAGACAAAATCCCAACACCCATGCCAAGATCATCAAGGTCTCACCACATATCGTCGTCGTCATCCAATTGCGCAGCGTCGCCAAAAGAAGAATACGCCCCTCCATATGGCTGGTGCCCTGGTCCGTATACGCTTCCGTTCTCATAGCCTTGCTGGCTCCCTCTCAATTGGGATTGATAGCGGTCATCAGACTCATAACCATACATTTGAGATTCGTCATAGGCGTTATCACCGTATTGCTGTTACAAGCGTCAGCGACAGACTCACACACAAACAAGGCAGAGTTAGTCTCACCTCTTGATATCGCTGGTACTGCGTGTACTCCTCCGGTTGGTCCTTGATCTTCTGTTGTTGTGCCCTCTGCGCTGGCGACGTCGGGATCGCCATCTGCGGGTGCATCTGTTGAACCTTGGCCAGGTACGAGTACATGAAGTTGCTCAGGAGGACCTGAGAATACAGCGGCCGACGCGGGTTCGCCAGTTTAATATGTGCCAGCCGATAAATGGCTCTCTCTTCCAGGATCGAGAATCGAGTCCAGGCGTAGTCGACATCCGGTATCAGCTCCCGTGCAGGAGGTTCCGGAGAGAGGTTGCGGGACGAATGCTTCTTGTGGCCGTCTCCGGAACCGCTCCTCTTCTTGCCACCACCAAAGATCGACGACAGAAGGCCGGATTCTTTCTCCTTTTTCGACTCCCCGGACGATTTTCGCGCGCTCTCTTTCCGGCGCTCCTCTTCCAGCTTCGGATCGGCGGGCCGCTCCAGAACCAGACTTTCCCGACCTCGGGGTACACTATCGATGGAGGTTTGAGCCACATCGAGGCGGGTGTTGTCATGTTTGTCATGGATTTTCTCCCCCGACACAGAGTGCTTCAATTTCCCTTTCTTGCTTTCACCGTCCTTGTCCTTCTCCTTGTCCTTGTCCTTCTCCTTCTCCTTTTTCTTCTCTTTCTCCTTGTCTTCCGTTCCGAGCAGCCAGTGCCAGCTGGATTTCCGGCTTCCTTCACTCTCCTTCTTGTCCTTGGACTTTTTACTCTCGGGCTTCTTGTCTTCAGTGAGGGTGGGAATCACAGACAAGCTGTCCGTTCGGGTAGTGTTGCCTGGAAGCGGTGCGGGATTTGACGCGATATCGGTAAGGGTCTGAGCGGTGTGGCTGTTCTGCCTGTGGAGAGACGGCCGCTTTGGTCGTGGGCTACTATTGGGATCGTTTGAGGAAGCGCTGGAAGATGCTGCCGTGGGGGGATGTGCATCACTGGCGGATGTTCGCTCTGGAATCACGGTCGATTGTAAGTTGGACGGTGTTGTGCCAGGCCGGTTCTCGAATTGAGGGGGAGGAGTAGGAGGAGGGGTCTCCACGATTCGTGGCACCGTTTGGGCTGACTGGGGAATTTCTAAAGTCGATCGCCCATTGGAGCTAATACGCGAATGCCATTGCCGAGATTGAGGGGAGGGTTCTGCGGCATTGTTGGACGCCTTCTGATCGGGTGTAGAGTCAAACGTTGAGCTCGGAGTGCTTTCTGGAGACGAAGTGTCACCCTGAGCTGGCTTAGATGACGTTTGGTATCGTTGTAAGGTTCTTTCAGAAACGCCTAGACCAGGATCAGTCGACGCGCGAGTCAGTCCTTTGAACGCCGGTCGTTCTTCGGAGGACGGCGCGGCCGAGGACGACTCTTCTCCTATTGTCTCCTGAGTTCTGCCAACTCGCTTCGAGTATGGCAATCGCTCGCCTCTCTTCAAGCTGCCTTTCCTGTATTGGGTTCTTGTCGACCGCTTGAGGCTGTGACCCGGAGGGGCTGGAGGGAGGATCGGCTTGTCTTCATTCGATGATAAATCGAGACGCTCCACACCTCCCAGGAGGGCGAGCGCGTCTTTATTTAGCTGCTTGGTGCCGTCCACTAACTTCTCCAGATCCTGCAAGTTCGGAGTGAAGGTGTCCTGCTTGCCCTGCTGTGATGTCGAGCGTTTCCTTTCCAGCCTCTCCGCACCATCGGTATATCCGTTCGAATTGTCGATTTGCCTCGACAACATGGATCGCTTTCGCCGCAGGCCCCCACCCGACCCCTGTCGCTCGAGACCCGAGTTGGCCGCTGAGAAGTCGCGTGACCGCCGCCTGATTTGTTCAGCCTTGCTCTCGATGAAGGACTTGAATTCCATGGGCGCCAGCTCGGGATGGAGGCGAGCGGGCACCCAGAAGAGTCGAGACGCATCGTTTTCGTCCGCGGAAGACGACGGCGCGAGGGAGGGCACCTGGAAGTTGGAGAAGGACGGTAAGTCGGGGTCACTGGTGACATCCATCGACATCCTCCGGATGGCGGCGAGGTTGTTGAGCTCCTGGGCCACGGCGGCCGGGTTCGATTCGTAGTCGATGTCATTGAGAGGGAACGAGGACGTGGCCGTGTCGGAAGCTGCCTGGTGGATGGAAGTCCTGTTGCGCTCATACGAGGATGACTTCGGTCGCTCGGCCCGTGGTGACTCCTTGGGCTGACGGTCATTCCCGTCGGGGGAGGATTCCCCCGCTCCATCCTGGGTGTCCGAAGTCCCACTACTGTGCGAAGGCATCGGGGGGGTTTCGCTGCGGGGTTGGGACATGGAGCTTAACCGTCTCGAGTCTCTTCGATCGTAATCATCATCATACATATGCCCAATCGCCTCGGTGACATGATGGCTTGGATCACTTATCGACAGATGGGGAACATGGCCTCTCCTCGTGGCATAGCCCCCTTCGGTCTCGTAGGAGCTAGTAGAGGCCTACCAAATCAACACCAGTTAGCCGACACAGTCCCAGAGATAATGTAGAGCACTGGACCAACGCCCTCGGTTGATTGGCATCTGTCGGGGAAACGAAGGATGCGCCCGCATCCCCAACGACTTGCGGATGGGAGCGGCGTGATAAGAGAGGGAGCATCACACACCTGCATCGGAAGGGATCAATGGAGATCGAGGAGACGGCAGAGGCTCCCTGGAGGCGGGAGAGGAGGAGCGCCGTGTACGGGGTTGCTGCTGCACCGCCTGGGCCGGAAGACAGCAAGGACGAACGGTCATCGAAACTCGGAGGAGGGAGAGAGGCGGGCTATGCACATCTGAGAGCGACAGCAACGGAGGATCTGATGAGCTAGCAGGGCACAGAGAAGCGGAGAGAGCAGGTTTCGAGGACGTTCGTGCAGGTGGAGTGGGAAGAGGGCCAGGAAACGGTGGTTGGCCGGCTAGAATCGTGGTGGAATTGACAGGAGGCGTGAGGCTTTGACGCTCCAGCGCCGCCCACCTGCGCAACATGGCTGTCGCTCCCTCCTACCCCGGACCGCCGCCCCTTGCGCCCGCCCGTCGCTGCCCGGCACTGTAGAAACGCACGCAGAGCAGGTCCAGCGTGTACGGAGTCTTCTTGCGAGTGCTGAATAGGGGCTGGCGGCGCACAGCGACTCGCTGCCAGCCCGGCCAGCCGCGAGCCTGCCAGGCCGTGGGCTGGTGGTTACGTTGGTCTAGAATCTCGACAGCGAGCCTACGGTTCCTCCTACGTTCCAGGAGCTCCTGGAAAAGGAGCAGTCGTGTGGTCTGCGCCTGAACGGTCATTGTCTCTGGCCCTGTGACTGCATTGTTGGCATTGTTGTCGCCGTTGCTGCCGAGCGGGCCAGCCGTCCGCCGCCCACACGTGGAGTTGGTGAAGCTAAAAGGAAACGGCGGGATGCGAGTCATCGATACACAGATAGACAGATAGAGAGATTGATAATCATCGCTACACTTGATCCTCCCAGCTGTCAGGAGGCAGTCGATCAGATTGATGCTCGGACCCAGATTGTGGGCAGCCGCTCCAGTCTCCGAGATCCTTAATTGGAAGCCGTCGTTCGCATCACCACGACTCGCCAACGCTCCAGCGATCCAACCGATGCAGCCATTCTTGTTTTCCCAATCATCAGGCAGGAAATGGGGTTCACTGGAGCAAGATTGGAACAATGAATTATATGGCCTGACAATTGGTCCAGCCTCGATTAGGCCCCCGAGCTTTGTCTGAGTTGACCATCCTTCCAGGAGGCTGCAACCTGGCCTGGCCTTCGAGCGTCCGCACAGCTGGCGATTCTGTTCTATTGGGTAATTACATAATAACCATACTCATCCATGGGGTTCTTTTTTGCATCCCATCGATCGTCCCTCACGGCCTTTAAGGAGGGCAGCAAGCGGGGGGACGGAAATTTATTCCCAGCTGGTCCGTCCTAATTAAACTCCCGTGACTGCCGTCCCGTGACCCCACGGCGGACGGCAAGGGGGCCTTTTCTATTTTAGGCTCTGCCAAGCTTCGTTCTTCGGGTACCGCCAGCCGACCCATATATCTGGCTGCAGGGTGATTCGGAAAATGGCATTCGACATCTAGGAACCGGCCATCTTACGGTCCTCTTTTCTGGCTCTACGGTCATTTCTTTGGGATGGGAGGGATAAACACGCCAATCGATTAAGAAACCCTGGTTAACGGTCGGATGAATCCAGAGGACAACAATGCAGGAGAAAGAGAGAAACAGGTTAGGAATACGAACGCACACAACAGACACCGAAATATTCACGCGAGAAGACCGATATAGCAGCTCAGAGTAATATGTACCAACGGAATGCGAGAAAACGACAGAAGAAAAAAACAATGACAACCCCGGTGTGAACAACGAAATCAGGTCAACCGAAATCAAGTCCAAGTGCCCGCGAGTCAAGAACTCCAGTCCTGCAACTTTGGGGGAATCCGGCATCAAAGGGATAGAATTGTTGTGTCAATAGAGCCTTGGTATCACTGGACAGAGAGAATACCGTGCGAGTAGATCGATCTGCGATGGCCAGAGCCGCCACTTGCATCGACGCCAGTGGCTCCACCCTGTAGATATAGATCATAGAGTCAACAGTCCTACACCGTAACGGGCTGGCTTTCACAGTGCTTCGACGTAGTTGCTGCATTGCGAGTCAGTGACCGATCTGTTTTACCCGTCAATCACACTCAGTCCATACCTGGGAAAGATGCCTATGCGGTCGCCTATCTGTCCCGTCCACCAATCCTCTGCCTTGTCCGTCCTCTTCAAAATCGTGATGATCTCGCCCTTCTTGAACCCTAGATCACCCTCCTGGTCTGCGTCGAACGTGTACAGAGCGATCGCCTGGTCCTTCCGAGTTTCCGGGGCTGCTCCGGTTCGCTGTCCAAAGACCGGCTTCGGGGCGGTGGGACGGGACGGCTTGCCATCATCGTTAAAACCACCACGCCTCTGAGCGATGCTATCAAACGTCTCGGAGGGATTTGCTCGAGTAGTGTAGGATCGGTTCAGGGATCCCGGGCTGGGTCGATCATAGACATCGTCGGTCCACGTGGTCGTGCGACGGGGCCGATCGTGGTATTCGTAGTCATCATACGGGCCTGCACGGTCCCTTCTCACCCCTTCGCCGTACGCCGGGCCCCGGCGACCCTCCCAAACCAGATCATCATGGTTGTCGTCATAGATCGGGATGTCGTTGTACATGGAGTCCCCATAGCTTCCTGCGCTGCCGTACCCCGAAAACGCCCGGGAATTGAGCACCCGCATGAGTGGCTCGGCCGCTGGAGGAGGAGGGATGGAGCCGCTCAGCAGTTGACGGGCAGTGACGCGGCTGTTGTACAACTTCTCATTGGCATCTCTGCGCTCGACCAGGACACTCCCCTCCAGACTGACTCCAGCAAACAAGCCTTTGGTCTTGGAGTAAGAAAAGACGGCGGCAACGCCTCTTGCGCTGGCCGCACCAGCAGCTTCGGCATTTCTTCCCACTGGCCCTGCCGCGATCGAAACATTTCCACCCAACGTGATACTGCCAGCCTGCGAAAAGGTGCGAACAGCGGCCGCGTCATTGAGAATGAACACAAAATCGGTTAATTCAAAGCCAATCTGTCCTCCAAACCCGGCGCCAGCCGTGGCGATCGCGGAGGGTGCCGACCATGAGCCATCTGGGAGTCGAGCAACGACGACGCCGGAACCGAAACGACCGGAACCAAGAAACCCCGCTTTCAAGACAGAGAGGATCGCGAGACCCTGAAAAGCTGCTGGTCAGCGTTGCAGGGAAAAAAAAATCGCGCATTTTGGAATGCGACTGACCTTTGCGCCCGCCAGAATTTCCGGGGGAATAATCTTGTCTGGCCCAAAGGCTTGTCGAGGGTCAATGAACGAGGCGAGGATCTTGCCAGCCTTCCTGCACTCGCCTGATAGCAAAGATTAGCGGCACGCTCGGATTGCGGGGAAACCCTTCGGGGACGGGCTGAGGGCAAGACGTACTCCTCATGGACGAGGGCAGTGGGTTGTGGATCCCGAGAGGCATCTTTGCGACGTGCGACGCAATCACCAAGTTGCAGGCAGCTCTGGGGGGTGGTTGGTGATGGATGATGACACGGGTGTAATATTAATACGATGGTGGGCCAGCGAAGTTGGGGCTGGATTGCAGACGGGGGATCGGAAACGGGACAGCCAGCCAAGGCTGACAATCGCAACTGAGCCTCAAATGCACAGTATGCAAATGGTAGATGGAACAGGGCACGATGTATTAAACTGGCTGCGTCAGCGGCGGTGACACTCCATGGAAGCCTACGGAATTACCAGCTCTCAGCTAGCAACAACTTAAGGTAACTAACTACTACCACTCCGTAATAGACTTGGAATCGTTCCAAAGCGGCTGAGCTGCCGCCACCCTCGGCCAAGCAGCGGAAGCAACGGATCCGGAGGCAGCTCGGACGGCGAGAGGCGACCGATTCGACAGATTGATTTGACCGATGTCTAAAGCACAAATATAATCGCAGATGCGCCCAGAATCAGGCGTGTCTCAGTGCACTGGGGGGCAGCAGTGCTCAGGCCTCATGCGTCAGCAGTCCGCAGTCCGGCCGGCCATACGTTGTTCCGCGACTGCCTCTCACGGGAAGCTCCCGCGTACGTCCCGCGACGGATGGCCAGGAACTGCCGCCAGACAGTGAGCCTTCGCTGCCATCATTGAGTTCGATGCAACCGTGATGGGTCTTCTTGGGAAACAGACGGTGTGAGCAGGCGTCGCTTTCGCCCGCTTTCTCGAGGATGGCTACGGGTATGTTGCGTTGGTGCATAGGACTGCTTGGTTGCTCCGAATACTGATGCGCCTCCCTACAGTGCGGATCTGCGTCTGCGGGGACGAAGGAACAGGCAAGTCCAGCCTGATCACTTCCTTGGTGAAGGGGGTTTTCGTCACAAATAAGATCCAGCCGGTGCTCCCCCAGATAACAATTCCTCCTACCATCGGAACGCCCGAGAATGTGACGACGACTACCGTGGTGGATACGTCCGCCCTCCCTCAAGAACGAGCCAACTTGGCCCGAGAGATCCGGAAGTCGAACGTGATTCTCCTGGTCTATTCGGATCACTACAGCTACGAGAGAGTGGCATTGTTCTGGTTGCCGTATTTCCGCTCCTTAGGCGTCAATGTGCCCGTCGTGCTCTGTGCCAACAAATCCGACTTGGGGGCGGAAGGCAGTGATGCCCAGGTCATCGAGGAGGAGATGCTCCCGTTGATGGCGGAGTTCAAGGAGATCGACTCATGCATTCGATCGAGCGCTCGGGAACATCGAAACGTGAACGAAGCCTTCTTCCTCTGCCAGAAAGCAGTCACCCACCCCATTGCGCCGCTGTTCGATTCCAAGGAGTCGGTTCTGAAGCCCGCCGCCGTCGCGGCCTTACAGCGCATATTCTACCTGTGCGATAAGGACCGTGATGGATATCTGTCGGACAAGGAGATTGAAGACTTCCAGATGAAGTGTTTCGGAAAGCCCTTGAGCCAGGAAGATCTCGTCCACATCAAGGAGACCATCCAAAAGACATACCCGGATTCGGTCACGCCTTCAGGCATCGACTCCCGAGGTTTCCTCCACTTGAACAAGCTGTACGCGGAGAAAGGCCGTCACGAGACGGTGTGGATCATCCTGCGTACTTTTCAATACACGGACAATCTATCGCTCCAGGAGTCGTATCTCCACCCCAAGTTCGAAGTCCCGCCTTACTCGTCTGCCGAATTGTCGCCGGAGGGGTACCGCTTCTTCGTGGATCTCTTCCTTCTTTCCGATAAGGATAACGATGGGGGGTTGAATGACTCGGAATTGGCGTCGCTCTTTGCTCCGACGCCGGGGCTGCCGAGCTGCTGGACGGAATGCTCGTTTCCATCGTCCACGGTACGGAACGAGGCCGGTCATGTCACTCTCCAGGGTTGGTTGGCTCAGTGGAGCATGACAACCTTCACGTCCCCCAAGACGACGCTCGAATATCTGGCTTATCTGGGGTTTGAATCGTCGGACCGCAGTAACCCATCCACCACGGCTGCTTTGAAGGTCACGAAGCCCCGAAAACGACGGCGACGACCCGGTCGGGTCGGCCGCAACGTCGTGCTCTGTCATGTGGTAGGAGCTCCCGGGTCGGGGAAGTCGTCTCTGCTGGATGCCTTCCTGTCGCGCGGATTCAGCCCAACATATCACCCAACCATCCAGCCTCGAACGGCGGTCAACACGGTGGAGCTCCCCGGTGGGAAGCAGTGCTACCTGATCTTGGATGAACTTGGGGAGCTCGAGCCCGCGATCCTGGAGAACCAGACGAAGCTCCTCGACCAGTGTGACGTGATCGCCTACACCTACGATTCCTCCGACCCGGACTCATTTGCCTACATTCCCGCCCTGCGGGCCAAATACCCACACCTCGAGGAGCTCCCCAGCGTGTTCCTTGCATTGAAGGCAGATTTGGATCGGACGACGCAGCGGGCAGAGTGCCAGCCGCACGAGTACACCGCACGGCTAGGGATGCCAGGGCCGCCGCTGCATGTGAGTGTGACGTGGAACTCGATCCAGGAGGTCTTCGTGCACATTGCAGAGGCGGCGATGGAGCCGAGTACGGCGTTCCCACGGACGGAGGAGGACCTGGATAGCAAGTGGATGGCCTGGGGCATCGCCCTGGGTGCAGTGGTCTGCGCGGGCGCCGCGGCAGTAGTGATCTGGCGACGAGTCAGCGGGAGCGGGGGATGATAGATTCACTCTGTAAAAGGCTTGAAAGTGTCGAGAGCGATTTCATCGTTGGGGCGGATCGAGACCTGTTCCACAGCATTGGGCGGACGACTTAGCGTAGTTTGGATTAGGTGTCTTGTCGACTGCTTGTTTCTATTTTACTGTACCTATATAGCTGAGTAGATACCCTAGAACCACCACGATAATGAGACAAAGAGAGCATGGCATGTTTTTTGTCAGAGAGCATGAGGTCATGCCAGGGCAGCACAGCTGATCAGCGCTGGGCGGCGGCCAACCACAGCGCTGGCGCCTGCAAGCTGGGCCGCTGCCCCGTGCCCGCGGGGTCTTCTCCAGCTGTTCTCTGCTACCCCAGATTTCGACGCTTGCGCCGAGTCTCGCCTTTCGCATCTGCCTGTGCAGACTGCTAGTAATTGCAGTTGACGTCATCTCAATCCAGACTCTTCCTCGTCTCTTCTTACCCAGCAGCTGGTGACCTGGTGCCATTGTTTGGTTCCTCCCAACGCCAGCGCCACGCGGCCTCCCACGCCTTTGCAGCGCCCAGGAACCCGCCTGGTTGACTAAGGTCGCTCCCTAAGAATTACCCCAGAACTGCCGGCGCCGGGCCCCCTCCCCAGGTCAATGAGACGTCGCCTCCGCACTCTCCCACCTTTTCTTCGTTCATCTGCTCTCCATCTCGTTCTCGACAATCTTCCTGTCCTCCAGCGTCGCCGAGCACCCGCTGTCTGTCGAAACGGCTTCCGAAGCTCCCGGTTGCTCTTCTCCGGTCGTCCGCGGCCTGACGCCGGCTTGCCGGTTCGCGGTGCTGCTTAACTAAACCTGCAGGAGATAAGATACACCAAGCTCAACGGTCCCAGAGTGCTCCCACGTGGTACTTGGGCGGTTTTGCGATCCTTCAACGGTCTTTTTCGACTTGATCTTGTGCTGCGCGCGAATATCCTGCGATTTGTCAAAGCCAAATTGATTCCGGGCTCGGGCTGTCACGTCATTGTGCCTGAATTTGATCTCACGAGGGCTCTTCTTCCGAGGATCATTTTATTCCTGGATTGATCACGCCACAAGCTGGTCGCCGGTGGTGAGATCGCTGGCATTTATCGTTTTCCTTCGTTATCTGTTGCGTGGTGTTGGCCTCGCCCCACGCTGGGACCTTTTTGATAGCGTCAACTGCAGTCAGTCGCTTTTGCAGGATCCACTGCCACCATGTTGTAAGTACATGCCGTTATCTCACAAGCTAATTAATCCCCCCATTGCAATTTCGGTGCCTCCAGATGTCCATTCTTCAACGACAACGGGATGGCGCATCCCGTGTGCTCCTCTGCAGCAGAAGAGTTGTGACACGCGGGAACTTAACCAATTCTGTTCTATAAAAAGAATTGCCTCCTCGCGGCCCAGCAATAATAATACAGGCACTAGACGACTTTGCCGGACTCTTACTGATTGCCATTTTCCATAGCGTCCTACCTCCTCCACCGCCTCGCTATTCGGTTCCTGTCGCCTACGCGGCAGGCGCTTCAAATGGGATGGCGGTGCCGATCATTGAAACCAACAACGTTATCAGTCACCCCGAAGGTGGCTGTCCGCTTCAGGTCGGAGAAGGTGAGTATAGGATTAGCATGTCGAATTGTGTGTGATAGTGCTGACACACAAACTCTGGGTATTAGGAACGTATGAGCTCGTGGACGATTTACATCTAGCGACCCCTCCTCCCCATCCGTCCGAAGCCCCGGTCACGAATCCCAACCCTCTCGCAACAGTCCCGACCCCTCCGACTTCCGGAGTGAAGCTCTCCCTAGTCGTGACCGGCCAGCGCAAGAATACGCCCAATTTCTACAACATCAAGTCCCTGTCATCGGACCTCAAAATCATAAAGGAGAGCGAGCGAGAAGGCAGACGGTCAGACAGCGGGAGCGACTCCGCCCCCCGGAGCAATGCATCTGCGCCTGCATTCGGGGAGGGCAATCCGGCGCTGGCGGTCTCTTCGGCGAAGGATGGGTTGAAACGACGGAAACCGAAGAACAACATCGTCAAGAGCAGCTCCTCTTTTGTGTCCAGGGTCATCACGCACGAATCGACCGCCAAGCGCCTGGCGGAGAGAAACCCCGATGGTCTCTTCGCTTTCGCGAACATCAACCGCGCGTTTCAGTGGCTCGACCTCAGTGCTAAGAACAAGGAGGAACCGTTGACGAAGATCCTATTTACGAAGGCGCACATGTTATGCCACGACGTCAACGAATTGACCAAGTCGGCGACTCACATCGATGTCATCATGGGATCGTCCGCGGGCGACATAATCTGGTACGAACCCATGTCGCAGAAATACGCCCGCATCAACAAGAACGGAGTTGTCAACAACAGCCCCGTGACGCATATCAAATGGATACCGGGCTCCGAGAATCTGTTTCTGGCCGCGCATGCCAATGGGCAACTGGTCGTCTACGACAAGGAAAAGGATGACGCGTTCTTCACGCCGGAAATGGAGGCAGGCACGGACGAGTCTAGGAATGGCAGCACGTCCACGCGGAAAGCCATGCACGTCCTGAAGTCGGTGAATTCGAAGAACCAGAAGACCAATCCGGTGGCGGTGTGGAAGGTGTCGAACCAACGAATCAATCAGTTTGCGTTCTCGCCAGACCACAGGCATCTGGCCGTGGTTCTAGAGGACGGAACGTTACGGGTTATCAATTACTTGAAAGAGGAGTGAGTGGCACTTCAGCAGTATCCATATTACTAGGTGCTGACGTATCCTACAGAGTAACAGACGTTTTCCCCAGCTACTACGGGGGGATGATCTGCGTCTGCTGGTCTCCAGACGGCAAATACATTGTCACTGGTGGCCAGGACGACCTGGTATCGATATGGTCTCTCGCCGAGCGGAAGATCGTTGCTCGATGTCAGGGACACAACTCGTGGGTTTCGGCGGTTGCCTTTGACCCGTGGCGATGTGACAAGCGAACATATCGATTTGGCAGTGTTGGCGACGACTGCCGACTGCTTCTCTGGGATTTCAACGTTGGGATGCTGCACCGTCCGAAAGCGGTATGTTTCAATTGACGTATTGTAGCTCGACATTTTCGATTCTGACTAATTCTTGTTTTTTCCTCGTCCAGCTCCAAGCCAGCGCTCGACAACGGAACAGCGTCATCGCAAGCACGCATCACCCGAGTCGACACCGAACGGACAGTACGGGGGTACGCTCTGATTCCGATCGAACAGAAAGGGCAGACGATTACGAGGAGGACACTGTGCGACACCCGGTAGAGCCGCGGAAGCTGACGGCGCTGTTGCCTCCGATTATGGTACGACTGACTATACTATCTATTCCGACTCGCGCATGTTAATTAAGAGCTCATGCTAATCCAGCACAATGAAAAATACAGTCGAAAGTCGTTGGCGAAGACCCGATATGCTGGCTTGGATTCCACGAGGATTATATCCTGACTTCTTCTCTGGAAGGTTCGTAAAAAAAATGCTGATATTATATGTCTTAGCACCGGTCAGAGTAATATATGAGAACTGACTGACTGACATACAAACGATACCTACATACAGGCCACATCCGCACATGGACACGACCACGCGAACCCGTCAACAACGAAAGCCGAGCAAACATCTCTCTTTCGTCCGGTACAGCAGCCGGGTCCGGCACAGGCACAGGCTCAGGACAAGCAGATTCTTCCACCTCGTGACGACCGACCGACCCCGCAACGTAAATATTATGATGGCATCTTTTTTTTTCTTGTCTTTTTTTTTCCCCTTTTTCAATGCGAAAATACCCATTCTCATTTCTGTCACGTCTTGTCTCATCTCGTCTCGTCTCGTCTTGTATTTTTTTTATCCATGTCTCAGACGTCTGTCTCATTATGGGAAAAATGAAGATGTAGGATTAGGAATAATGAAGTAAGTAGGTAAGTAGGTAAATTAACAAAATCAATCGAGCGAGCAAGCAAGCAAAGCAAAGCAAAGCAAGCAATCACGCGAGGAAAGAAAAAGAAAAACGGAAAAAAAAACAAAAAAGGGTACATACCCTATTTGATTTACAAAAAAGGCAAACCATGTCTATGACCATGTACTTATACTGTATGTAATGTACTGCACATGCATAAGGAATAATTATTATAATTGACTGATGATCCTTCAGTTCAATCCTCATATTAATGAATTACTACTGACTGACTCGAAGAATTATTACAGTTTACTAGAGTTAGATTCTTTTTTTTTCAATTTTCAATTTCATTTTTCATTGATTCAAAAAGAAATAAAAAAAAGCTAATATGTTAGGCATGTCCTGTACGTATGTACTATGTATGTATGTGTGTATGTCCACTGTCCACATCAATGTCGATGTCGATGTCGATGTCATAACAGAGTGCAAATATGAAGAAAAAAAAAGGTCAAACAAAGTATTAAGGTTAAAGAAAAAAACAAAGAGAAATCCCACCCATCTCGTCTCTTCACTGCCAAACGTTCGAGAAAAGATCATCATTTGCTGCGCTGAAGCTGGTTACCGGTTTGCTGGTTAGAGTGTTGTCGCTGCTCGAAGTCGGAGCAGCACTGGCCCAGCCGCCAAAGTCCTCGTCTGCGGCAACGGTGGGAGCAGGTTTGCTGGCAGCAGATGTAGCCGGCGTGCCCCAGCCGGCCCCGATGTCGTTCGCTGTCAACGTTTCTGGAACCTTCATCGCGCTGGAGATCGTTGAGGTAGTGGTGGACGGCGCTGGGGCCGGATCTGGCGTGCTCCATGCGTTGCTTCCCCATGGATCTATGCTTGCCGATGAAAGCATGCTGGTGACAGCCGACGTAGATGTGGTCGCCGCCGCCTTTGGTGCGGATTTAGATGTGTCGGAGAATGATGAGGATGAGAGGTTGAATACGGAGTTCACATTCGTAGCAGATGGTGGTGACGTGGGTTTGGAAGGTGGAGATGGCGTCGTTGTCATGGTCGTCGTCGTCGTCGTCGTCGTCGATGTCAGGTCGAACAGATCATTGGCAGCCGACGATTTGGGAGGGTTTGGTTTCGACGCTGACGCAGTGGTCGTCTGAGAGAAGCTAAAGTCCAGACCATTCGAAGAGACAGACGAATTCCGTGCCGCAGGTTTTGGGGGCGCATTGCTCGAAGCGATACTGTCGAAGAGATCGCCACCACTGATCGAACTGCTCGGGGATGTCACCTTGGGTGCTGCGGGCTGAGACTTTGGACTGGTGAAGCTGGCTAGGTTGGAGAAAGGAGACGTGTCCTGTGCCTTCTGAGGCGCCGGGGACGATGTTGTCGTCGACGGGAAACTTAGGCCGCTGAATGCGTCCGTCAAGGCTCCCAGATTTGACGACTGCGACTGCGAAGACGACAGATTGCCGAAAGAAGACGTCCGCTCATGCTGGGCCGGCGCCGGCTGCGGCTTCGGGGCCGTCGCATACAGAGACAGGATGGATTGTTTCAGGTCAGGCCGCGACATTCCCGTGGATCCACCAGAGGTGGGTGCAGTGCTCCCTGGACGACTGGATGGAGTGGACTGGCTGCTGCCGAAGAAATCCAATCCTAGCAATGAATCCGCCGGTTTGGTCTGTTTCGCCGCAGGTTGGGCAGGGGCCTTGGAAGCGGGAGGACGGGTTCCCGCGGACGGATCTGTCGTGCTCGGTCGTGCAGGAGGAGTCGCGATGTCATCTCCGAAAAGGTCTACGGACTGTTGCTGTTGTTGTTGTTGCCGGGCGGGAGGTTGGCTCGTAGAGGATACACGCTGAGAGGCTGACCGCTCGAGTTTCGCTTTCTCCTGCACAACAGACAGGGGCTAGAAAGCGCGTTAGCAAGATATACAGGCCAAATAGAGCTAATGCTGGTCTAATACTCACAACGTCGTCACCATCGTCAAGGGTGGAGGGGTCGGGCATAGGTCCGTCCATCACCCATCGCTTTGACTCGTACTTTGTTCGAATGAAGTTTTCGATCTTGCTGTAAGAGTCATCGTCAGCAAAAATTTAATAAGCAATCCATAGAGACAAATATCACTTACGCCTCTGAAGGAACATGGCCCGGCCCCAATTTCGCTTCCCAGTATCTGCGCACAACCATCCGTCAGCACAGTCACCGCAAGATATATCTGCATGGGGTCACGGACTTGTTCGCTCTGGCATTTCCCCATTTCATCACGCTCTGTAACTGTTCATCGGTCCACGCGTCCAGGTCGACGGACTTGACTCGACTGATATGGGTGCCCATGCCCCTGTGGATGCCCGAGCAGCGGATGCAGATGAACACGCCCAGATTCCAAGAGGCCCATCGTGGATCTAATCGGAATCACCATAAGTCAGCAAAAAATAGGTTCATTCTAATAAGGCGACTGGGACATAGAAAGATAGGCCACCTACGCTTGTTCCGCTTGCAATCGGCGCAGATCTTGTTGGGCTCTAACTTCAGCAGATTCTTGATCACCTGCTGGTTCTGCGCAGCCCGATCGGGGGTGGGACGCCGTGACATGGCTGCAAGGAGAACAAAAAGAATGAGGGTGAGAAGAGTGTGCCAGTCGGAGCAGTTGGCAGACACGAGGGAAAAGGTAATAATCGATTCAGGACACCCTTGATGTCGCGAAGTGTGGTTTAGTAAACTTGGGATGGTCTCACTAAGGTTGGCTGCCCGCCGGGGCTGCGGGCAACCGGGCGAGCCGCCTGCGCAGGCTGGAGTGGCGAATCATTCACCATTCCTTGTTATCTTGATAATCTTGATCAGTGGTTCGAACGCATAAATCTAGATGTTCGATATTAACAACGGCTAGAATTAATCTCCCTGATGTGTCCAGAGCAGCCTCTATCGATGTATGACACCCCATATGCTGCCCTCCCAACCAATATTCTGGTCTGGCACCAATTGGCCATTTTCACTCCAAATATACAACCCAACGAGACTCATTCTTCATTATCCATGAGTGACCTCTCTTATAAAGTCCAACCTGCTACAATGACTTCACGCCTTCGCCTTCTCCCGTTGCTTTTCCCCGTCGTTTGACGGCACTCTCGACTCGTCCTCGGTGAATTTCAAGCTGATGCTGTTCACGCAGTGTCTCTCGTCCGTCGGCGTCGGGAATCCTTCGCCCTGGAAGACATGTCCCAGATGTCCGCCACAATTGCTGCAGACAATCTCGGTGCGCTCCATGCCGAAGGACCGGTCGACGTGTCTGGTAACCGCCCCAGGGATAGAGTCAAAGTATGCGGGCCAGCCGCAGCCGGAATTGAACTTGTGCGCGGCCTTATAGAGCGGGGCATCGCAGCCGGCGCAGGTGTAGATGCCCTTGGATGGATAGTGCTTGTCGTATTGACCGGTGAACGCAGGCTCAGTCCCTTTTTGACGGAGGACCCGGAATTGCTCTAGAAGAGGAAAGTACCAACCAATTGTCAGCATAGAAACGAGAGATGGTGAAGTAATAAAGATGTTCCATCATAGACACATAACACAACATACCTGGGCTGAGCACCGCCCTCCACTCGTCCTCGGTTCTCTTATCCGGATAAGACATATTGTCGTCTTCGGCGCGGACGCTGGAACTGAAGAGCGATCCCAAAAACGATATGAAAGATGCGGATTTCAGAACTGTGGCGGTAGTAGGCAGGCGACTTCTGAGTTGTCGGTGATTCTGCAACGATCGCGCAGCCGCCGTTCTCGTCACAGAAGTATTAGCGCAGGCAGAATTGGTGGAAATAGTTCGTCTTATCGATGACGTCTGTGTCGGAGACGATATCAGTTGAACTACTGTGGTACGGTGAGAGAGTTGTTGACGGAGAGGATTAAGCCGGAGTCGCTGGAAATAAAACATGGGGATGGGTGACGGCTGGTTTGTATCTTCAAGTGGAGAGAGCGCTGGTATAGCTAAAGGCGGAGGGGCTCGACAAGTGGGATTTGCGTTTGAAGCGCTGAGATTAGTAAAAGTCGAGGCCCAAATTGACGAATAAGAGAAAACAAATAATACACCGACGTATGTAGCTCAAAAATGACAACGTGATTTCTCAGAGAGATGCTTGTCGGTGTCGCTCGGCCACCGTCTTGCAGGAGATTCCAAATCCCGCGTAATTAATCTTACGTCATTTTGCGGGGAGAATTACAGGCAGCGCAACATACTTTGAAATCACTTTGAAGCATCGCCATCTCAGCCACAAGCAAGCAGAAGTGGTATGATTAGACCTTATCCCTATTGCAGAGGATGTGCCCATTCTTTCATGCAGGGTGTGATATGAACGTAGAGTAGATGGAACCAAAATCACAACCAAAACTGCAGAGTTGTATAGTAGCAAATACAGAAAATGTCACGAAATAGCGCCGAAATACTGCGGGGGTATCTTTAGAGCTCATCAAGAAAACATCACATAAATTCCGCATCACAAAAGATGTCAGAAAACGCTGTTCAACGACGCCGAACCATGCCAGTCACTGTCAAGACACCTTCGCCAACCTCTACTCTCCATCCCTCTCTTGCCAGCATCTTGCCGACAGCCGGTCCCAGTCGCGACGTCCCGTCTCGACTGTGTCGTCCAACTCCAGTGACAATTCTGTAAGGGTATCGAGCTGCTCCGCCTCCCGGCCCATACTTGGAATCTCCTAGAGAATCCCACCATTGGGAGACTCGGGCACTTGCGATTCGGACAGCATCTTGCACAGAGACACCGTGCAGATCAAGAACATCGGAGGTCGACTGTGAATCGACCAGGGCATCTGCTGCAGCAGATGCTTCTCTCTTCGCCTTTTCGATGTGATCTCGCCCAACCGCGGAGTAATATGCCGCGGCACCACCCATCAGGCGGTCCGATTTGCTTCGGCGATACGCCGCAGATGCCTTTGCGAACGCATCAGCACCAGCGGTAAGATGAGCTCTGGCAGCACTCTGGGCGCTATCGTAGTCGGAAGCAATTCTCGGACTAGCAGGAGGTTTGACAGTAACCGACTTCTCCTGCTGTTCGGTAACCGGAGACGGTGCATTGATACGGATGAGATCCGATAATTGAGGTGCTGAGGGCTGGACTGTCATTGCAGCGGCCAGCTCGTTGGCAGCAGAAATCGAGTTCCTCGTGATTTTGAGCAGTCCTTCCAAGGTCGTAGCCGGGATAGTGGGGAACTCTTGCGCGAGCTCCGCGACTTGGGCCACTGTGACAGGATCGTCACTTCTCGAGGCGTCATCCTTGGGTGCATGAGATGTCGCTAGGAAATGAATAGTGGCGGACAGTGACGCACCATTCGAGTGGTACGCAGACGCGACAGTCTCCTTCTGCAGGACCGGGAAGGTTCTCGAGCATATGAATTCCACATCCTTCTTGCCAGCATCCCACTTATTGGCCACAACGGTTTCGGACTGGGGGGATGCCACTACTGAATCAGGGCTGGACGGACTGGTGAGAGCATTATTAACTTTGGTCTTTCTGTTTTTCCCCTTCTTTTTCCCATTGACGCCAGAAGATCCCTCAGCAAAGCCGTCAATACCTTTCGGAATGGAGACCTTGAGTCCATCGTCTGTGGGACCCTGTTCCTCGAAGAAGGCCAGGTTGAGGAGAACGTCCATTGACCGGTCGACATCGTTATCGCACTTTGTGAGCGTATGTTTGATAGTGAAGGCGTCCACTGATGGGAACATTTCCGTCAAATAGGCGGTCTTCTCCTCCACCGTCATGCCGGTCAGACTTAGTGACCCGTTGGAACCGACAATGTATGAAGCCTGGCCGTGCGGTGACGATCGACGGTCATTGTTCGTTCCTTTCTTCGTGTCCTTCTGCTCGATGCCCAAAGAAGAAAGATCAGACTTCAAACTCGTGATGTCTGTCTCCCGCGATCCTAACGTGTCATTTCGCGACGTGCTGGGCTCAGAGATGCCATCTGGATCCAACACTCCAGCGACTCCCAGACCACCCGTGCCGGACGGGTCGAAGGGGAGATCCTGCTGCTCTTCGGCGGTGACCTTCAAGGCATCAAGCGTGTCATGGAGCTGCTTCACGTTTTCGGGGTCCGCCAAATCAAAATCGGAGACGATTGCGCTAAATAATGCCGGGTCCAATGGGGGACAGTATTGTTTTTCGAGATCCTAGAACACAGACAATATTTAATAAGCGGGCCTCCGAGGTACTCGTGGGGGACCAACATGCAAGAAGCCGTCCGTTCTGTCAGCCATCTTCAAAATCGCCAATGGTGTGTCGCAATCTTGGTCTGGATTGTAGGGGCATTACTCTCCGACAAAAGACGAAAACGTAGGCGTCAGGGTCCAGATAGTCTGGAGGGTGTACAACAGGATGCAAGCAAGTGAGAAAGTGTATGCCCTGGTAGAATGCACAAGGAGTGGTGTCGACGGAGATGGTGGGACGGGGCTTAAACCCCGCGGGTCCAGTTATAGCGCAGGCGATGTCAGCATTAGGTACTTCCCTACTACCTACAGCAGAGGGACGACGAGAAAGATAACCCAGGACAGCATCAGCAGGCCGTTTCCTCTGCTTTTTGTTTATTTGCATTAATTATATACTAGCAAGATTTTCTGGATTGATATTTTTAAAATATATTTGATATCTTTGCATGTCCCACTATGAGACAAATTATTCTACTCAGGTATAAAGCAAGAAACCCAGAACATACGAAGTAAGCAGCATTGGTCTCGTATTAAAGAAAATCGTCAGCGTTCCACGGTTCTATCCATCATCTGAGACGCCATACAAAGAACCCCAATTGTCTGAAGGAAAGAAGTCCTTGATTAGAAGTTCATGATTTTTTTAGGGGCTTCGCCGGTATGAGTGTGGAGCTCAAGTCTGTGCCTCGTCTTCTTCCCAAGTTATCGAGGTGTACGGAATATTACTATAGTAGTCTATTATTGCTTAAAAGATAGATAATATAGTACCTTATTATATGTGCAACTTCTTTCCTATAAAGTCCCTCTTAGAATATTGTTGAAACTAAACCGGATCGAATGGCCCAGAAAATACAGTTTTATCAAAATGCATCATCCACTGCCATCAACCAGTTTTGTAGTCGTGAATCACAAAGCCCCTTTCATCGGTTTTTTATCTTCTAAAGTGAACTGAGGACTTTATACCCTAACCTCGATAATACTGCGCATACTGTACGGCGTAATGGAATAACTTTCTAAAGGAACCCTTCCATCTAGAATTCCTAGTTAAAACTGTTTTTTAAGGCCTACCAACTTGTGGCCTTGCCGGGCGAGGGTCTTGCTCTCTCTTGTACGGAGTACTTAGTGCAGGAGTGGGACCAAGGCTACCTATTCTAAAACCTGTTGGGCTTGGTTCCTTCGGCAGATGAAAAGTAGCTATTAATAGTTATCAATATTCACACCAACATGGAGTACCCAGGCAAAAGAACCTATATATATAGTTACAGGGTTACACCGCTGCGTTGTCAGGACAAATCCACTTGTGATGGGAATGCGGAGTACAACAATACTACGGAGTAGTTGTGCTAGAGACAGCCCTACGGGCTCTTAATTGGATCCAGCGCAGAAAAAATGTTGAGATGAGATTGTCGAGGTCTATTTCTGGCAATCATAAATTCGGTCATACCGGTATCGATAACGAACTCCGCAGTCATAGGGTATTATTGGACATCCTTGTCATTTCCAATCAGCTCACCTAAGCTTGCAGACAGCAGATCACAGCTCGGAATATCAATAATACGCGATCATGTAAGAACAGGGTTACAGCTGCCAAATGATGGTTAAGTGCAAAAAAGGCTCTGAGCTTTTCGGTCAGCTATCGGCCTGTAAGAAGCTAAGAGCTCGGAATCGGTGAGACACGGCGAACGTGGAGCCTGTCAGGAAACGCCACGATGAATTGGGCTTGTTTTTCTGGAATGCTGCTATTTATTGCCAATTGGTATCCCGAAAAAACTTATCAACCACTCCACCAATGTTTAGAGTACGGCGTAGTCCAAATAATAAGCGTGAGTATGGAGTATATTCGACATGCGTGCTTCGAATTAATGACACTGCCACCTCGCGTATTTTGATCTCGGGAGATTCCGTCCGCCCCCCAAAAATAATAACATCGGTGCTTATTTAGTGGACTGGGGCAAGGCCAAGAACTCGAGTAAAACCAGGGAGACAGAGCCTGCGAGGGCCTTTCTTTCCCCCCATTTTTTTTCTTGCTGCTGAGGCATGATCGTCATGGCCATTGTCTGATTGTAGGCCTGAATTTGTCAATTAAGGGTTGTAACACGTTAATGTGCTGCTGGGGGTTTATCCCCGCTCCTTGCAGAGGTCCTGGAATAAGTAATAGCAATAGCGCCTAGACTTGCTATCTGGGGCCAATGCAACTGTGCCAGTGGGGTCTGTGGTGGAGCCTTCACACCAGAGGAAAACAGACCTACTCCGATTAACATGCACTCTAGGGCTGTTAGGTTAGTAGCTACCTAGGTACTCCAGAGGGCCGTTTCAATGTCTTGCAGGCCGACACTGCCCTGATCCTCTTTCTCTTGGCAGACGCTTGGGATAGGAAGCGGTTGGCCGAATGTCTCAGGTGGTCTTACAGGAATGAGGGTGCAAAGTTGACTAATTCGTCAACCAAACCTCGTCAGCCCTTCCAAGTTGACTGTCCAGGTTGGCTGTTCTGTGTGTGGCGGCAAGGGCAGCCATTATCAGCTGCCATGGCATGTGTATCGTGATCTCCCGTGGCGTAGGGGCTGTTCGCAGATCTCTGGAAACCCGGCGTTTTTGTTCCACTCCTAATGGCTGCACGAGACAAAAAAAAATGGCATAATCTGTTATCCAAGACATGGGGTGGCTGCCAAGCCCCCATCCAAAGAAGCCGTAACTTCGCTATCGTAAACCCGCCGGATCCCCTGGAACCCAAAGGCGTGGCAGAGCCGGTAGGGCTCGGATTGGAGAATCGGGCTGTATGATCCTGTATCGGCCCCTTTTAGTGGCTGTGATAGCCTAAGATGGGTAACAATCGATCGCGTATCAACGAACCAGGATCGCAGGAGCTGCTGCTGGACACACTAACGTTAGCCTGTTCAGACATGTTACCAATATCAAGGGTGCAGGTTGCAGCCCTGCCATGCCAGGGTCCATCCAGGATGGCGCCCTCGTTTCTTGTCAGAGCGAGTGGATTGATTTAAAACGATCGTATGTCACGGTGTGCCCAGGGGCAGCGTCCGGAATCTGTTTTATTCCTTTCATCCTGTGATTATTATTTTCCCAGGTTCGTTTGATTCTGTTTTCTGCCGAAAGTCACTCACTTGAGCATTTCGATCGTTTCGTAGAATATAGAAAGAAAACTTCAATCGTTTTCGTTTCTCCAGTTGTTTCAAGATGCAGGTCAAGGTCGCCGCTGCTCTTGCGTTCGCCGTTTCTGCGTCTGGTGAGTCCATTGCAAATGATGCTTCAATGCAAACAGCGACTAAGGAAGAAGCTAACACTGTTTCGCAGCTCTGCAGGTCCAGTACCCGGCTCAGGGTTCCGAACTCGACCTGACCAAGCAGAACACCATCAAATGGGCTTCGGTTAGGTGAGTTACAGCGATGAGTCAACTGTATATAGAAGATGAGAGCGGGAGACTAACGCGTGATAACTTCAGCACCGACCCTTCCTCCTTCGACATCTACCTCGTCAACAATGCCGTTTACCCCCCGGTGAACCAGCTCATTGCGAAAAACGTCGAGACCTCCAAGGGCTCATACACCCTGGACGGTCTGAAGAATGTGCCTGCCGAGTAAGAGAAATGGTCCACAGAAGGTAGATTCCTGCTAACCTCTTTACAGCAAGGGCTACCAGATCAACCTGCAGTCCGACTCTCCTCAGAACACTGGCATCCTCGCCCAGTCCGGTCAGTTCAGCGTCGTTTCTGCCGGCTCCTCGACAACCTCTGCGTCGTTCACGGCTACTACGGCCACTGACGTGACCTCTACCTGTAAGTCCAAGCTGGAGACCGAAAACCATTTACCTTCAAGGATCGTGTAACTAAGACATGCTACAGCCACGAGCACTGGCTCGAGCACCACCCTCACTACCACCACCTCCGCCAGCAGCAGCAGCTCTGCCTCTGCTTCCTCCAGCGGCGCTTCTTCCAGCTCGGCCTCCTCGACTGCCAGCTCTAGCGCCCACGCTTCCGGTGCCAACGCCTCTTCCACCAGCACCCCCAATGCTGCCGGCACGTTGTCTGTCTCGACTGGCGCTAGCAGCCTTCTGCTGGGTCTCTTTGCTCTCTTCATGTAAATGCTGTGAACTGCAGTTTCTTCCCTCCGGCATCCGTCTCTAAGGGCTTTCATAACCTCCCTGGATCCAGCATCAGGATAGGTGAGAGCCTGATCTTGATCTGATCTGACGATGGGGGAGACGATGGATGGAAGGGAAGAAAGCATCTTTGTGTCACACAAGAAAGAGAAGGAACAGGGAAATGACTTTAATTTCTTAATTTACTCTTTTGTCTTTTGTTTTTAAATTCCTTTTTGTCCTCTTTTCTCCCCCTCTGGGACCTGGGATACACGGTATAATGCAATAAACCAGGATGACTATTAGCAAGGAGTAGCACTTTCTCTTCTTTTTTCTCTCGACTATGGTTGAAACTCAACCCATCCATAACGGTATCTGGTGTATAGAAAAGAAGGGGATCAATTATCACATCGTTAATAATATTTCCCCCTCACCCTTTGCTATATATCTAGGCTAGGCTTCATTTTTTTTCTGTGCAGAGTTACTACTCAGGCTAGAATTAACACGAACGTCCTGAAACAGAATCTAAACTGATGGTCCATGCTGGTATTCCATCACCACTATTTTTAATTACTGACTAACCGGGAATTAGTGTACATATCTCATAGCAAAGCTGGCCCCCAGATCTAGCTAGTCTCAGTTTCATTTCCTTTTCGAAAACCCAGACTCCAGATGCTAATGATGATGCAACTTGCGAACAAGACCTCCCAGATAACAGACATGACTCACTTTTTTAATCCCCCGTTCCCCACTCTCCGGAACCGGAACGAACTTTCACGACGCCAGAAGAACCTGCAATCAAAAGAAAAGAAAAAAGCCAGCCGAAAGGTTCAGATCAGGATCCATCCTTTCAAGGGAAATGGTATTATTCATAATACATGATGTAAAGCATAGAAGAAAAGAGGTGCCACGATCCCATTCGGTCAGGAATTGTGGACGAGTTAAGAGATCGTGCCTGACTCATTTGATCAGCGGTTAACAGAGGTGACGCGATTATGCCTCCTCTTTGTCAATCAAGATGATGAGATCTGTCAGTATATTCCGCAGAGAGCGATTGAGATCCCAAGACTCAATGATCTTAGTACGATGGTTCATGAACAAAGCCTTCTTCCACGGAAGGTATCCAAAACGCTCATCGGAGTTCTCATTTGGTAGATTCCACGCAAGATTGCGCAAAACGAGAGCCGCCTTGTACGCGACACCGTACGGCTCCCCGTCGACATCGAGTGGCGTGTCATTATAGTCCCACGTACGAACAACACGAGGTTGGAGGATCTCCCGTTGCGTGCTAGGAGGCTTGGCATTGGGATCACGATCTTGCGGCAGATGAGACGCGACATGCTCGGCAACCATAGCGGTGTCGTCGCTCGGGCCGCTAGACTTGAACTTGGTGCAATTGTCCCACTGGCATGTATGGATCGGCTTGTCGGCCTTCTCGAGATTGTAGTGGGCAGGCTGATCTAATGGTTTGAGACCCATGTGATCCTCGAAAACGTGTGAGCGTAGTTCCTTTGGTGTGGCAAACGCACGGTTGCACTGCTTCGATGGCTGAGTATCGTCGGTCCACTTGCAGTAAAGATAAGGCCATCCGTCGAATGTGCGGGCAGTCTCCAGCGGACGAATGCCTTTGATGATGAATTTCGTGGCACTGCCTGGACCGTTGATGACTTGAGCTTGAGCGTTAGTGAACGTGGTGCTGACGTTCTTGATGAATTCCGCAGCGGGAAGAACACCACCGCCTGGCAACCTGGCATCAGCAAATCGGCTTTGATAGCCTTGCCAGAGGGCAATCTGGGTGATTTCGCAGTCAGGGTCTTCGACGAAACAACAACGGAGCCATCGTGAGCTACGTTCGGGTTCAGGAAGTTCCATGAGGGCTTTGTAAAGCTCCGGCGGCACTTTCGGGATCTCGCTAGGAGGCGGTGCAACCTTTTCCTCTTGAAGCACAGTTTCTACTTTGTTGGGCTTGGCTTCGTAAGACAGCAAGCTGACCATTCGCCGCATAAAGATTCGCGGAAGGCTCCGCATTTCAATCATAGTTCGCACGTTTGGAGGACTAAGTGTGAACTGGTACCAAACGTCCAAGGCACCGCTCAACACGTCCTTATCTTGTTCAATAAGTGTGAAATAGTACAAACGCTGCAGACTCTCTTTGGAGACACGCTGCATGGCATCATTGGGAGTCGGCGGTTCTAGCTCCGTCGAGAAGTGAGCGAGAGCAGAAAGGGCACGAACAATATGAGCACGATCCTGCGATTCAAGGCAACTGAATAGAGAAATGCATAGAGGATCGTCTGGATTTGTCCGAAGATACTTCGTCACCTCTTCAGCGATGTCGAGAGCATCATTTTTGAGTTCATTAAAACGTGGGTCCTTTGGAACATTGATCATAATCACGAGAAAGTCTCTGAGCAATCCTTGCGCGCGCTGCGTGAGGTAGAGCACGTTGTCATGCAAGAGACACATGTTTCGCAGAACCAGCATAGCTTCTGAGATATGCCGAAGGTGGCGACTGAATTCCTCTGTCTCGACCGTGTCATTAGAGTAAGTGACTGGAATCTTCCTGATGCGGTCGAGAAGGTCAGAGGTTCCTTCCAACGAGTTCAACACATTTACTTTACTCGACAGGCGGCGACTGGTGTAGTCGCGTTCCCATTCGACTCCGCTGCACAAAAGCGTAATCTCCATAGCCTTGGCCATCAGTGTTTCAGCAAGTAGGGGGAAGCCCTCGAATTTGAATTTATCCCAACGCTGGTTGGAGATCTGAACTAGGTGGTACAGCGCAAAGTCGACCTCATCCGGAATCTCAGACAGGAGACCGTAATAGCAGCGCCTGTAAATCCCGTCGGCTGGGGTGACAGAGTTAGAATCGAAGTCCACATGCACGCAGCATTGGAAGTCCTTACTCCTTGGGATCTCAAGATGTTCGAGAGGAAAGTAGGGATCATAAAAATCAGGCTGCTGGCCTGTCTTGCTCTTGTCGTTCTGGGCGGCGAATTGGGCAGGGCGATTGCCAGGAGTCACCACCTCACGTGTCGACATCGGGACCTGCTTCGTATCCTTTCCTTCGAAATGCTCCGGATTAAAGTTGGCGCTGGAAGGATTAGATGACTGATCCAAACCGGCTGACTGAGAGGACGCTGGTTGGGGGGAAGCAGTATTGTGCTGCGTCGGGGTGTGGGCATGGGTGGCGGAACGCGTCTGTCTGACTGGTGCCGTGTCGGGAACAAAAGGCTGATTCGCCTTCGGAGCCTGTCGCAAGCCCTCTGGTAGAAGTAAAAGGTTAGTGAGAGAAGCGGATATACAGAAATGGCTGAAAGGAAAACTCACCACGAAGGGACGAACGAGTGTTGGTAGCCATGTCGGGCTGTAACTGAGTGGATTCAGAAGGTAAAGACGATGGCTGTAGAAACTGGTCAGGCAGCTCGTCAGGGACGACTTGCTCTTCGCCAAGGAGAGCCACGTAACTTTCAACTGGTTCGTCAATGAGGAGACTTGGGTCGAGGAGGGGGTCCCACTGCCCCGCGTCACTGCTGCCGCCGACGCCTTGCGAATCTGTCGATAAGGTCAGAGGTGCCGCGCTCGCTTGCTGCACCTGCTCAGGTAGGTAGAGGCTGAAAAAGCCCTGTATCGCGTCGCTAGCCTGGCTTGGATAGCGCTGCTGAAGCAACTGCTCAGCGGTGAAGCGACGCGACTCGGTGACTGCGCGGTAGTCCTCGACAGTACGCGATAGCAAGTTACCGCCGACAGGAGGTAGTTCTTCAAGGAGGTTAACGGTGGGAGGCTGGCGCCCGTGGAGCTTGTAAATCTCGTACGCGCTGGGATAAAGTATTGTCAGTAGAAGGCGACTTCATCCGCAGTCACCCATGGTACTAACGCGAGATTCTTGAGGTAAATTTCTTTAACTTGGAAGGACAGATGCCCCTGCAGGCGCAGGCCCTCACACAATTCCTTCCAGTTCCTCGCGCCGCTATCCGGGTCTGAGAGAACGTCGTATCCGCCCGCACGAGCTACCCTTTGAAAAAGGTCGAAGAGGTCGACCACTCGATTGCCCGCTGAGGGCCGAAGATTGAGCGCAATGCTGGTGATAGAATCGAAGTTAGCCAAAACAGTTGCGGGGCGATATGTAAAAAAAGAAAGTAGACGAACCCCCTTGCTGCGCAAAACTCCTGTAAGTCGCTCTCGAACTTGGCTTTGGATGCCGGTAGATTGTCGAGCAACGACCTCGCCGTGGGCTCCGCGGCTTCGTTGCCTTCGAGTTCACTGTCCAAACAAGAAGACCGCGAACCCAGCGCGTCCGGGACGGAGTTATTCCGTTCCATATTGTCACGTGATGGCAATATGGGACCAGAGCAGATAATCACGTGAGAAAGGGTGTGACAGGTGCAGATGTGAGGTCCGTGTCAACACCGTGTGCTGGAGGCATCAAGATGCGTTGTGAGAGGAGAGGGGAGGAGGAGAAAGGATAAAATTTCTTTTTCAAGAAAGGGCTTTTTATGTGATTTTTTATTACGCCGAGAGAAACCTGCGACAGTACAGTACGCACAGGATCTGTGCAATCAATCTACTATGGGCAGCTCGTCAGTGCATAGGGGCCGCTGCAGGCGTGCGGCTTTGTTCATAGTTCAATTATGGTGTTTTATGTTCTTGCAGCCTGTTTGAGAGTGATATCTGTTGTCTAGACTCAAATATGGATTTGATATATGCCTCGAGGGATGATTGGCCCTGTGCGTGTGTCTGTCCTGTGACTTCTCCGGGTCCGGGACTATGCCTCCCACGGCACCTTCTTCACCTAGGAACGCTGAAATCCATAGAGATTCTCTTTCCACATCGAATCTATCTCTTCATACATTTGAAGGGTCTGGTGATACAGGGCATGTCTTCATTTACTCGACAATTGGCCCAGTCCGTTCCGGTTGCCCATTTCGCGCTGGGCAAGTATTCCCAAGCCATAACCTCCATCGATCATAATGGCCCCGTTAATTGGAATCACCTGCATGGGAATGGGGACCTAAGTGTTGTGTTTGAGAAACACTCATTGTCGGCATCAGCAACGTCCTCTGGACACGAGACACTGTATCTCAAAGTCATTCATGGTCAACGAAATCTGGTATGGCTTCCTAGCTTGGCCTTTGGGAAAGGGTTTCTCACGGATTCCCAATATAGGAGGAGCTGGACCTCAACTACTTGGCTCGTGAGGCCACGCAACAAGCCCTGTCGAGGCAGGCGCGTAGCGTGAAACCAGTGGTTGCGGTTATCGTGAAGTTGCCATGTATAGCAATACGATATCCTGGCAGGGTTGGACAGGTCCGTGTCACCATCTCCCTGCGTGATTTATACTCATCCTGTTAGGTCTGTCGATTTCAGCTGAAATTTTCATCGGATCGTGACTACTACACTGCCCTGGCTATATTGAGTGAGATCAACTGCCCGTTCACCGAACCTGCTGCTAGCCACACGTCGCGGTCGACCAGTTTGAGACCAGCATCATCGTCCTCGCAAATGATGATGTCTGTATCATCCTCCTTTGCACCCCCCGAGGATTGGGGATACCAGTCGCCTGCGATGAGTGGTTTGAATCCTCGAGGCAATGGGCTTTCCAGAAGCCAATCAACCGTGGGCAGCTCCTCTGAGACAAGGTCGTCCATCAGTGGTAATGGATAAATTCTCAATACTTATTGAATTGATCAGAAGGCTAACCTAGGGATTGTCGAAAGCGTCCTCCACGCGGTCCTCCCTCTCGTCCCATACTGCCTGCCACCCGAATGAGAACATGGCCCCTCCTATGAATAATACAGCTGAGAATGGTTCTCGACCAGTAACCCAGCATCTTGGGTCCACAAGATCAGAAGTAGGACTACGTGGTCACGGTACTTCTCAATCTAACGAGCGACCTACCACCGCGCCAGCTTTCCACGACCCCCAAGCGCTGAATCAGGCCTTGCCACCAAAGAGAGAACTTCCATTCTCACGACCTGGGAACTCATATACGTCTAGCAAGCTTTCTTCCACAAAGCCTTCTAGCACAAATGGGACCGGTTCTGGACTTCAAGCAGACATGTTAGACGGATTGTCATCGACATCCGGATCCCTGTCGCGACGAAGCGGTCATGAGAAACTGATCGGTCAGAATGATGCTGCAGCAAGTTCCCTAGGCCAACCGTTCACTTTGAAAGAAGCAGAAAAACGATGGTCAGTTAACCAGGACCAGGTCCTGAACCAGCCGTCTGCGACGTCTCGATCAACTTCTTCCCCAACAGGTCGTCTTATTCGTTCAGCTACGACGGCCTCTCACCAACCAGGCTTTCATTTCCAAAGCCCACAGGCACAGACAGGCGCATCTCCTATTTCAAATGTACCTTCTGATCTTGAGTCTCGTCAACAATCAACAACCGTTGCTAGTAATGACACGATTTCCATCCCTCTTCCCTCGCAAGCTCCTATCAACTCTGCAGACCTCTCTTCATACTTGGAAATACCAGAATCGGAGCGATCCGCCCTCGTAGACTCATGGATCTGCGAACAACTCGAGGATGACGGATTCGTCACCCTCTGCCAGGACGTCGAACGCGTCTGGAGGCGAATCGCTTTCGGGTCTTGACTGGGAGACAGCACGCCTATACCTATGCCTATACCCCTGTATATTTTATAGTCAATCCGTAGAAATTATTTCCTTCATATGATGTAATTTTCACAATTAAATGTTATTTTCTCAGCTAGCCAGCTAACTAACTAACTAGTTACCATTCTCAATATATAACACCGGATTCTACAGAAACAGAGAAAGTAGTAAAGTATCTATCTAGACAATAACAACAACAATCCGTAATAATAATCCATGGTATGTTAGATGATAGTACCATTAATCAATCAATCAATTAATCAATTAATCAATTGCCTAAAACTCCCATGATACGATATGATTTGTATTCAACTCGCTGCTCCACATACGAATCATACGAAGAGGATGATCGATGAGAGGAATTAGTAACATCTAGCTAGCTAGGTACCTAGGGTAAGTATTCTTATTCTTACACACAGACGTTATCACACACACACACACAGAAAAGAAAAACACCACACATTTGCCAAGATCAGTCATTCTAGTGTAGGAAGGAGAAGAAAATTAAAAAAAAGTAGAGAAATACAGGAGGGAGAAGGAAGACATCAGCGGGGGAAGTGGGGGGAAAGAAGACATGGATTGTGTCGCCATGCTTGCTTGGTGTCCTTGCTTGGTGTCCTTGCTTGCTTGTGCTCGCTTTCAATCCATGTAATCTGACCGACCCTGGCTCCCTGGCTGATGGGTAACAAACAATTAACAAAATCAAAGAAACAGCATAATGACATTCCATCCATGACGCCATAAGCGAGCACTTTTGTTTTTTCGTTCTTTTTTCCCCATTTGAGATATGCGTCTTGGGAGACTTTCCTGCTAGAGAATAGAATGAAATAGGGATGTGAATAAAGAATACAAAAGCAGAGCTGATTTGCCGGTAGAAAGAAGGGAAGGGGGAAGGAGGGGACTTGGGAGAAATGTTTATGTTGAAAGCATGGTGCATGAGAGCAGAGAGGAGCTAACAACCGCCCTGAAACATGATGCAAAGCAGCTCAGTACTTTGCAGTCATCGACTCTCTGACATTGCCAGTGAGACTTGGAGGTTCATGAGGCGGTATATTAGCGCAAGAAAAGGTCTTGGATTCGGGACACCCAAAAGCAGTGATTCAACGCTTGCCGGGCCCCCTTGCAATGACCTTCAAGTATCCCCTCTTGATTGCGAGACTAAAATCGACATATGCCTGAAGCTGAGACTGCAGGGAAGCGATTGCAGAAGCCGTAGTACCACCAGCTGCTGATCCCTCACCGCCAGCAGTAGTAGCAGGTGGTGAAGAAGCATTTGCCGCCGCCGCACCTTCGGCTCCGACAGCAAGGTCAGCCAAGTGTTGCAGCGAACGCTGTTCGTTGGGTCCCACGATGGGTGGCGGAGCACTGCTGCCGGAGTTCGCATTCGCATTCGCATTAGCATTTGTATTTGCATTGGTATTCGCATTAGCATTGGTATTGGTATTGGCATTGGCATTAGTATTGGTATTGGTATTGGTGTTGACATTGGTATTGGCATTCGCATTCGCATCCGCATTCGCATTCGCCGTAGAGATCTGACTAGCTCCCGTCTGATCGTGAGGACGTTTGTCTGCTATCCACGAACGGAGGCAGCTGTCCCAAGCGGGAGTAGCAAACAGATTCTCAAATTCGCCGGCCTCGGCGGTGGCTTTCTCACGACGATCGAGGATCTCCTCGACCTTCGCCAGCACTTCCCAGCAGAAGCTAGAGAAGAGTGGTAACTGGGAGCCCTCCAGAAGGGTCAAGGTGGCTAAGACCAAAGAGTGCATGTCGATAGGGGACGAAAGACGATTGGAAACATCTTTGTGCATTTCCTTGACAACCGCCTCCGCTGAATGGAGCACTTCGTACGGCGTAAAGACATACAAGTGACGAGACATCAGGAGGTTGAGAGTCCAGTAGACTTGGGGGCCTAGTGCCTGAAGGTAACCTTCTGGAACGTTGGCTTCGTCACTCTCTGTATGGGCACGCTCGACATCAAGAGCCCGGTTGAGCTGGCTGATGAGCACGGCCTTGAAAAGACGTTTAATACCCGGGTTGGCGTATTCCTCTTCTGTCAAAATCAGCTCCATGACGGGGGGAAGAATGGTCGAATAAGCTATACGCCAAATTCCAAGTCAGCAAAGAGTCCGAGACATTCCTCTTCAGCTTCGGTCACTCACCTGCGAGCTGCGTCGGTGCTAAGCCTAGGAGCTTCAGATCCGAAGGCACGCCGATCTCATGCCAGACACCACCCATGGTATCCCGCTCTCCCATCCCTGCGTTGTGCCAACGGCAGAGAATGCTGGAAACAACCCATCCGCGTCGGGCAAGGTTGGCATCAGAGTCCACTTCATGTGGATCGAGGTTCCGGTTCTTAACCTGGCCGAAGTGGTGTGCAATATCGTAGGCCAACCTTGCCAGTGATTCAGTCAAAAAAGACTTTGGCAGGCCATTCTTACCACGCAAGTTGTCGGGACCCCGCGCGTCACAATCCATCACCATGAGTTGCAGAGTCTGCAGCCAGATAAAGTTGACGGCCGTGGATCGCAGCGCTGAAGCCTCTCGAAGATGGGCATAAAGCAAGTCTTGTGCATCGTTCATCGACGAGACGTTCTGGAACGAGCTCTCGACACGTCCGAAGTTGGTGTGAGTAACGGCATAGAAACTATGCAGAAACACTTCCTGGAGGGACCGGCTACACTGGTGCAAGATTTCTAGGAAACGGTCCTTCGAATTAGGGAGAATCGGAATAATCGGATGGATCTTTTGATAGTAGCTGTACTCTCTGTTAGACTCTGCCCTTTGATCTTCTGGTTTGAAGGGACCCTAAATAACATACGCATTCAAAGCGCCCTCATCCACTTGGACAGGGACGGTGTCTTCACGAGCTGGCTGAGACACTGCACCCACTTCTGGCTCTGCGTTCTCACCTGTCGCCTCGCCTTGCTCCTGCTGAGAAGCAGTCCAGAACGGGTGTGAAATCTTGTTCGTAGGAAGATTCATGTTAAACAGGTTGTAGGACTCCGGGTTTGTAGTGGCAGTTTCCCCTAAAGAGGTGTAAGCGTGACATTTGTGACAAGAGTAGAGAAAGGGTCACCCACCGACAGAGGCTTGTTGCACACGAGGAGCAAAAGTGGGCTGGGGGAAAGCCGAGCCATGGAGCCCCTCAGACATCGAATAAGTCCGTTTCCGACCTAGCAAGCTGCCATCCATGGGAGGAGAGAAATCGTGGTAGCCCCGCGGGGAGGAGACATCGTTCATGGGCTGATACTGCATCTCGTGATGCGCCATCGACGGCTGCATTTGAGACTCCAACGTATTCAACCGTTCCGCTAACTCCTTGATGTATCTAAGATGCATCTTTCAGCAAGCTGAATAACCATCTGACAAGGTATGGACCCCCAAGGCGAAGGACCAGCTGCTGATCCACCTACCCTTTGCTAGGACCGCGCTTCATGGGGACGCGACTGAATTGACAAGCGACACCGAGACGGCGACAGTTGGAGCAGGTCTCGACACCGGATTCCGAGGTGGCATCGCAGCGAACCTGTTTGCGACAATGACCAGTTAGCTCGGCTGTGTCTGTCGAGGACATGGAACGCAACGGCATACCTTCTTGCGTCTACACTCGTCGCAGGCCCGGGACACCTTGGACCGCTTACGACGGGCACTCTGGTCGCCATAGCTCAGGTCGTGATTGGGATCGACGCCAACCTGCTGATTGGGAGGGAAAGGAATCATGTTGCCGTGTTGTTGTTCGGCAGAAGACGCGCGACCCATCTCAGAAGCTCCCGGGTTGGACGGGCCCAGCACCATGGGCTGCCCGTGATGGAGGCCGTTACTCGAGCTGTCACCCAGATTGGCGCCCGCAGTCTCTCGCGACAGCTCTGCGGAGAGAAGCTCATCGGCGGTGAGCTGACGGTTGTAGTACTGCATGGTGCCTTGGCTCATCTGCGCCGCGTTGGGAGAGGGATACGAGGGCGCCGGAGGCATGTCGGAAGGCTCGCGCGAGTTCATCGTCGCGGAATCACCGTCACGACGCGGTGTTTGGGGGCGTGGTTGATGGAGCGAGTCTCCGGGGTGAAGGGGGGGAGGAGAGGGAGGCGAGGAGTTTGGAGGAAGAGAGCTCTCGGCCATTGACAGAGGTGTGTTTTTTTACAGGCTAATTTTTACATGGGCGGGGAATGAGTGCCTAGCGCGCCAGGGTTGGGCGAAGTCCAGGACCCCTCGAGCATCGTTACGCGACAAGAAAGAAAGATGGGAGACTCGAACTGCGACAACATGGCTTTGCGGATGGAATATAGTTATTTAGCTCTCTTTGGATGATCGCTGCGGCGGAGATCCGGCCTTTTGTTTCTGCGTCCAGCGAGCGTCACGGATTAATACTATTTCCAGCGGCTCCCTCCTCCAGTTCCAAAAGCCCAGAGCGACCATCTCAGACCGTCTGAGATCGCTCGTGAGACTGCCGGGCAGCTGGAGAAAATTGTTCGGGCATTTCGGTCACTATTCGAGACCGTCGTCGCCCTGCAGCTTACTGAATTGTCTGTTGTGTGTGCATTGTGGCGATCACTTCACCTATCCGGCAGCGCCGGATCATCCACAGCGGTGTCTCGACATCGACATCCACTGTTGACTTTCTTCTTATTTTTTTTCCGGTCAGGCGATGATGCGCGTTCAAATAGGCAGAAGCCATTTCATATTCAGCCAGAGTCTTATTGGTGTTCGTGCTGGTGCACCATCCAAATCTGTTCACCTCCGACACGAACAGATAGGACAGTGATCTCGTGTACAGCGTATACAGAGCTTCTTCACCCCGTTCAAAGCAAAATATTATACGGAGAAAATCTCTCTTGTATTTGTAGACTTGAAGATACATCTGGCTGACTCATCGTGCCGTAGAATCTCCCCGATGACTCATCTCTGGGAAGAGTGTACTCAGTACAGAATACCAGACGCTTCTTAACGTCTCTCTCACTCGGTATCAATTATTTTCTATGACGCAGGTGTCACTGTGAGGACGCAAGAGCTGACTAAAGCCCCGAGTGTTCCGAGAAGGCCGGACGGATGGCCATAGAAGGATCGATCGTTAGCTGTGCGGCATACTCTGTAGCTCGGTGCTGTGTAACGGCACTCGGACTTGCGGGAAAACTGCTGAAGTCCAGAAAGCAGATGGACAGAGTATGACAGACAAGCATAGAGATGCGCAGTTAATCATCCACTGTGCAAATGGAATTCTATAGAGACAGGTAGACCTTCATGGCCTTTTGACTCATCCTCTGTGCAGACCATACAGTAGCAGTAATGAATGAATTACAGAGCTTGCTTATACTTGGGATCGAAGCTATTATATATATACGGGTGCATGCCTAGTACCGCTAAGTATATATGGAGTATGTACCATGCCACTGTTGCCGACATGTCCCTTTTTTAGCAATCAGGCACGCGGTCAGTTGTTCCAGAACGATCTAGTTTAGCCAAGGGCCTCTTCGAGGTCCAGTTTGAGATGCAAATCAACAATTATGGCAGCCAAGAAGATGAAACGAGAACATGAAACAGGGCTCAAGCCTTATTGGGGCCAAAACTCCCGCTAAATGCCAGGAACAGTAACGACAGATCGGATCGATGATGATCAAGGGCAGAATCGCAGATCCTCCGGTGAAAAATTTTTTTCTTGGCATCACTAAAAACAGATCTCTCTGCGAGTATGAGATAGAGTTCATGGCTGGTTGTGCGTTCTGTGCTGGTTGTCTAATGGACGGGTAGGATATTGTGCTGACGTCGAGGCAATTGACATAGTCGGGGTAGCGATCCCACCCCGTCTAAGTCAACATCACGATCAAACAGGGAAGAACCAAGCAGGGCAAAACACGAGAGAAAACAGCAGAAGTACTCCGTATATAGAAGCCCGAATGACAGCACATCGGTGAGTGGAACTGGATGTCTTCGCTGCCGTAGCGCCGTGGATCCAAAGCCGGCCCGGATCGGGGCGAGTACGGAGACCTATCCCAAGTAGGAAGCGTGAGGTCGCATGTGGATTCTGGGGACAGACTGCCGCGACAGGTCCCCAAATTCGATTCTTCGCGGCCTGGTTTTAGAAAATGCGTTAGGTCGAGATTAATTCGCAGTGAGGGAGCCACACAACGACAGGCTCACTGCCTCCTAACCACCTACTTAGACAGGCAGGTGGCTATTGCCGCCGCCAACAGTCCCGGACTGTGTTCAGGCGAACCTTGGCCTGCTGCCGTCCCGCATGTTCCCTGAGATGGAGAGAGATCGCCGTCCAGCCAAGCTGCCAAAGGTAGACCGCTGCTACCGTTCTCACCCGGCCTGCAGATCACACGGCAAGTCCTCAATCTTGGTGACGCGCTGGACGGAGAATATTTGGACCGCGACTCGGCGCATGGATGCCGTGCAGGATCCATACTACACGTAAAGTCACTCCTGTGTATCTATCGTCGTCGAATGACAGCAGAACTATTCCGTACAGAGTAGCCTGACAAGCCCGGTCTGGAGCAGTTCGGAATCGGCAAGAGAGCCCGATGGGAACAGCTGGCCGGCAGCTGGCCAAGGGCCAAGGCTGGGCGCTGCGATGGTGTGCATCAGAAATCCTTCTAGAAGCCTGCCGAAATCAGCCCAACAGCAGGAAGGAGGGGGCCAACGCCCCAAGCGAAGGCCCCTCCTACTCTGGAGGAAGCATCGCGACTCCCGTTTGGGCACGTTTCTCTGGGTTTAGCTTCGCTGGGGCTGCCTGGGCCAAGTGTCAAGCCTGGGGCCGGCGATCCTCGGATCCTCCACAAGGACCACAACACACGATAGCGATGCACTATCAACCTACGGCGTGACGCCGCCTAGAAAGAACAAGTATTACTAGCGAAAGAATTACGGAGTAGAAGAAACGCTAGCGAGGCCTGAGCCCCAGCAAGGCTCACACCAGACCCTGGCGTGAATCTGGAGCCGTTAGCTCGACTGCAGTTCGTTATTATCAGGATCACCTCGGGCATGGAGAGACGTGCGTGGCCTATATAATCGAACCTGGAAGTCGCCATCTTGCTGAAGCATAAAGAATTGCACGCCCAGTCCGTCTGGATCATTCTCTTCCTCCTCTCTCAATAAGAACAATAATCGATTGTCTTGTGCGAAGGTGACCTCGTTTCTCGATCTGCCCACCCCACAGTCCGTCCATCCATCGATTTTCGCATACCAAACGAGTGTGTGCGGTTAAATCGCTTCTGAAGAATTTTCTACTGTGATCGCACAAATCTTTTTTTTCTTTCCTCTGATCGATTCGTTTCGGCGGGACGGCCACTTGCTGTCCTGCATCCATGGTTCAGTGCCCAGTTTGCACACCGACAAGCAGCCCTGGACCACTCATCGGTTTCACTGCCTAGGGCACCGAGATTGCAGGCAGTGTTCCTGGAGTCTGAACTCATCAACCTCCACCGCGACCAACTTGATTGATCCTGCCTGGGACGGTCATGGGGGTGACTGCCCAGGTGCCTGCCCGGTGACGCGCCCATCCCGCCACCGTTCCTGCCCGCGTGTGGCCCGTGCAGGCCTGGTGTCTGAGTCGCTCTTTCCCCGTCTGGCCGGCAGCAGCAACCACGGGCGCTGCTTCCTTCCTGGCTGTGCGCCCTAGAGGAGGCCTGGCTGCACAGGGTCCCGTGCCACCCCAGCAGTCGTGAATACTTCTTGCCACAGTCGCCTCGCCCTCGCCCTCCTCCCCTCCTCTCTTCCTTCCCCTTCCTCCCTCCCCCATCTCCCAGTTATCCCCCGTACGCTGGATTCTGAGAGCTCGCTCCATCTATTTTGGCCGCCACTACCGATATTTGGTGTCCTGTCTTACGGCCGGCGCCAAACGGTGCGTAGGCTCTAGGCCCCCCTCGCCTTTTTCTTTTTCCAATTCTGCTTTCCCTGTTGCGCGTCGACTCCATATTTGTCTCCAGACCGTCTCGTTCCTTCCGCACCTGCTATCCTCTCCCCGCGCAACCAGGTCTTCCAATTGCAACGGAGTTTGGTTTCTTCATTAACGACAGTCTACGAGATACCCGGCGTCTTAGACTATTCTTATTTCTTGTGCTTGGTTTCCGTTGCTCTTCTCTGAACCTCTGCGTTGCTCGTCCCGCTGGCTTGTGTGACGGCCGTGCACAGGTGCAACGGATCTGCCTTGACGGCAATTTACTCTCCCCAGGCTATCGCCACCCTGCAACCTCGTTCTTTTTGTTTTCTTACCTTTAATATTCTTTCTTTCAGTTCCTCAATTGCGCGTCGTCGCATGTTCCCTGTCCAATAACCGCGGCAATGCTCATCGATGGCGAGAAGTGGGCTTGTGAAGCTTGCGTCCGGGGTCACCGAGTCAGCAGCTGTCACCATAGTGGTATGTTCATTGACATGTTTCTTCTTAAACCAGTGCTGACATTTGAAATCAAGATCGACCCTTGACCCACATCAATAAGAAAGGCCGACCAGTCTCTCAATGCGCTCACTGTCGCGGCCTACGCAAGTCAAGAACAACCCACGTCAAGTGCGAGTGCGGGGATAAGAAGGACCACACTACCAGCACCACTACCAACAACAACAACAATAACAACAACAATGCCCACAGTCACTCCGACGCCAATCATGCTGGGGGTGACAAGGGAGATCACAAAGGTCAGTAGTTCTGGCGTTGCGCGCGAGTGCCTCTGGCGTCTGACTTCAAGACAGTGGAAAACCGCCAGCAGTGCCGCTGCGTTCACGGGCAACGCTGCAGCTGTGCCTTGAAGAAGGATCATCACCTGGATCCTGTCCCCGAGACGGGGCTGCCTCCGACCCAGTCCACCACTGCCGTGGAGCCCAGGAAACCCCGTCTGACGTCGACCAAGTCGGAGAGCACCCTCACCGTCTTTCGGGATGGCCACCACAAGCCAATGCACAAACACAATGACATGGCCCACAAGTGTGGATTGCCCTACACCATCCCGAGGTCCCATACCGTCCATTCGACAGACTTTGCACAGCGCTCAGTCGACCATCTGCCTTTGACACACAACAAGGCAACTGATCTCACGGCAGGTGTGGATCTGGATGTGGACCAGGGACCTCGTGGGCCTCAGCGGCTGGTCAAATCCGAACAAGGTTCACCTGAGTCGGCGCCTGTCCCGGTTCTGGAACAGATCAGCACACAAATTCCTCCACTGGATCTCTCGTCCTTCGCGCCCATCGCCACGAGCGCTACGACCGACTCGCCGTTAAATTCGATGATCTTTCAAGACCCCTACCAGGAGTCGTGGCTTCCGTCGCCCGATACGGACGCCTCGCTGGGCTCGACCGCGTTCAATGCTCCCTCTGTGGACTGGTCTAGCTTCCCTCTCTGCTCGTCGGGTGCGACTGCCACGGCGAGCAGCCAGCCTCCGTCCTACGCTAGCTACGACTTCAACAACAACAACAATTCTAATTACCCCGGGCTGGCCGCCTCCTCGTCGGGTGAAATTTCCGAAGTGGACGAATTCGGCCCTCTCCCGAGCCTGGGCGCGTCCAGCAACGATCTCCATGATCTGCACAGCGTCAGCGATGGCTCCGATGTCGATCAACTCCGTCTCAGTTCCGCTTCCTCGTTTATAGGGTTGCCCCAAGCCCAGCTGCTGTCGTCTAACAACCTGGAGTCGATCGACATCGACGATTTCCTCAAGTCCGCCAACGAGTCGACGGCCGCACTGGAGCAACAGCTGCAAGCGAGCATGGGGATGGAACCAAAGTCGATCCCTGCGACGCAGCAAGATTACTCAGTTGCGCACACCCAGAGCTACTCCCAAAGCGAGCCTTCGATCTGCCTTCCACTGACCGCTCCTCAGAACGACATGAATAATGATATGATATGGCCTGTGTCCTTGTTTGACTCTGAAGAGCCGTTTTCACAGCCTCCGTGGGCGAACTAGTCACTCTGGATTTTCGCAGACAGCTTTCTCCCTCCGGAAGGTTATATTTTCATGACACGTTACCACCACCTCCCACTGCGTCTTTAATGACCTTGATGAGAGATGACGATAATGTGTTTTTCTTCACATACCAGTTCAAGCCCGGACTTTGGTACTTTTTTTTTTCTTATTTGCCAATAATTGACACTTTTTTTTTTCGAAACACCCGCATGCCGTGTTTTCTGTTCCATCCGGGTGGCTTTATTTCTCTACATCGTCTGCGATTCAGATGTGTCATGTTTCCCGCGTTGGCTCTCTGTCTCGTATACGGCGTTATATCGCGCGGTATCTGGAAGGCATACATTGGAAGAAAAAGGGTCCTTTTTCTTCCGATTATCCGACAGTTACTTGTTGAGCGCTTTTTATTGGAAGCGTGTCTAACTCGAGTGGTCTATACGATTTGGGGGGACTTGTGGTCAGAGACATGTGTGATTTCCTGTTTTCTTGCAGATGCCACAAAAGAATAGAGTTGTCTGTTTGCTGTTCTAGCATTTGAACATTTCAGCGATTCCCATTAGTCGGTTTTATGCAGGGCAGCGCTTGGAAGCTGTCTTTAATTGCTCATCTGACTTGGGCGAGCTGGCTCTGTCGCTGAATGTACATATTTCCTGACATGAGCAGTGTTAACCTGAGATGATTCATGGACATGCGAGTTGTGGTCGAAGTGGAATAGACCATCACCATCCTTGCAGTGAGACGATCGATTAGGAGCCGAATATGGACGCCTTTCGGAGGCTCGGAGCAGACCAATCTATGGCCTATGCATGCCAAAAAGCTTAACAGTGGATCGTGTCGCTGACACTCGATCCGAACAAGCGGTGTAGCCATGACGACGTGACCACGACGCGCGGCGTGGAGCAAGCGCATACATACATAGCAAGTCGTATCAACCGCAGATCCGTCACGCGCCTGGACAAGACATGGGTGGGCCAATGGGTAGGAATTCTTCTGCCTCCTGGCGTCGATCACCGAAGCTTGACTTGGACTGCGAAAAAGCTTCGCAGGCTGGGCTGGGTTGGGCTGAGCTGAGCTGCTGAGCTTGAGGCCAATGGGCGGGCGCTATGCATCCTGCATCATGTATGTACGGAGTATGTCACCCATGCCCGCAGCCCAGCAATGCAGCATACATCATCCTCCGTACATAATATGGAGTACATACATACGTACGTATGTGCGTACGCACACACACTCACGGCCCATACGGAGGATATGTATATGTATCTCAGATTCCATGGTTAGAGGAATTACGTAAAAATTTCCTGCAACCTGCGACCTGCAACCTGAAACTAATTTCCATGGGGATATATACGAGGTATTGGAAAGAAACCCAGAGGGAATTTCGAAAGCAAGCAAGCAAGCAAGCAAGCAAGGGGTTAGTTGAGTGTAGTGTAGTGTAGTATATTTCCAATCAATGCTTGAATTGTATCTAATTATCTATATATCCATGTATTCTTGCCTTACTCAATTCAGTTCAGCTCAACTCAACTCAGGACGATTCCACTGTTCAATCTAATTAATATTCTTGAGTAGCAAAAAAAAGGGAAAAAAAAAGGATGAAGAACTATGTCGCCAGAGACGGCCATATATGAATATGTGATCAGATATGAATGATCATGTGCAAAATGTCCAAAGTTGACAGAGAAAAAAAAATATGAGGTGGTTATACGACCGTTGCCAAAATTTCGGTGGCAGATTGCTGAAACACAACTCTATGGAGTATACGGAGTATATATTCATCGATATTCATCCATGAACTTCTCGTGGAACTTGGTGATCCGCTGCACCCACTCCGTCCCCGGAGCCAGGAACGTCGTCCGGAAATGAAACGTGCCCTCCTTCTGGCCGAACCCGGATCCGGGAACGACACAGATGCCCGTCGCATCTAGCAGTTTCAGAGCGTAGAACTCGTCGGGCTTCTTGTTGGCGGCTTGCGCCGCGGCAATGGCCTTGGGTGGGAGGGTGATTGTTGGGAAAAGGTACATGGCGCCCTGGTACGACAATATTTAGTTAGATACTCTAGTTTGGAGGGGGAAAAAAAATCAGAAAGCTTACCTGAGGCTCCTGGCATTCAACACCCTCCATCTTGCGGAATGCCTCGTACAACGCCGTAGCGCGCTGTTGCAGCCCCTCCTTGATGCTGTTGTACTCCTTTTGATAGAGCTCGTAGCTCGGCTCACCCTCCTTGGGCGGGTTAACCATCAGCTCGACCAGGCACTGTCCAATGACTGGCGGGCAGAGCATAATGCTAACAAGCTTGTAGATCTGGGCTTGCACCTCCGGGTCAAAGTTGACCAGCTCAAAGTAGCCGCCTCGGTGACCGCATTCGCCCACCATTCCCTTGGAGACACTGTGCAGAGACGCCAACTCGACGCTGTCGTACTTGCCTGGGAATTCCTGCTGCAACTCCCGTAACCGTTTCCGGAACGAGGTGAATTCCCCGATGAAGACGTTGTTCTGGTAGACCTCGTCCGCAATGATGACTAGATTCTCCTCCACGGCAAGGTCGAGAACGTCTTTGATATCCTGCCGACTCAGACTGGCACCGGTCGGGTTGCCCGGGTTAATCACCACGATGGCCCGGACATCCACCCCGTTCTGCTTTGCCTTGACCAAAGACTCCTTAATGGCACTGACATCGGTACCCCAAGCCTTGCCTTCTTCCAGATAATACGGAACGCAGTGGGCATTCAGGACCGCCAAAGTGGCCGTGTAGAGAGGATACTGCGGAATAGGGACTAGCACGCCCGACGAGGGATTCGCGCAGATGACCTGCAGAAGGGTACTGACGCCAGACGAAGCTCCGGCAGAGAGAAAGATATCTTTCGGGTCAGCCGGGAAGCCATCGCGCTCTTCGATGAACTTTGCAACGCTCTCCCGGACGATCGGCGCTCCTTGGCTGTGGCTGTAAGCACCCACCGTGTGAACGCCCTTCAGCAACCTCCTGGCCCGGTCAATCACATCCTGCTTGTATCCAAAAGCTGATTTCAGCGCCTCCTCGTTCTCCAGCAACTTGGGGTTCTCCAAAAGGCTGAGGACTTGACGGAAGAAGGTGATCGGCTGTTGATCCAGCTGCTGTGGGTTGCCAATGTTGGCGAAAATCACCGTATCGAACGGCAACGACTTGTCACCCTTCTCCAGCCGCACCCGGTATTCCTCCGCCTTTGTTGCTAGTTCCCCGCGGACGGCGTACTGGGCATCCCGGACCTCCGGTCTGATATTGTTGATGTTGAGACGACGAGTCGCCATGCTGCGTCTACTCGTATAGGACAAGGACGGGTATGAGATACTCTCGGAGGTGACTAAAGGAACTACGCAGCAAACTTCATTAGCAACCACCGAAGCAGCCTGAGCAAGCGGATATGATATAATTCCCTCTGCAGTTTGGTTTGTGTTGTGCAGGACCGTTACCACGCACCCCCACTCAGATGACACACGCCCAGGACACGAGGATTTCCCGGATCAGCCCAAAGGACGAGGCGAGTGGGGGTGGTATGGGGAAACATGCAGCGGGGAAAACTCCCGACGTCAGTCCTGATTGATCCATAAGGGTGTCATGTCATGCGACCGTGTGATTCGAATTCGTACCTGAAGATCTGGGGCTTGAACTACCCAACAACGACCGCGGAGAAGACATCAACCGACGCCCAGGGAGCCGGGCATCCAGCCGTGGAAGGGAACATCGTGGCCGCGGAGACGAGAGCAGGCGGGATACGGCGACAGTCCTGGAAGCCATCTTTGCTGCCGTGAGGTGGTAACCGACTGTCGTGAATTATACTCCCCCGACGTCGTTGGCCGACAGGGTGAGAATAATAATTTAGGCGACACGTTGCCAGGAACGCAGCACGCGAGGCGGTGAGTCGCGGAGGCGGATGACAGGTTGGAGGAATCCGAGGCACGAATGAGAATCAGTTTTGGTGATTGCGAAACTACGGTACCGATGGCCTAACTGTCGGCCGACAGGAGCAATCTCCAGAATGCCGGCAAACGACCCGCTGCAATACCGCCAGGGACGAAGATTTGCGAGACTAATAATAATCGTGGAGAAAAATCCGAGCCGACGGAGAAGCGCGGAGAGAAGAGGACAACAACCGGTCCGAACCGATCGGGTATCGCCGGAAATACTCTTAAAGTAAGACCATGCAGCGAGGCCATCGAATTGAATGGGATACTTATACAAATTACTTTCTATACGTTACGTCGAGCAAATCTGACATAGCCACAAGCGCTCATGAAGTTAATCTAGCTGTAAGATCTGTAGCCGACATGCAATAATCTCTTCCAAACCAAAGACCGTACGTCCAAGCCAGGTACAGTTCAGTTCGTGAAGTTGAAGAACAACAGGAATGATGCTGCAGTAATTGTACAGCCCTAGCTTCTTTCGCTTCCCCGCAGCCGGACGGCCTGGCCGTACTTCTGCAGCTTCGTGATCAGAGCATCCCCTTGCTTCACCAGGTCCGCATACTGCTTGTTCTTGTCGTCGGGCCGGTTGGTTTCGATGACGCCGTTGACGCGGTCTATTGTGCAAGATATCCGATCGGCAGCAATGAACTTGGCCAGATCCCTGCGATGACTTTTAGTGACTGGACGCTGAAGTTAAAAGGGAGCACACTGCCCGTACCTGTCCAAGAAATCTACTGTGACGCCAAAGTCATTCGCCATACTCTTCAATCCAACAACCTTGTAGCTCTGGAGCAGCTGCTGATATCCTCGCAACCGCATCTCACGGACAAACCAGGCACGGTGCTCGTACAGGTAGCGATCCTGGCTTAGGAATTGGTCCTCCACAGCTGCCAACGCAAGGAAGTAAGACCGGTAGTTGCCATTGTAGAGACTGCTGACAAGGTTCGCAAGCGGAGAGAAATCAATCGGCGCTTCTGCTTCCGCCTGTACGCCCGGGCCAGTCCCCAGCGTCGTGAGGTTGACGGCGGTGGAGGCGGTCCCGCCGGAGACGTCTTTCATTTCCTCATCTCCAGCCCCAGGTCCCGAAGAGACGGCTCCTGTCAACGCAGAGAGCCGGTCTTTTCCCTCTCCGAGGATAGCTTTGATCTCCGGCGCATCGACAACCTTGGCCTTGAAGTCGACTCGTTTGAGGGAGAGTGAACCCGCAAGGACGGCATAGATCACCAGCGCGGAGTAGGTGCAGAGCTCGTAACTGGTAAACGTCGACAAGCTGTCCAGCAAAAGTGGCGCAGCCAGGTTGTACGAGCGGATTGTAAGGAGATGGATGCCCTTGTAAGCCTTCAATCGATTTCTCCTGTCCCAGTCACCACCGCTTTCGACCAGCGCATTCGCACGTTCCACAGTCTTCTTGACAAATACTTTGTCACCGAAGAAGAGCCCGACCCGGATCATCGCCAGAACCAGATCGATCTTCGTCCCCAAGATGCTCGTCTTCTCCAGCACGGCTTCGTATGCTCGAATCGCCTCGTCCTGAAGGGCATATCCCCGTTAGCTAAGATCCTCGTAGAGATTATCGTGGAAATTCTCCCACCTTATCTCCTACTCGCGCCCAGAACTCTGCGCGCTTGCCCTGCGCGGCTAGCACCTCTGTCTCACCGGCGGCTTCGGCGGCCTCTTCCTCTTCCTTCTGGTACTGCTCTAACTCTTTCTTGTTGTCTTCTCGTAAAGACTCGTAGAGCTTTTCGTCCCATGGGAAATCGATCTTCTGCGGTAACTTTCGTCCCGCGAGCATGTTCGAGGTGATAACAGGTCGGTTAGCAGCTCCGGTGGTCGAAGGAGCTGGCTGCTGCGGAACCCCTTCGCCGGCGTTGTTTAAGATCCCCTCGACCGGGTGCGCCAGATGCCGGTACAGAGGAGCCATCTTGTGTTCCTTAATAGCATTTTGAAGCTTCTTGAGCGAGTTCTGTCGGACTGTCTGCGAACATGATGGGTTGGAGAGATTGAAGATGTCTTGGGCAAGGCTCAGGTCGGGGTGTTTCGCGTACTGCGGGTCAGCCATGATGGCGGAGAGGAGAAAAACAAACCCGGTTAGGGAAGAAGAGGGAAAAGTTTATGAAAAGAGGAGGAAGAAATAAGGGTTTGATGTGATGGAGGGGATCGATCTGGAACGCTGCGACGGCGGAGGTGATCAGTCGCGTGGATCATCGTACCTGAACGGAGCTGGAGCCATGTTTTTCCAGCTCCGACGCTTATAAGAGCCGCCATCATATTATTGCACAGATCGACAGATCCATAGTTATTCGGCAGGAACAGGTCTATACCTACATATAATACGAGAGATGCCCTGCTTACTGCCGCTTCCATAAATATAATAGCAGACTTGATGCATCACAGAAATAGGTCAGAGAGCACCAATGTAGACCTCCTAACCTTACAACACAGACTACTGTTTATCTACAATCGACCATTTTAAAGGACGGTTTATGGAATAAAGATTTAATCTTTCTCATTGGATATTTCACCATGCTTCTCTTTGTTATTTCTGAGAACTAAGTATGAGCTACATGCATAGTCCATTTTGCCCGAACAGCAAATTATAAGAGACAGGATCTTGTGCAAATATCCCAATTATCCTAAGCGGCTACTGATCTGGACATGTTGAGGGACCCAGGTGCATTTTCTGTGGGGAAGATAATATTGAAAATCACGTTCATAGTTGCAGATTTACTACCTCTTCTTCATCCATTGTCGCAGCCGACTTTTCTCATTTTTCCTTTTCATCTGCGACGCACTTCATCTATGAAGATTGTACTAAAACATGCTCAATTAGAAAACGTTCCGTAGCTGATAAATCAAAAAAAAAGTGTGGACATACCTAGAGTCCATCATCCATTCCCGATTTATCTCATACTTTTTCTCAACTAGCAGGCATGCAGTAGTCACTTTTTCTTTCTCGTAAGCAGGCTCATTATTACCCAGTGCTCTAAAACATGCCCTGCCGCAACGTTCAGGGCGATCCCTATGACTCGGGATCTCACGGGGGCAGATGTAGATTTTCCTTTCTAGTTCCTTAAACGGGAGGAATTGAATCGTGCTGTAGCTGTTGTCTGCGGCAAATATTCCATCTTCCATATTCTGCACTTTGCTCGAAACTCGCCAGGAGACGCACTTGTGATAATACTCCCCTTTCAGCCAGTCGCACAGCAGGGGCAGTTGGAATTTAAGAGCCTCTTTAAGGATGTCGGCGTACAGCTTGTAGTCATGGCCATCCTTCTGACTGAAGGCTAGAGGGAAAAGCCCATGACGCATGTACCTTAGAAGGTGTTCAAAAACGTTGGGGTCGACGTCAAGGAAAATGGAACCGTCCTGTTGTTTTTCCACCGGTAATTCTCCATAAAAGAGATCCTGGAAGTACCTGCTCCTTTGTACAAGGGTGTCGATCTTGGTATGGAAAAATCGGTGGCCAGCTTGCAGGGTGACTTTTTCTCTCGGACTTGTAGCGTCGAATACATGTCCTTGCGTGGGTTCAAGTGTCCATTCGGCTTCTGAATGTTCTTCAGAAAGACCGCTATCCTGCACAGCGGTCATTTCTCTTCAGCAGGGAGACTTCGATGAGTGTCGCTAAAAGTAGCAGGGGACCGATTGAAATGAACAAGATTCCCCCACTGATCAAATTTTTCGCTTTCACTGATGTTTGAGAAAGATAAAAAAAAAACTTGTCGTATACTAACCCTTGCTCTCTGCACTGCGTTTTAACGGACAATTTGTTTGTGTACAAGGACTCGATTTTCCATTTACCGTTGCTGCCTCATGATTTCTGACGAGCCCATGACACGTTGAGGGTTTGCCGTGTCATCATCACGTATGACCATATTGAGTGATCATCGCGCAACGCAATATGTGCTGAAAAATTTCTGAGTCTCTGGATCATATATTTAAAGTTAATCTATGCAAGCCTGCAAGGAGAGGATGCCATTTGTGTTCATGGAGCTCGGAAGAGATTTGTGTGAAAACTGTTGGCATGCCAGCATAATAATACAATGGAGTTCTAGTAACTGTTGATGATTCTTAACGACAATTTATATGAGAGCATTGAGGACACTTGTCTGTGGGTAAGCAAAGGCTTCCTGACTCCAAAACTTCTTTCCTTCAACTCCTTTTTTTATCTCGATGGCGCTCCCTAGTGTAGCTGACGTACCTCTGACTGCTGGAAAGCGAAACGTCTAATTTGGTGCAATCCTTAATTTCCTTGCTGACAGAAGGCAGCGGATACCTGAAATGACGCTAGTTAGTTCCGCGCAGTTCACTGCCCTGAAGAAAGTTAGCACTTGGTGCCAGGATATTCTGTACCAACCAATTAATCATCCATGTGAATACGGACCCGTGTAGATCAATAGATCGACCGGCTTGACCTTTCTAGAACCCTGGGGACGTAGGTGATGACCGTTGAGGTCGAACCTGACAGGGTGTGATCGTGTGTAAGCCCCATGGAGCCTGTGAAGAGCAGAGTTGTACACGCGTGGGAGCCACATCAAAGCTGATTGGTGGAAGGCCACGGCGCCATGAACAGTCTAAAAAGCTTAGCATTCCTGCCTAATCTGGTAAACGCTCGCATGTTTTTTTAGCCGCCCTTTATCTTTTTTTATTTAGCCTTGCGTACTAACTCTCAAAAGATGGTGAACTCGGTACAAGGAGAAAAAAAAAGTCTGAATTCTGGGAAAACAGTATTCAAGCTCGAGAACGGACTCCAGAGCTTTGAAAAGACGAAAACGGAGTAAAAGCATACTTGCCCGGTTGTATATACTTCGTAGCCGGTGTCCACACCCTGAACCGGATTAGGAGCCACCGGGCCGCTGACTATCTTCCACGCGCCCGCTGCAAGACAGCGGGTATGGTGGGCCACCAGTCTACGCAATATCCATGTGTTGCAGCTGTTGCTGTTCGCCAGGCTTCCAGAATCCAGGATGTCGTGGTTATTGAGACAAAATGACAGTGAGAGGCTACTTACCTGATTCACAGGGCCAGGAGCGATCGAAATTATCCCAGGCTGTTTCGATAATGCAAGTTGTAGCGGAATTCGCCACCGTTTCTCTGGGGTGGAGGTGCCTACTGATGGGAGGTGCATGACGACGCCCTTCCGATAGAGCACGCCAGCACTTCAGACCTTATATCCAGTGACAAGGAAACCGAGAAGCACGTGGTGATGTGACGTGCAGAAGCTGCTCCCGCTAAGCACAAACCGACCTTTTTCGGCGACACCGTTCTGTTGTCGAACGCGGAGCTGGAGCAATCCTGTCGACGACGCCCCTGCATGCTGGATTCAAGGTTTGATAGAGGAACTTGATAGGTTGATGTAGCGGTCACCGTGGTGGGCACCAAGGCTGCCGCTGTCCATTGATCGATTTTTACCTCGGAAGGGCGGTCCGCAATGGATCACGCCAGCTGTTGGATTGCAAAATTTTGAAGGAACAGCACCCCATGGGCTACCTCCGAACCTCATATATCAAGAATTCTCGCGGCGTACATAGGCGACAGCCATGAAGACTGATGAAGTTGTTGCTACTTGAGGTTGGATCGAAAAGACTAGTTTCAGGAATTGACCACCAGCTTTTCGGAGATCATGACTGATAGTAGTTATAGGCAATCACCAGCGCATGGTACGGAAAATTGAGGCTGTAGTTAGGCTTACTAACCATATGATGGAACGTTGTGGCTGCAGTAATGATGTACGGAGTACTCCGTAGGCTGAAGAGAGAACCACCACAGAACAGCGCTACGGGTCTGGTGCACCTGTCAGACCATCCCAAAGTCCTTTTTTTTTGCACATGTCATTGGGGACCCCTATTATTGAATGCCGCCAAGTTGACACAATTTGGGGATAGGCTGCTCTCTGGCAAAGATTGCGGCCCCCAGCCGGCACGGGACAAGAAATGCGGTTTAGGCGTCTAGGGTTCACCCGACGTTGCCCTGCAAGGCAAGCTCCTACTGGTCCACCGAATTGCCCGTTATCAGTTTCCGTCGGAGCACTCGCCAAGGACGGGCCCAGCGGCCGAGGGGTCTGCCGCGCTAGCCAATCTCGTGGGGAACAACGCCCAAGGTTGGCCCCTAGTGTGTAGTGCGAAGTACATCGTCATCCTTTTTTTCTTGCGCTTTTTTCCCCGACCGGGAGAGGTTGCTACCTTCCAGATCTCGTGTGGAGCTAAGATGACCGGGTCCATGGTCACGTCCCACCTGCGCACGCAGTACAAGAACCGGGCAGGCTGCCATCCCGCCGCCGTTGCTCTTCTTTGGCTGGCCGTCGCTGTTGATCTTCTCAACCACGAGAGGGTATCCCTCCTCTACGTCGGATATCAGCTTCCAATCTGGCTGAGGATTGGTAGCTGAGCGCAGTTGCTCTTTTGTCTCTGTCCAGACAAGTCATACACCATGGCTTCGAAGCTGGAGAACGGGTCGGTTGACCCGCATCCCGCGTCTGAAAAGACGTCTGCGCCGCTCGAAGACGTCAATCTGGGAGTGGTACCCTTGGAGGATCTCCCCAAGGGTCGCTGGGAGCGCAGCTGGCCTGTTATTGCTTGCGGTGCTGGTCTCTTCTCTGATGGTTATCTCAATGGCGTATGTTTCCCCGCAATCGACGCAGATATCACCTTCCGCTACCGAAGATCACCAAAATCGATGAGCTGACATACCTGGACTCTTTCTAGGTTATCGGGCCCGTGAACACTTTGTTGGACAAGATCTATCCCGATACGTATGCCAAGTCTCCCGCCAGTCAAAATGTCTCCTCCATCGCCTTCGCGGGGACGGTCGTCGGCCAACTGGTTTTCGGTGTTGCGAGTGATTACTGGTCGCGCAAGTGGTCGCTGATGGCTTCTACCATCATCCTCATTATCTTCGCTGCGCTGTGTGCGGGGGCCTATGGCTACCATGGCAGCCAGTATGGTCTTTTCGCTGCTCTCACGGCTTACCGTTTCTTTCTGGGTATTGGGATTGGCGGCGAGTACCCTGCCGGTTCGGTCGCGGCGGCTGAAAGTACCGGTGAGCTCAAATCGGGCCACCGCAACCGTTGGTTCATCTTCTTTACCGACTTTGTCATCGATTTTGGCTTTGTCGTCTCGTCTCTCGTCCCCATGATCCTGGTCTTGATCTTCACCGAGAATCACCTCCGTGCGGTGTGGCGGATTGCTCTGGGGTTGGGAGTGCTCCCTCCACTCAGTTTGCTGTACCTGCGGTTCAAGCTGAAGGAGCCTGAAGAGTTCAACCGGGAGCGGATGCACAAATACCCGTACTGGTTGATTCTCAAGTAAGTACTGAGCCTGTCGGAAGTCTTGTTACCAACGGTCACTGACAATAGGGGAAGGTTTTACTGGAAGCGCCTTGTACGTTTTGAGCCCACCAACTCTGGTAATAACGGAAGCATAAGCTAACTTGATTGAGACCATCGTCTCCCTCATCTGGTTCATTTATAATTTCTCCTCGTATTCCTTCAGCATCTACTCCTCCAAGTGGATTTCGATTATCCTGGGAGACGATGCTCCCTTGTGGAAAAGCTTTGCATGGTCCGCCCTGACAAATGTTTTCTATCTCCCGGGGTCTTTTGCCGGCGCGTTCATGAGCGACTGGATCGGCCCGAAAGCTTGTCTGGCATGGGGAGTCTTCCTTCAAGGTGTTGTAGGATTCATCATGTCGGGCTGTTACCAGTGGCTTGCAACCCCCCAGAACGTGGCGGCCTTTGTCGTCGTTTATGGGTGAGTTCGGCCCATTCATGTCGAACATTATTATGATCTGAACCAACCTTTTTCGTCCAGGATCTTCCTATCCCTTGGTGAACTGGGCCCAGGGGACAACATCGGATTGCTGGCCTCGAAGAGCAGCTCGACCTCGGTCCGGGGTCAATACTATGGCATCGCAGCTGCAATGGGCAAGGTGGGCGCCTTTGTGGGAACTTATGTTCTCCCGCTTGCGCAAGAGAACGCCCCCAATCCGATCCGGGCTGGTCAAGACCCCTTCTTTATCTCCAGCTCGCTGTGTATCTTGAGCGCGGTGCTTACATGGCTGTTTATGCCTTACATCGGACAGGTGAGTCTCCTGTTAGCTAGGCGGTTGTCTGCTTTTGATCCTGGACTGATTAGCCATTACCTCTGGATAGGATACAATCACGGAGGAAGATGCCCGTTTCCGCCAATATCTCGAGGCCAACGGATATGATACCTCTACCTTGGGCAACCAAAGCCAGTAAGTGGACTCTGTGCTCCCTGCCCTTCTGAGCCCTTCCTTTCCATGACCTCGTATTTGTACCAAGTTCCGTGTATAGACCGTGAATGGAGCTGGGGCCTCCTGCATGTCTCTTTGATGGATCATGGTCCACAAATGAGTAATGCCCGCTGGACATCAAGGCACGATTTTATGGGTTCCCTATATGTACATAGAGCGATTTGAGACGTCTGTTGGTTGTAAGAGCAAATACATACCCAAGATTCGCTAGCGTATGACTTGGCGTTCTCTACCTCCATCCATCCAATGTGCTGCTTGAATTAAATAATCAGGCCTTGTCAAGAAGTATTAACTACAGCTTTTTAAGGAAGGGAACTGCGTTTTAAAACAAACGACAAAGGACTGCTCTTACTGATGGTCCAAGTCCAACCCCTGCCCCACGAGCCGAGACGGGGTTGAGCCGAGGTTGTTGACTCGGACCTTCTCCCCAGAGTCTGTGCGGTTGCTCGCACCCGCAGTCCGCGCTTGGCGTGCTCCGACTAGCATTACCCGATCGCTCATTTACCGACGTCTCGACGACGCTCGACTCTTTCTCAAATTCTTTCTTGCCAGCCTTCTCTTGCTTTTCGTTTCTCTTCTGACAGTGCCTTCTTTTCCTTGTCCTCACCAAAGGAAGTCTGTCGGGTTTTCTCCTCTTCCCACGCCTCCCAGCCTTTGATCCCATTACAGAGTGCGCAGGGCGCCATCGGCATCACGTGTAAATTGGCAGGACGAATTTAGAGTCAACATGGTTGCTGACGCGCTGGTTTACCACCCTTCGGTGGCTCACTACTTGCGCTTCATCGCTACTACGCGTATGTGGTCATCCTCCATGATCTCATCGGATCGCATTCCATCATTCCATCGATGGTATCTACGGTGGTGAAGACCAACGTTTCCATCACCGTCGTCTTCATCGGGATGCGTTGCCTGACGATTCTACAGTTGGTCGCGATAAGGTTCTCCGGACTCTGCAATACTTTGCCCGGTTCTACGCCTGGTACCTCTACCGTACCAACAAGCCGCAGTCGTCGATCGCTCCGTGGGATGCGATCAAGAAGCAGTTCGGCTTGACCCGCAAAATCCTCCGCGCCGGAAAGTTCGTCGAGCACCTCAAGGCTGCGGCCGTTGCTTTTGACAACAAGAACCCCGTTGACCCTGTGCTCCGCCAACTGGCCGTCGGCCGCCAACTCGGCTACGCCGGCTATCTCATCCTCGACAACCTGACGTTGGGGGATGCGATCGGTTTCAAGAAGTTCGACGCTGCCAAGAAATTGCAGGTCCATGCCTACCGTGCATGGCTGTCTGGCTTGATTTTCAGTTTTGTTGCTGGTGTCTACACCCTGTGGAGATTGCAGGAGAAGGAGAAGACGATCAACCGGAAGGAAGGTGAAGGTGTGGTGGAGGCTAAGAAGCTCGAGAGGTGTGTGCTGCGCTGGCTCTTCTATTCGATTCTCGCACTACCACGGAACCTTTGGATGCGTCACTGGAGCTACCTTCACTGTGATACTTGTCTACAGCTTGGTTTGCTGACTCTGATTTTGAATATAGAGAGCGCGCCGCGGCTCGTATTCAGCTCATCTCCGATATCTGCGACCTTACTGTGCCCCTCTCTTCTCTGGGTTACGTCAAGTTCGATGATGGTATCGTCGGCATCGCCGGTACTATTAGCAGCTTGATCGGTGTGTGGTCGGCGTGGAAGAAGTGTGCGTGAGTTGACCACTTTGTGAATCGAATCCGGGACTTGCCGGTGAGGTCATGTGCGAGCGAAAGAGATGGCGGAGGCGCACAGGTGGTCTATATCGCTGGACCGTGCGATTTCCGCGTTTGAAGTGGAACTCCAACGATTATATACGGAGGGAAGAACAAGCCTTGTCGACTATCGTTTTTACCTTCGTGGGCTCGTATATGGTTTTTATTGTATCCTTTTCCTTTGTGTATCCATCCAACTTTTCTCTTTCTTTTTTTTTCTCTCTCCAGGTGTCAATCAGCTTTGTGTTTGCCCTTGTTCCTGAGAAAAGGCCTCTGGGACCTGGGCTTTTAGTGCATTTGACACATGTTTTACAGGTTACGTTTAGATAGGTTATGCCGACTAATTTACGACTTCTTGAGCATGTCTGGAGTTGTCTTGTTCTCAGCCAGGAGTTGCGTCCGTCTGTGATTAATTGTCTGTTTCACGCTCATTGCAGGATTGAAGGCCATCTTGTTCAACTTCTATGGCACTTGTACGTGAAATCACAGAAAAAGTGAAATTACCTCCTTCCATTCATCAATTCTAGCACAATGCCCGAGGACAGCTTCTTTTCCCATCATTGGAATTGCATATTTAATTACATAGCCGTTCGACCAAACAGCAGGATCGAGGTTGACATGTTGACGTCTTATGAGGTTAGTCTGAATGCTCTTCATTCCTGAACCACGTATTTGTATTTTTGGCAGCAGCCGGCGTGGCAACAAGCTTTCTCTTGGCGATCATGGACTGCAGCTTGTTGACAACCTGCCAATAGCCTATGGGTCCACTGGGTATATCATACCTCCATAGTAGGTATGGGCGACGGTCCATGTGGAGAGCTCTCAGGCCTTGCCTACCTAGGCATGTACTCACATTCTTCTAGCCAACTATATGTGCTCAGACACCATGCGTTGCCCTTGCTATTCGATGACGCGCTGATGACCAATATCCCTTTTCGCCTCCAGACGTCCTCGGCTGTTAACTATTGCGTGGCTTGTATACATGTATGCAAGCCTTCTGCAAGGCACGGGCGACCCACCACCGAGGTATCTCGGCTCTGCAGACGCAGAAAGGGATGATCTGGATATCGAACATGCATAATCAACGGTCCTCCTTGCTTGGCATTCCATTCCTTATCATCATTGCATACACTTCTGGCACCTGCGCAGCGAATTGGAATCGACAATGCTGTCGATATGCATTCTGGCTGACCCGTCTAACGGGGGAGGGCCTGCCACACCGGTACCCGCATCATCATCAAGATGCTGATGGAGAAATCGTCATAAAGAAAACAGGATCTCTTGGGGTTTTTTTTTTCTTATTCTTGGCAGCTGCTCTCAAACTGCGCTTTCTTGTCGTGCTATTGGTCTCGACCAAGCTTTCCAGCGGTTTTCGTGTGCCTCCTGGGGCATACGCTTTTCGAAGCAGCGTTAGCGGTGCTTCTGCGCCGGCCAAGTCGACATGTTACGGCCGATTCTCGACATCAGTCCTCTCAATGTCGTGGCCTCTGTTGCCGGTAAGATGGTCGTCTCTTATCGAGGGGACCTGACCTTCAGGAGCTGATGTAGTTTCATTTTTTTAGGTCTCTTTATCCTGATTTACGGATATATATCGATCAAGATCCAGCAGGTCTGGTATCTGGGAGAAGCCCGTAGGAGACCTTGCCGCTATCTATGACCATTGTGAAGAACTCAATTGACAATCCGCACGGTTTCCAGTACCTGCCTTCGTTCTCGGTATTCTTCTGGGACCGGTCGGTGCTGACATCCTCGATGTCTCTCAATGGGGAGGTGACAATGCAGGGCACGTCCATGACATTGCCTATGTACGTTATCGAGGTGGAATACGTGCGAGCAATAGATATTGACGTATGCAGGGTCTGTCCCGGCTAGTGATTGGAATCCAGCTCGTCAAAGCCGGGTACGAGCTCCCAAAGCAGTATCAGAAACAACGAGGTGTCGAGATGACGATATGTTTGCTACCGGTGATGACTATGATGTGGCTCTCCACCACAGCTTGCATCAAGCTGATGGTTCCGAAAATTTCTTTCGTACGCCAGCAATGAGCTCGTTGGAAGCAGCAATTTTAAACCCCTTTCTGACACAGATCGTGCAGGTTGCCGCGTTGATAATTGGATCTTGCGTCACTTGTACAGATCCGGTTCTGTCTCAGGCCATCGCGAAAGGACCATTTGCGGACAATTATGTCCGTCGACCGCTGCGCGAATTCATTTCGTCCGAGGCAGGAGGGAACGACGGGTTTGGATTTCCGTTCCTTCTGCTCGCGGTCTCGCTGCTTCGTTACGCAGAAGCCCCGGACAACGCCGTCTCCCTTGATGAGTATGACCAGGCCAAGGGAATACCGGATCAGCTGGGGATGGAAGAAACAGGGCGGTTTGGAGGAGGTACGGATACGGCATTGAAGCACTGGGCGATCGAAGGGGTGATCTTTATGGTTTTGCTGGGCTTCGCATATGGCGCTATAGTCGGGACGACAAGCCGGGTGTCTCTGAATTTTGCCTTGAAGAGGTGAGTGCGTCCTATCTAGTTGGTAAGGACTCTTCTGATATGCGAGTTAGAAAATGGGTTGATAACGAGAGTTACTTACTCTTTCCGCTGGCTCTCGGGGTATGATGTCCCTCAGACTCACCAGGGAGGGCAGCGCTAATCTGCCTGCAGCTTTTTATCATAGGAACATGCGGTTGCTTTGGTTCGGACGAGACGCTGGCCTGCTTCGTGGCGGGTAACGCCTTGAACTGGGACGGGCGCTATCTGGCTGAAACACATGCGCGCCACGACATGTTCAACGCCATTATCGAGCGACTCCTGAATTTCGGCGCATTCATGTTCATCGGCTTAATCATGCCGTGGGATGAACTCGTCTCGCCCGAGAAGACTGGACTCACCATTGGTCGGCTTCTTGGGTTAGGGTTTCTGGTGCTGGTGTTGCGTCGCATTCCGGCGATCATGCTGTCGTACCGGTTCATGTCGAACATCTGTCGGGACTGGAAGGAGGCTTTATTCTTGGGATACTTTGGGCCTATTGGTATGTTGCACAGCATGCGCATTTGGGGGTTTACATATGTGCTGACGCGGATGATATTGAAGGCATCGGAGCAATATCTTATGTGGAATATGCGAGGCGCCTGTTCCCTGATCCAGGGAAGAGCGATAGAGAGATCAATAATCTGACTGCAGTAATGATTCCAGGTAAGTAGAGCCCGGTGCTTGCTTCTCTTTTTCACGAACTGAATTTTCGTCGCAGTGGTCTACTGGCTTGTCTTTTCTCGATCGTTGTCCATGGGCTATCTGTTCCGGTGTTAAATGCCATCTATAAATACTTCAAGGTCACGCCCGTCCACGACGACCCGGTTGAGGTCTTGCTCCTGTCGCAGAACGAGCCACTGCCGAACAACAGCACCGCAACGCCGCAACGACACTCGGTAATCCTGAACAATCGGTTCTCGCGGAGAGATGATGAGGAAGACATATCTCACCGGTCCACTGCAAGCGTAATGGTCGAGCGTGCTCGACACTACCAGCAGCAGCACCAGCACTATCATCATCATCACCTGCACCACCGCCAATCCTTGCATGGATCAGACGAGTTTGAGATTTTGCATCATAGCGAGGAGGGCCGTGTTAGCACGGAAAGACTGACGAGCAGAGAATCTTTCCCGAAGGATAATCAGGATAATCACAATAGTCACATCGAGATGCGGAATATGATATAGAATAGAATAGACTAGGCATGATCTACTTGGTAAATGAATAGATATATAGATGTATCTATAGACAGCAATGGTTGGTTGGCATAGAATATATTCATTCTTGTTTATTCACAAATGAATGCAAATAGTTAGATAAATTGACTTTCTTTTTTCTTTCTTAGTCTCGGAAAAAGAGAGAGTACTAAGAGGGAACGTTTGACATTCAGTCTCAGCTATGTAGCTTAGCGAGCGAGCCTCATACGAAGCAGCAATCCATCCATCCATCCATCCATCCATCCATTCGTCTCTAACTCAAAGCATCTCAGAATGGAATCAAGTTTATCCTTTCGTCCACTCTCACTCACTCCACACCGGTCTATGTTTCTCTCTCACACACTCTCCATAACCGCCTAATCACTTCGACGCCCCATACTATATGATATGATATGGTATCATACGGTATTATTCGATCGATCGATGTAGATGAATGGATGCATGGATGGACAGCCTTTCTCCTTCGTTTACTCGTTCATTCGTTTGTTTAAACAGGGCAGGTCTAAAAACACAGTAGTGAGTACATTGTGATTAACTAGTAGTTAAATCAAAGGGTAGGAATGGGAGGAACAAGGGATGGGTATTTGTTGTCGCTGCAGTTGCTGCAGTTGCTTACCTTTCCACAAGAGTTGCAGGTCTTGCTCTCGCCTTGGATGGCGGCACCGCAAGCGGGGCAGGCTTCGTGGGCGGCGGGCATTTTCGAAGTGTCTTTCTTGGTTGTTGGTTTGAAGGTAAGGGAATTGGTAACTGTCTTTAATCAATATTCATGTCCAGCAATCTGACGTTGATTTTGACGTTGACTTGGGCTTGGACTTTGCTGTTGTGAAATGAAATGAGATGAAATGAAGGCGATAAACAGAATGATAAATGTATGTATATGTATGTATATATGTACGAGTAGGATACAAATCGAATCTGCAGTACACTTACCTACAGCGTCTGTAAGATCTCTCTTGATGACGAAGAGAGCTAAAAATCGATGTCGTAGTATGTTAGAGAAAGAAAGAAGAAAAGATAAAGACAGAAAAGATATGCTTAAGTAGGCACCTGATATAAATAACCCCGCGCTGCGAACGCAGTAAATTCAGGGTCCGTGATTTGCTATTCCCCACCTACGTACAAGCACATCCACGTGTTCCGTTTCTGTGCCCCGCCACCAGGTATATACCTACCTAGGTAAGATAACCGCGTTCATGGGATCTGCTCGCCTGACACCTGTAGTGTAGTTCTGTACCTAGGACATGGGTAGGTAGGTAGTGAGTCGCATTAGCTGGATAGATAAGGGATTTATTTTTACTGCTTCCTTGTGCGGAGTAACTAACTGCAAATCTGAGTTCCAGAATGACGTGGTGTCATGCGCTAACTTAGGGCTTTGAGAGGGAAAAAAAGTCCACGAACGGCTATGAATGAAGGAAGGTCGTCTGACCTTTACTTCACTATTGCAAATCGTATGAATGCAGTCAGTAGTGAGAGCGATTGTGTGACTCAGATGACTGCTTTAGCTCTTATGAGGACTATTCGTCCTCAGTTCTTCGATCACAATCTCAATCACGGGCCTTTTGTTTTCTCTTTAACAGACTTAGATGCGAGTAATATTCTGGTTGACAAGGACTGGAATATCAAATGTATTATCGATTTGGAATGGGCTACTGTGCTTCCTATAGAATTTATGCGAACTCCAATATGGCTGACCGGCCAAGCGGTTGATGATATTGACATTGAAGCTTATAATGAACTTCGCAAAGAATTCATGGATGCCTTTAAAGAGGAAGAGCGAAAGTGTCCTGCAGAGTATAACTTGCACCGGGCATCCATTATGGAGAACTGGAGAACAGCTGGAAATCAGGAGCCTTCTGGTATACCACAGCTTTGCGGAGTCCGACTGGGCTCCATGCTATCTTTTACGACAGGATCCAACTTTTGTATTCCGAGAAACATGCCGAAGACCCAAACTTCTTTATCATCCTCTGCCAATATTGGGGTCGTGGGGCAGCAAAATTCATCAAAACGAAGCTCGAAGACAAAAGGACGTATGATAAGAAGCTTCGAGAAGAATTTGGCGAACTCTGACGCCATCAGGATGATGAATTTCGCAGAAAGTGATTGCATGGGTTTACATTACAGGTGTGCGGAGGGCCGAAGGTCCGGAGCATTTAGGTATAGTAGGCTTTATATTAGCTTCCTTAATAGGCTTTACAAAGGCTCTCTTATAGGCTTTCTTAGGGGCTTTATAAAGGCTTACATATATTATAGGCTTGCGGAGGGCCGAAGGTCCAGAGCATTTATAGGCACTAGTAAGCCTAGGTGTTCTTTACCCTTCAAGCCTAGACGAGCGGAGCGAGTCGTTAAAGGCTTGTATTTAATAATAACTTAGATACAACAGTTAACTTCTCTTAGTCTTAGGCACTAAAACAAAATATATAGTCTGTAAAACATCTAATTAGAAGCAACCTTAAATATTTACTCTGTGTGTCTAATAATCATGAATTTACAGGTGCCATAGAACTAGTATAGTAATATCTTGCAAAGTGAATACTGTTAAGCAGCTGGTTATCTTAATTTTTAACTTTGGAAGTTGAAATTCTCTTAAGACAATGTAAATGCTGGTTTTAATTACAAGATTCCCGTGTGGCTAGATACAAATCTTGGACTTAAGTGCAGGATTACCGCAAGGCCTAGGCTAGAGTCCTCCGGACGGAGTTCTCCGTACTAAGTATCAGTTCTATTTTCAACAACGGAGGCTTATTTAGTTACATACGGCTCGTGTCGGAGATACCCCTTACCCCGCAATCCGCACCGTGACTAGCCAGCGGGCGATGACATAGTACGGAGTACTCCGAACAGAAAGAGTACATATCTATCATGTATATTACTACTGAGCAATGGCAACATCAAGTCAGAGAATAGAAATCAAAGATGAATATAATATTTCTAAGAAATCCTGGATTGTTAGATAGGATAAATAGTGGTTGAAGAAACTTGACAACAAGTACCGAATAGTGTAATACTGATATTGCTCGGTCTATATCAATGATTAGGGTTCATATACTCCGTACTTGATATTCTCTTTCCTATCTTCTGTTTATTTTCGATCTCTTTCTGTCACCTTCGCCAGAACAATACGACCGACGTCAAGAAACGAAAATGATGTCATAGAGGAGCAATTGCTCGACATTTACCTTCCACTCCTTCAGATATATTCAACTCTCTGTACGGACTACTCCGTACTCCGTACGCTGACTACTCCTCGGGTATCTACGGCGTCGGGAAATGTAGGAACGGCAGGCTGGCCTCTGGGGTCGGTTAAGTAAGGATCTCGGGACCGGGTTTCGGGTACGGACCCGGGTCACGGGCCCGACATGGGCCAACCGAGTTGGGAATCCGACATCCCCGGGCGACGGAACAGAATGAATGTACCTTTGTCTAGGTAGCTGCAGTGGACCAGCTGGGGCATCCCTTACACAGGAGCTTGATTCATACCTGCAACGAGAGGAAGAACGTGTCGCAATGCTTGAATCAAAAATGCCTCACTTGTCTACATACAGACATGTGACGTGGGTAAATTCCTCGGCCTCAGATTCCAGAGAACCGGGCCGGTCTCCTAGACAATAAAGAAAAGACTCATAATATCTGCAATAGTGTACACGATGGCCTGGAACGACAGGTCCAGAGTCTGGCACGATCGAAAGAAGGGTGGGGGCCACCACTTGATAGGCAATGACGACCTAATAGTCGACACGATTATTGAAAACCGGCATGGGAGTGGCTCAGCTCTCAGGCGGGGGTCCTCCTGCAAGGACGGGACTCCCAGGACCGCAGTTTATTGGTAGTTGCTTATTATGGATGTCGTACAATTGGGAACTGACAAAGGGGTTCAGGATGGACTCTTCTTCTGGTCAGAAGGCGAAGATGAAGATTATCCCAGAAGGATATGCCAACAGTGATGACCCGTTAATTCTTTGCGTTCTGGTTGCTATATCCACAGTGAATTACGACTCTTACGTCTTATCGATGAAATTGTCCAGCATGATGGCCTTTTCAGGGTGCAGACTAGCAGGACGATCAAGCAGTAGTAGTTCTTCCAGGTTTCATATCTTTGTTGCGGAATAATTCGGAACAGGATATTTAGTATCCTACAGTATACTCCATCGAGGCATTGCACCCTTGATGATATTCTCTTGATCTTCCCCTAGTTCTGTTTCTTTCGAAAAGAACGCAAAAATAGCTGCCAATGGCTCGTGTGTGGATGTCTCTAGGAAGCCTACAGTACTGCTGTGACATATACGGGGTCCTGCGTCATGACGTGTCTGCCAAGTATCTGGAGTCTCGTGTGCCATTGTGATATTGACTGCCGTTCGCTGATCTTCCCGAGTGGGGCTGATTGAATACAGCAGCCTGCGTCTCCCTTTCAAAGAAAGGACTGCTTGTGTGGCGATATACAAGTGCCCGTCGACTGTCTGGAGACATGATGCATCATACTACAAACACGACCTCCTTTTCATTCGCATTCTCTTGAGAGCCATGTTCATACTGTACGAGTACTCTGTATGCTGCGATGGTCTGGGGAGATGCAGCGGAGGCTTACCCAGCTGGTGCTAGCCCGGCTGCAGGCGAAAGGCTTAGCCGAGCCCATGCCGGGTGCGGGGCCTGGGCCGCTTTCGTCCGGATCGCCTGCGTCACCTCTGCAGCTGCCCCACGACGCCTGGCTCGCCGCCGGCCTGGCTTCTCCGCAGTCAGCAGGCATCGCGGATCAATGGAGAGAGCCACTGGCGAGGCGAAGCAGTTTCCGTGTAATAGTATTGGTCCCTTGCCATTCACCTCGTCGTCGCCGAGGATCAGTCAGAAGTATGTACGCCTGTTCTGTACTATACTACAAGGATATCTACTTGCCGTTCATACAGTCACAGCGATCTTGTTTCGGCATTTGTAGTGCTTATTCTGCCATGATGAGGTCACGTCCCAGAAACATCTGCGTCTGCGTAGAAGATCCTCTGGAACTTCAAACTTAATTGACAGCCATGGAAAGAAATGATGCGACCATTGAGGATTCGTGAGATCATCGTCATCAATCCTACCCCAGATGTAGGACCCCGACAGACGTATTGAGTGCCTGCATTCCACCAGTTGAGACTGGATCTATGAATAATAGGAGTTCTGACGGTAAACCGAAAAAAAATATAAATTCTATGCAAGAGCTGTAGTCAAGTGATCCTGCCGCCCGCTAGAGCAAGTGTGCATTCCGCTCCCTCTTCCACGCCTTGCCAGCGTAGAATCATTCTGTCGCCTCCAAATTCCATTCTATTGGGCATTATTTTGACGATAATCGCGCTCAGTGGCTACTCTCGCGTGCTTGCCTCGTTACTAGTACCTGGCCGCATTCGGGTTATCTCGACCCTGCGTGTTCCCTTCCGTCGTTCGGGTCATTTCGGACACGCTCGTCGCGGCTTCACCACCACTCACCTCCACGGCAATTCTGCCCAACTCCCAGCTCCGCCATATCGCCCCGGTATCTTCCGTGGAACTGTGGAGAACCACATGGGACATTGAAGACTAAATGTCCTCCCTGGCTTCATCAATCGCGATGAATCCCGCTGGTGCAGTGTCCTCCACGGCTACTAATATACCCCTCCTTCGCCCAGTCTCTCCTGGTCCTGGTCACTCAGACTTCATCCGCCAGCAGATTGCGAAGCAACAGTACAACAACTACCACTCTTCATCTCTCAAGATGATCGCCAAATCCGTGAACAGGACTGCTCTGCACCCAGGCGGTGTTCAGTACGTTGACCACTGACCTCCTGAGCCTTCAATGACCACGCCGTCGACTGACTTGCAACTATAGGCCTGGCAAAGGACACACGGAACTGGAAGAGGAACTCCACGAAACTGCCCACATTGACTACGAGCGTGTCGCAATTGTAAGAAATGCCTCAACCTTCCATGACCAACCCGACGGATGGCGGCATCGATAATGCTGCCATTTCGATTGCCGGCTACGAAGCACAACATGTCGGACTGAGCCATTTTCGTTTGCTAATCTGATCCCTGTTGTCTAGGTTGCCAACCCCTCGGTTCCTGCCCTCTACGAAGATGCTCTTGTCTACGAGACTGGAACGGCCATCACGTCGTCCGGAGCTCTGACTGCATACTCGGGTCACAAAACCGGCCGCTCTCCATCAGACAAGCGTATTGTCAAGGAGCCAACCTCCGAGAATGAGGTCTGGTGGGGACCGGTCAACAAGCCGATGAGTCCAGAGGTATGTTTTCTCAGTTGACCCGGCATGTGCTACATTATTTTGCGGCTTTTTTTTTTGATCGGATCTTGTGATGTCGCGTGCGCTTTTGAGCTTGTACCGGCTCCACTTGTCGGATGATGTTTCCTTGCATATGCAAGCAGCCGCCGCACTGCTCTTTTTGGTACACCCCTTCTGCATCAACTTGAGGAATGCGCGATTTTTGAGAACCGCAATGGGAGACTGGACTCGAGAATGGATTCAGCACCATTCTTTTGCCACTCGACATCTGTTCTCGTCGCTGCTTCCTCCTTGCTGCCTTTTCTTCCTTTCCCCCGGCTCTCGGCTCGTCCTTGCAGCTTTCCCCGCAATTCGGGTGGTCTCAGTCACGTGACATGACGTAATCGTTACTAACGGAGACTGGCAGGTCTGGCGAATCAACCGCGAGCGCGCCGTCGACTATCTCAACACGCGAAACCGAATCTACGTGATTGATGGGTATGCCGGCTGGGACGAGAGATACCGTATCAGTGTCCGTGTCGTCTGCGCTCGCGCCTACCATGCGCTGTTCATGCGCAACATGCTCATCCGTCCCAGCCGGGAGGAGCTCGAGCACTTCCACCCAGACTATGTCATCTACAATGCCGGTTCCTTCCCGGCCAACCGCTTCACCGAGGGTATGACCTCGGCCACGTCGGTGGCCATCAACTTCGCCGAAAGGGAGATGGTCATCCTGGGTACCGAGTACGCCGGAGAGATGAAGAAGGGTGTCTTTACCATCTTGTTTTACGAGATGCCCATCAAGCACAATGTCCTGACCCTGCACTCCTCGGCCAACGAGGGCGAGAACGGAGACGTGACTGTCTTCTTCGGTCTGTCGGGTACGGGCAAGACCACCTTGTCTGCTGACCCTAAGCGTCGTCTGATTGGTGACGACGAGCACTGCTGGACGGACCGCGGAATCTTCAACATTGAGGGAGGCGTAAGTTGAAACCCAACCAGTCGTGATGGTGTTCCCTTAAGCTAATTCAACTGAGCAGTGCTACGCCAAGTGCATTGGTTTGTCGGCTGAGAAGGAACCCGACATTTTCAACGCCATCAAGTTTGGCTCCGTCTTGGAGAACGTGGTCTTCGACCCCACGACCCGTGTCGTCGACTACGACGACGCCACCCTTACTGAGAACACTCGCTGGTAAGTTTTTTGATTCATGGACAGACGTACACGATGACAGGTTACTGATCTCTATGACAGCGCCTACCCCATTGAATACATTTCCAATTCCAAGATTCCTTGCATCACCGACAAGCATCCCTCCAACATCATCCTCTTGACCTGCGACGCCCGTGGTGTGCTGCCGCCGATCTCCAAGCTCACCACGGAGCAGACCATGTTCCACTTCATTTCCGGTTACACCTCCAAGATGGCCGGCACTGAGGATGGTGTGACGGAACCGCAGGCGACATTCTCGTCGTGTTTCGCCCAGCCCTTCCTGGCTCTGCACCCGATGCGCTATGCGAAGATGCTGGCTGAGAAGATCGCTGAGCACAAGGTCAACGCGTGGCTGCTCAACACCGGCTGGGTTGGCGCTGGCGCCACGACCGGAGGCAAGCGTTGCCCGCTGAAGTACACTCGTGCCATCCTGGACGCCATCCACAGCGGCGAACTCGCCAAGGCCGAGTACGAGGTCTACCCAGTGTTCAACCTCCACATTCCCAAGTCGTGCCCTGGTGTGCCTTCTGAGCTGCTGAACCCGAAGGTCAGCTGGTCAGCGTCGGTTCCTTTCGAGGACGAGTTGATCAAGCTGGCCAAGCTGTTCAACGAGAACTTCAAGAAATACGCCGACCAGGCGACGAAGGAGGTCATTGAGGCGGCTCCCGTTGTGGATTAAACGTTAGTCCCAAGGGATGAGATTGACATTATTTCCTTTATTTCCTTTTTTGCCGCATGCTGAAGAATGAATACTGCGGCCAGCTCGGGCATATCTGGTGTTGATCATTATTCTAGAGTGTGTTTGTTGCATCTGCATTATTCCCTGCATTTTTACCCCTACCTTGTCACGGCATGGTTACTGTTTATTTTTTTTAATGGGATATTCTCTGGGTTATATGTATTTGGATAGGGAGAGTTTCCCTAGGCACCTGATCGGGCCACCTATAGGCTAGTATTGAAATGAAAGAAATATCAACATGATAATTTCCGCGATATGAACAGTAGTAGTAGCAGCTATAGCAGCGTTGTAGCAAAGGTCTTTCTTATCTCCAACAGGCATGAGAGTGTATACTGTATTTACAACTTAGGCGCTCTGATGTATGATTTGCAGGCACACCACTCTGATAGTATAATAGGAGAAAAAAAAGTTCCATCTACGTCAACCAATTCCCCTGCTCATCCTCAAACCCAAACTCCTGGTTCGTCCACCCGAGCAGCGTGACGCCTTTTCCGGGGATATCGTACTGCAGGGAGGTGATCCCATCCGAGATGCGAACCTTTCCCACCGTGCGATGCGCGTTGTTCATCGTCTCCATCTCCTCATCCGTCAGCGTCACCAGCCGGATGTTCTCCTCGATCCGGGCCGGCGTGCCGCTCTTGGGTATCACGACGATGCCGCGCTGCACTGCCCACGACAGCGATACCACTGCGGGCGAGCAGTTGTGGTTCTTGGCGATGTTGACGAAGAGCGGGTGTGTTAGGATCTGGGGCGCGTGGCGGCCTCCGAGGGTGCTGTAGTGAAGAAATCGGTTTCATTAGCTTTCGTTCTGGAAGAGAATAACCCCTTCGAGGGTGTTAAAAAAGATGGCGTGGTTACCTCCAACTCATAACTTGGATACCCTTGGACTGACAGTAGGGCACGAGATTGAAATTCGGGTTCAGCGCATGCAACTCCACCTGGTTCACGACCGGCACGATCGTCGCCTCTTTCAGCAGGACATCGAGCAGTTTCTGCGTGAAGTTACTGACGCCGATGGCCCTGCACTGCTTGGCCGTCTCGCTGTTGCTGCCATCGACCAGCTTCTCCATCAACTTCCACGTCTCGACGTACGTGGGGGACTCGTCCGGCATAAGCGGCTTTTTCCCGTCCGGCGTCAGCGCGCACGGCCAGTGCATCAGCAGTATGTCGACGTACTCCAGCCCCAGCGCTGTCAGCGACCGCTGCAGCGACGTCGCCGGGTCGTGGTGCATGTCCCCCCAGAACTTGGTCACGACGGTGATGTCCTCGCGCGGCACGCTGCTCGCGCGGATGGCCTGGCCGACGATGTGCTCGACGCCGTACAGCGTGGCGGTGTCGATGAGCCGGTACCCGGAACGCAGGGCGTGAACGATCGAATCGCGCAGTTGATCTTCGTCCGCGGCGCCGTGGCGGCCTTGCCAGGTGCCTAGGCCTATGGCTGGGATGGAGGTCCCTAAATGACAACAAAGTTAGTTATGTACTGTACGGGACATAAAGAAGATGGACAACAAACCATTGTTCAGCTTGAATCTCGTCTGACAAATCGGGACTTGCTCGACTGCCATGTTGACACAGTCAACACTGTTTTCCTTCTATATAGAGAGTAGAGAGTAGAGTAGCCTGTCTGTTTGTTTGTCAACTGGACAGACTCCCCGCACTTAGGACGTATATCTTGTAGGTTAACCTATTTATATAGTGTCTGTCCCGCAGCCGTTATCACCGCCGTACTACTGTACTCCGTACCTGACCAAGACGGGAAGACCCCACATCGGAGATTATTCGACCAAATTCCAGCGATTATTAACTAGCCAGGGAGATAGCGGTTTGGAAAAAATTAACTCCGTCCGGCATTGGATGTTGTTAGCTGCCGTAGATTTTGGTTTCATCACTCTATCTTTTTCTTTCTTTTCTTTTTTTTTTCAGAGACAGGCAAGGTTGTGTGATGTCCTGTCAGCACCTAAGTAGTCAGGAGCTAGGTAGCTCTATGGTGGGGCCATACCTTGTTTATCGGTTCCAAAAAGGGAAACTACAATAACCTCATCTCACCTTACTTACCTCACTACTCACCTCACACTGACTCACCAAGTGAGATGAATATTAAAAAAAAGAGAGAGAGAGATGTAAAAAAGCTCACACCAGGGGTCCACCCTCCCAGGACCCGCTGGTGCTACGAAAACCCCCACCTATGCTTTTGGCGGGCAGGGATTTTACTATCCACCTGTCTATATTGTTTTTTTTAAAATATTGGGGTTCTTTGAACCCAGAGGGATTCGAACCCAGGCTGTTCATGTGGATGTTAGTAGGTATAAGAGACTTAGGCTACTTAACCACTGCACCATCTCAGCCTGTGTTTGTTGACAAGGAGACAGACAAAGAAATTATATCTGGCCCTGTTGTGGGGTGGCTGAAAGAGGGAGGGTTTTTGACGTACTTTACTTACCTTAGGTACCTCTTGATTACCTGTTAGTAGTAGGTAGGCAGGTACTGAAGGTGGAAAGCTACCTACCTACCTAGGTACCTTAGGTTGGCTTCTAAACAGAATATATATCGTGTGCATTACATTCTAAAAGATATGTGCCAAGGAACACCTATTATATGTAATCGATCCTATTTATCATAGGGTATTGGTGATATCTGAAGGAGATAGGAGATGAAAAAATATAATTATGTCTGTCAGGTCCTAAGTAGGTGCATGTAATTACAGAATACGGTCTTCAGAACAGACTCTCGGCCTCTCAAGTCCTTTTATTTTATTTTATTTCCATTTCTTATGGATCGGCGCGCATTCGCTATCCGGCTGGTGCGTTTGTTCTGTTCTTTGCATGCAGAGAAGAATTCCAACCTCATCGAATCTACATAATACAACAGCCAACAAGCCTTCAACGCACTCGTCTGCTGGTCTAGTGCTTCTTCCACACCATCCCCAACCGCTGGAAATAAGAGAACAACGATCGCCTCGGCACATACCCCGCTTATCGTGCCTGCCACCATGACGCAAACGTTCCCTCAATCGGTCCCAACTCTCCGAACCCCAATGCCTCGATCACCCAGGGCATAAGAAGGACCCGTATTCCCAAAGTGACGATGGTGCAGTAGACTGGATGGTCGCGCGCAAAGTCGACGGCTGCGTCGGTGGCTTTTGTGAACGCGTCCTTGATAGTTGGACCCATGGCAGTTCCTTGTTGAATGGCGTTTTTCATACGCTGGAGGATTGCTGTCGCGATGGATCGGGTCCAGCCGTATTCTCCGACCATCTCGTTTAGTCTTTTCTTCACGTACGCATCGACCTTGTCGGATGTGAAGAGTGTGGAAAGGATGTTGTTCGCAATTTCTTCACTTGAACGTTTGGTAGAGGTATGAGTGAGAATTGTAGTTTTCTCGCTGTGTTTGTTGGCAGTTGACATTACGCGTGCATTGCCAGTGAGGCATTCGAGAACAGAATTGAGGAAATCCATCATGTTGTGATTTATGAGGAAAAAATCGATAGGATCGTCCTTGACGCACAAAGCTGCAGGCTGGTTAATCACGACAGCAGTGACGGAACGTCAGGAAAGAAAGTCTGGACCAACTAGCAGAAAGTAACTCTTCGAGTGCAGCAGATGCAGGTGGAGTAGTCAACTGGTAGAAGCTGAGTGCAAGGTAAATAGGCACAAAGGAAGAGCTTGGTAGGAAGTTTCCAGTCGAGGATTAGGTAGGTCTGTGGTACAAGGAAGCTATGTGTGATGGCATAATCAAGAGAATCTCATTTGGTTGCTTAACTACAGGAAGTCAAAGCTGGAGTAAGGAAATAGAGGAAGATTATATACCTGGCAGAGGGACAATCTTGTATAGAGCTTCTTTGTCATCACTCCTCAGCCTTATGGGATCTTCCACCTAGATCCTATTTTCCTGATGTGAGATCCCTCACTTTGGCTCTTCCCTCTGATTCCATGATGATCTGTACGGGATGTCCCGTCAGGTTTCCAGGCTCTTGTCGGAGAGAGCCGTCAGACTAGGTGGGTAAAGCAGATGGGAGCGTTTCTCAATGCCAGTCTCAGCCCCTAAGTTTAAAGTTTGAGTCATTTGGAGATCAAAACCGTCGAATTCTCGCCTTTTTTGTCTAACTGATACCTCGAAATACAGTAATATCATACATCAATTTGCCTTTCACCTAATTTTTTGTTCCGACATTGGATATGCAAATCTACTGTAGCTAGATAGTATCATCTTCCCATTCCGCGCTCTCATCGGTGTCATCTAGCGTGTCCCACCAGTCAAATTCTGCTTCTTTCATTATCTTCTTTTTCTCTTCATCCCATCAAGGCAGAGGGACCACCTCCGGTTCTAGATAGCCGCCCATGTCATGCACTGCCTTCTCCCGGATGACCATAACTCCTCGCTCTAGTCGGCGGTCCAGCTCTTGAAGGCTAGGCTGGGTGCTGTTTAGCAAGTCTGCTAGTAACTCGTCGCCCTCTCTCCCGGAGTCTTTTATCTCGAAGGTCACATCTCTCAGCCGATCGCATTTCATCAGGAATTGTAAAGTCTTTGCAACCACCCCCTGTTCCTCTTCCTCGTCTTCGTCGTCGCGGTACAGCATGATACTGAGGCGTCGCACCCACAGCCTCGGGTCAAAGTGGCCATCTTCACGGTGCCGCCGGCCAAAGAACTCACGAAGCCAAGGGGCCCGGACTCGAAAGGCATTGTGCGAGTAATAGATCCTCTGGGCCTCCTCTGACAACCTTTTGTTGCCAGTGACGTCTCGCTTCAAGAGCAACAACGCCGGCCCCAGCAGCTCTTCTTCTTCATCCTGAACTCCAGGGTCTAGCTTCAAGAGGAAGCCATCGGCTGTCAAAGCATCGCGATAAACATTTTTTCGGTCCTTCCACGGCTTTTTCATGAATTCAGCGACCGATGTCCCCAAGACGTTTGTGATTTCCTGCATGGTGCGGGCTGGGTATTCCCTCTCCATCTCCTGGACTGTGTCTCGACATTTTGTGGTGATTCAATGGATGAAATGGATCAGGCTAGGTGAATGCTTATCAAAATTTCTTGATCTGGCCTCTGCCAGATGGTGATATAGGAAAGCTGAACTGAGCATGGGGCTTCATCCTGGGGTGAGAGATCGGCGCGGGGTAAACTAACCTTCAGGTACAGTATTACATAGTAGGTGGATGGTTTGCAGTACCTGCAGGCAGGGGGCAATACCTACCTAGGAGGTATTGGTCAATAGTTTTTTTCTGCCTGACTGTGCTCCTGTCTTTCTATGCAAACCTCTCTATCGTTCGACCTATGAGCCGAATCTGATTCGAACAAATAAAATTTATGTCACTCGTAGTGTATTTTCATGGTGTTTTATCGATTATTTCGATATGGAGGCTAGTTAGGTAGGTAGGATCTATACCTGATCCAGCAGACTATATATACACGTCACTATGCAGAAGGTCCACCTCTATACCCCGCCTAAAAGAAAAGGAAGAAAGCGATACGAGGTATAATACATAGCCAAACCAAATGTAGTAAATAATAATAATGATAATGATAAGCAATAGCGTAGTGTTAAAGATATTTCTATCCTCAAGCCCCTTGTCTAACTCCCTATTGAGTAAATTGCCCTAAATCCCTCCTTAGCCTCCGTGTTTCCTCATCCCTGGCACAGGCAAAATCTGGCTGTAGATATATCACCTCTTTGTCTGTATAGCTGCTTAGAACCGTGTACCTAGCATCTTTACGCCATACCATTCTAACAAGGCTGCTACTTATCCTACCTATATATAGGTTGGAACTATTGATTGCAGAACAATATAGTTCTGTTGATGCCTGAGGACAAAATCACGTGAATGACTGTCACGTGGACATCGGACAAGTCCTACTCCGTATTCGGTATGGTCAAGGTGCTTACCTACCAAGCACCCCCGAGCAGAGACCTCTGGGAATCAGAATCATCAATCCTTTTATCAACATGCTTCGAACCGAAGGTCAACGAACTTGCTGCTCCCCTCTAAAGCTTCTTTTCCATCATACATGCAGCCAGATTCAATTTTGAATTGACTTTCAAATCTAAGCTCGACGTTTTTAGAACTCCAGATGGGCTTTTTCATCAGTCTCCATAACTGGCCAGTATGGTCTACGTTATGGCACTTGATTTCTTGTCCCTTCCAAAGGCTGCTACGTCTCTTTTTCCCACTTATCAAGAGACTGCCAGATGTCGAAGAGTCGGCAGAGGTTTCCCAGGAAGTTGTGTCGCCATCTAGTGTTCCAGAACGCGAACTGCTTATGGTTGGCATGAGCGCCAAAACTTACCGTATCCGAAACACCGTCAGAAAAGAATGTCACGTTCTCCCTGACGATGTCGGCATTACGGAGCAGAATATGGAAGCATGTCGTAATGAAGCTGACGTCTACCTTATTTTGGGAAAGCATCCACTTATTGCCACATGCTTGTCTATTGGTCCCCATAGGGAATACATCGATCTCGAATACTATGAAAACGGCAATCTTAAGCAATATATCAACAGCAATCGTGCAAGCATTATAGAGGCAGACCTGAAGCGTTGGGCCTATCAAATGATTGAAAGCATTGCATATATCCACTCAAAGGGCGTTAGGCATTCTGATATCAGACTTGATCAGTGGCTGGTAGATGCAGGTTTAAATGCTCGCCTTAGCGACTTCAATGCATCAGGATTTGACCCCCAGCCAGACCTTGGATTAGAAGCGAGACCAGCACTAGGAGTTGAGAGTCCAAGTCATTATCTCCCTCGAGATCCTGAGGCAGACAATACTGTGGAATCAGATCTATTTGCACTGGGTTCATCACTCTATGAACTTGTGGCTGGTCAAAGTCCCTACGAAGACCTAAGTGATGAATCCATCGAGTCATTATTTAGAAAAGAGATCTTCCCAAGCACCGAGGAGCTCCTGCTTGGAGAGATTATTAGGAACTGCTGGAAAAGGAGATATCGCTCTGCCAAAGACATCCTTGATTTAGAAGCATGGTCACCCACAACTCATCTGTCAGATGGACATTAGAACAAAGATAACGTTGTTAGTTTCGATACCACTAGTCAGACAATGAATAATGCAGTAGACTAAGGTTACCACAGTCACACAAGATATCCCTAAACTACCTCTGTGGTTTCAAGCTCAGCCGAATTGTTTATCAACATTATAGCATGTATAGCCAAATAGATCCAAATCCATCACCACGATTAATGGCTCAAAAATTATATTACATACTAATTGTCCCTTTTAGGTGAATAGTAATTATATACTCTTGAACTTCGAACGGAACATGACCATATGAGCATATCGGGCAGCTGTTCTAGTAGATGGTGCGTACCTGGAAAACATGTCAGCAAGCGACTAACCTAAAAAAATTAAGATTTATTTAACTTATCTGCCTAGGCCAAATTCGAGCTATCGCCCTGATTGTCGTGATTATGACCTGGACGGGGACCCTTTCTCCTAGTCGATCCAGCATGAATCATCTGGTACCTGTGACAGTGTCGAATACCACTGTCAGGTTTGTCTGGGCATGGATCTGCCGTGTACTCGATCTTGTCGCATTCGCCGATTTTGCAACCACCTCCAGAGAACATGTATACGGTTCTGTATTCCTTGCACATGATTGATTTGATAAAGAACAGCGATGTCCTGAAGAGGGGATGGCAAAGAGGTTGACAAATTGTGATTAATGTTAACTCTTGATCAGGGTAGAACACACTGTAAAAATATTAGCTTAGTAGAGAATACTTGCTTAGCAGAGAATACGTAGTGACTCTCACCTTCCAGTTGCAGATCAGTTATACTGGGTATGGAACTTTTGGTCCTAACAATCCGAGTGGATCTCTGGCTTGAGGGAAACATTATAGTATAGATACAGCAATCGGGCACCTATATAAACTACTGCTGTCAAGGCACAAAAACCATTCTTACTAACTTTTCCCCACTTGATTGATCCAGAGGTCTAGATGCTGCAGTTGACAATATGCATATGCACTAAAGACAGGGATTAAGGACTAATCAATCGAGCTGCGTCTAAAACTCCTAGGGAGGCCGATACTTAATCTTAGTGCCTTCCTCTTATATGAGTGGCCGGTTTAGTTAGCTAGACTTCAAGGGCACCTAGTTCAGCCATTTGGAAAGGCTCAATAGCCGCCGGTCAAGGTCTTGGAGGAAGTAAAGAGCGACAAAAGACCACGGGGGTTTTGTGAGACATGGAAAACAAGAGAACATGAACAACGAACTGTTGTGTAGGAGGAGTATTATGAGAGGTAGTTATCATAGGACGGACAACACACTGGTAATAAACCAACAGGCTGTATGAACTTTGACATTGTGATAAATTGAGTCTGGAAGCATGGGCGCCCCCTCAGACCAAAATGATTATTAAAAAGGCATGGGGATTTCCCAACCCGATTCGAGTCCAAGACTATACCCCTACCTTCCAACCTTAGGCAGCAACGGCGAGGTCTGGTGGGTGCACTCATGGCAGGTTCCATCACTATTATACCTAATACTAATGCCAAACAAAATCAAACCTTGAAAGCAATATCAGCCTACATGCATAGAAGTCAGACAGCGGTCCGTGTGGTTTCAATGCCGGAAGTGGGTTGGAAGTCATCGTTGCAAAGAAAGAGATCATCAACTTCACGAGAACTAGGAGAAATTCGATGCGACAAGATTGTTAAGGTCCACTGCAATAATACGGCCAAAATTGATGCTATGGAACATATGCAAGCAAATACCACAATACCTAATATGGAATTAGTTACTACCGACAAAAAGGATCAAGAAAAAAAAATTAAGTAATTGTCTGTCCTTTTTCTCCTATTTAAGGCCCTATATTCTTAGTCCTAGTGCCTATAACCCTACCTCTACGTTACCTTACGTATTACTCCCTAACTTATCTTACTTACGCTCATGTTTCTAAGGCATTCCCTTGCTTACCTATGCTTGGCTATACTTACCTACTACTTATACAACTGCTTATTAGGGCAGTACTGACAATTAACTGCACTTAATTAGTATGGCTTAAGTACTGTACAGCTGAGCAGACAGGAAGCCCTGTTTTCCACTCCCCATGGTCGTATGTACTGGCTGTAACCAAGGAAGAGGGTTATGATCTCAGTAGTAGATGTGCCTGGTACGGACCTGCGACAGTAATCTAGAAACCCATTCATTGATATAGAACCTGCATTCTAGGAAGGACAACACTGCCATGACGTGGAATTAGTTCCGTAAAGATGGACGAAAAATAGATCATCTCGTTTGGATCATAGCGTGCAGACCCCTTGAAAAGGGTCTGTCGGAAAAAAAATGTTGTGTTCGTGATAAAGCCTATGATGGAAAGACCTGACAGCTATTTCAATGGATAGATATATAATAAGAGCTAAGAATTAAGAAACAGGAATCGAGAAATCTGCCAAATTTGTAAACTAATGTCGTAGCCGAGTAATAAATGCACAAGGAGGTCATATCGGAGGGTTAAGAGGAGTTTCTTGGCTCCTTGTAAGTGTTAGGGCAATGAGAACTATAGAGAGAAGAAGGGAGAGAACTTCTTTTGTTGGCGTTTACCAACTCAGCCAAACGAAAGATGGCATGACACCTGTTTCGTACTATACTCTGACATTTTGAGAAGCACCACCAGGCAACACTCCCGGAGAAACCGTGTGTGGCATAATATAAAATTACCGACATGACTTCCGAGATATAAGCCACTATTCCTCTCTGTGTGCCATTATTAATCGCATAGACAACAAATGATTGGATTTATGAGTGAAAAAAGAACGAGCAGTGGAGCAATATCTGGTAATGTGTACTCGCCTGCCGAAGATTTGTTCCTGTGAGTAGTGTAGTAAGCCGGGGAAGACGATAGCCTATATCATAGCCTACTTGGAGGTCCCCGGTCTCGGCACCCGGGAACGGCAGAGGGAGTTTGGAAACTTTGGAACCCTTGAGAGCTAGGATCAGCCCCAGATTTCATCCCACTCGTGATATGAACGCTTCTCATCTTCACCTGAATCTGCATGCTGTCCCGCGTCGTGGGGCTGGGCCCCATAATGATTAGTCTGTAGCTGGACTTCGTATTCTGACTCGGTACTCTGTACAGGGTTCTTCTTCACGGAGTACTGTACCGTCGCTAGTACTCGATGCTTGATTGCCATTATCGCTTTCCGATTTCCAGACACTAATGCAGGGGCTGACTCCGGACACTTAAGTCCTGATCTGTTCGGGCTGTATATTAGGGATAGACACATGCCATACACATACGTCGAGGGTAAGGAGAGACGATTCTCGATCATTCCCATCCTATCCAGTAGCAAGCACCAGAGAGACCGGATGAGCATCGTAATTCATCATTCCCTTGAAGAGAGTACTCCAGGCGGAGGAAGTGTTGATAATGACGAAGTAAGATCCGATTCTCGGTTCAACGACCGGCTCCGCTCCTCCTCCATTCGGATATATAGGTAGTCGCACGGGGGCCATGGCACCTCCCGGGCCAATCGGAATCATTGCGAATGAAGTGTCATTGTTGATTATTATTGCTAAGGCCGATATTGGGCGGACTCCCACATTGACTTCGGAATACTCTCTGTCTCATGTAGGTCGAGTTCGACGCCGATTCTCGCATTCAATGCCCCCCAGGAATATTATTCCGCCGTTGCAATCGGATGATTCAACAGGCGGAATTTTTATTTTTGGATGGCTTCAAATAATCGCTGAGGCTAAGTAGACGGCATCGGATGAAGGGATTATTGCTGACCCGATAACCGAAAGACCTTTGCCGACTATGGCCCGGATACACTACCTCGGGAACCCGAGATGAAGCCGGTCAAGATCCATGGACAAGTGATGCAGACAGATGACCACGATCCGGGTTCAGCTTGTTGCAGGGCCATTGTTCGCGCAGTGTCAATGCGAATGTGTGCATGAAGCCTGGCGGACATATAGTTGGCAGGCACCGGAGGAAGCCGGAAGCGATCCCCGGGACGATTCTCGTGGGCGCCCAACCAGGGAAGGCGCAGGCAGGACGGCGCTATAGCGTCGGGGCTAACCGAAACGGGGATGGGAGCGATCATGACGTGGGCGGGTCCTGCACGGTGCAGGCCATGTGGGGAGCTGCAGAGAGCATCATCAGAGTGCTCTGCGCCCTCGACTGTCGGCATCCACGGCGGCAACCTCGTACGGGCGGAAAAGGCTGCCGGACAGGTGTCTTAATTGTATGGTCAGTTGGCTTGAGAGAGTTCTCCGCGTCTCGATCGACTGCTGGCTCAGGACGCTGGGGTCATGGATGCTCATTGGCCTTGCGGGCATGCAGAGCGCCATACCCCGCATTTCACCAGCATGATCGGGCGATCGAGGACAATCGTAGAGCATGAAGTACCTCCAAGTACCTCGTGTGTATGCGAGCTCATCGTGGATAGCCACTGGCAGGGCTGGTCCACCCATCCCTGCCCAACCAGCTAGGACCCTGGCTCCTGCCGGCTTGCCGTCCCATCCATCTGGCTCTTTGACAGCGTTCATCTTCCCGAAGTCCTCCGTTCGCCCTATTCCTCCTGGTGGAGCTCCAGTCTGCGATACGTCGATGTCGACTCTGAAATGGAGCCACATCAAAGGGCCTGTCTCGAAATCCGCCATTGGTAGTTTCGTCTCATCTGAAGCCAATCTACCTAGGTAGCTGGATGGAGAGACAGTTCTCTCCCGCGCCCATCCTGCTTGGGAGCTGGGGCCGCTCTCCACGGTACTTACCAGGTACCCCGATGTACTTCCAATGCCTATATATCCCCCAGCACTCGCGTGGCCCCCTGCTACCCTCTTCCCGTCTCATTTGCTCTGCCAACCTGTCTCCTGCCCAAGCAGAGAGTCCACTGATTGTGCTGTCTGGGGTTGCAACTGGGGTCATCGGTCGCACCTGCCGCCGGCAACTTCCCATTCCCTGTCCTCCGTTCCCCCGTATTGCCGTCGCCCACCTCATCCTCCGTGCATCAGATTGGACACGACAGCAGCATATATAGCTGTATCCCCTCAGCAGGTCTGTCATCAGCCAAGGCTCCTTCCCCGCACCCCTTGTGGTTGTCCTGCGCAAGCACGCGTGACTGCCATCATCCTCTGCTCCCGCCGCTCCTTCCCTGGGTGTTCCTTCCCCAACCAGGTATCGACCCTTGGGACCTTCCTCACCAACCCATTAATTGACTTCCTGCTCTTCCTGGTCTCCTCTTTCTCCCCTTCTCTTTCCCCTCACGTCGCAGACGTGCATCACCCCTCTCTTGTCAGATTACTTGTATACCTCCGGATCTATATTCCGCCGCAGCCATCGATCACGGGGAGTTCCTGTTCTTGTGGAAAATATCTGCTTGACAAGCTGGGCCTTGTAGAAGGCTGCTCAGACTGACTGTGTAACAGGACCTGGTGAGTTGCCTCTTGCTTCACCCACTGAACGCTCTGCGGTGGTTTGGAAAAGTGCAATGAAGGCAGCCTTATACGAGGATGAGCATACCATGTCTACGGATGATAAGCTAACCTCGAGAAGAGTGCAACCATCACTAAATCGGGATCGAAGTTTCTGTCACCATGGCATCCAAATCCTTCTCGGAATCCGCCAGCAATGCGGCCAAGTCGGCCAGAGAAACCACGAAGAATGCCTTTGAGAACCCCTCCCAGGCAGCGAACAGCTTCCTGCACCAACCCTACGTGCGAGCCGCTCTCCCCTTCATTAACGGCGGTCTGGCCGGCATGACGGCGACGGTCGTGGTGCAGCCGATTGACATGATTAAAGTTCGCCTGCAGCTGGCCGGAGAGGGTCAACGGACTGGCCCTCGGCCCACAGCTCTCAGTGTCACCAGGAACATCATCGCCTCTGGAAAGGTGCTGGATCTGTACACCGGATTGAGTGCCGGTCTGCTTCGACAAGCCGTCTACACCACGGCCCGCTTAGGATTTTTCGACACCTTCATTGGCATCCTCAACCGCCGGGCCGACTCTGCTGGCCGAAAAGTCACCTTCGGCGAGCGTGCCGTTGCCGGACTGAGCGCGGGTGGACTAGCAGCCATGATCGGGAATCCGGCGGATCTGGCCCTCATTCGCATGCAGTCTGACGGCTTGAAGCCGCCAGAGGCTCGTGCCAACTACCGCTCTGTGGTCGATGCCCTGGTGCGGATCTCCAAGAACGAGGGCATCACGTCACTCTGGGCAGGATGCCTGCCTACGGTTGTTCGCGCCATGGCTCTCAACCTGGGCCAGCTGGCCTTCTTCTCTGAGTCAAAATCGCAGCTGAAGGCTCACACGAACCTGTCCCCGCAGAGCCAGACCTTCGCAGCCTCTGCGATTGCCGGTTTCTTCGCCAGTTTCTTCTCCCTGCCCTTTGACTTCATCAAGACCCGCCTGCAAAAGCAGCAAAAGGACCCAAAGACGGGAGAGTTACCCTACAAAGGAGTGCTGCATTGCGCTCGCAAGGTCGTGAAGGAGGAGGGTTGGTTGAGGTTCTACCGCGGGTTCGGAACATACTATATTCGCATTGCGCCCCACGCGTTAGTTTTTGTCCTTCCCCACCCTTGCCTAAGCGGAGACTAACCCGTTATTTCTGACAGTATGGTCACTCTCATCGTGGCGGACTTCTTGAACCTCATCACCAAATAAATTTATTCGGAATCGCCAATCCGAAAAGTCCTGCACTCAGTTTTCACACTCTCTATCACGACCGACCGTTATTTTTTTTTTTAGACATCCAGCATCATCGATACTCCACCGCTTGCGATTATAGACCGTCTTGGATTTTCTCACTTTGCAGCGTGATGATGACCATCTTTTCGTCGAAAGTGGCATTTCCATGAAGTTCCATAGACTGCTTCTTATCTGTTCCTACCTCTGCTCTCGGTATGCATAGATCTCTTCTAGAATCGAGAGGGAGTAGATATCACGCTATACAAAGGCTGGAGTGAAGATGCCAAACGATCTCCTTCCCCAAGTTCTGTGAGGTCTGTGGACCGAAGTCTTGAAGATGTGTACGTCTACAGCGGCCCTCACAGGGCGGTGCAAGATAAAGCCTCAAAACCAAGATAAAAAGGTCTACGGTGGAGGCTCTCTTTTTTTGTGCCATCTCAAACCTCTTCCCTGTTTCGGAGACCGAGGATGAAATCTTTGATGCCTTGCTTGTCAGCAGCTCTGCATCTGTTTCTTTCGTTATGCGTCTGTGTCTCGTGTCTCTTGTTCTCTATTATTATATACTCTTACACGTGGGTGTACGACTCTGCTTCATCTTCTCTGGCGGCTAATCGTTTTGCTTGTGATGTTGTCCACAGTGCTCGTTCTATAATGATATATTTATATGTTCGCTGTATGTCTTACAGAAAAAGCAGGGATGTCATATCTCTGCGCACGAACGCCGGTGGTCCGGAGGCTTGACTGGGGATGTAATAATGTAGTGTTTCAATTCATTACGATTCAAAGATTTCCATACACCTAGAGACATTGGAAGAGATTCAGAAAAAAAGTGGGAAATGTCATGAAGATTATTGACTATTATACAAGTTAGGTAGCGCTTTCTAGATTCTGGGCCGAGATAGCACAGAATATGCATTTCACTAAACTTCGATCTCATCATCTCGATCCGCAAAGTGCGACTGTTCTCGTTTGATACGAACTGTCTCCTCCCGCTCAATTGCGACTTCTTCATCTTCGGCATCCTCACCGTCGTAGGAGGCCACCGTGATACCACTCAGGCGTCCTCCCTTGGTGTTTCTTCGTTTGCCGGCGGCGCGGTCGAAATCGTCCTCTTCTGCTTCCCGTTGCTGCGCCGCCTCTGCGCGACGGACGCGTCTGAGCAGAACCGGATCCGGCTTCAGATCGTTGAGCGTTAGGGTGACGGTGCAGACGGGACACTGGATACATCGGACACGGCGGGAGCGGGTTCCTCCTCCGCCGCCGCGCGCATCTGGCTCCGCTGGGGTGGTCATGGAGCTGCGGTTGATCATGTCCTCGATGGCTTGGCGCTCGAAGCTGTGGGGGCATTTCGTGCTCGTCACGGGGTTTGTGAAAGGGAGCAGGGTCAGCGGGCATTTGAGCGAGATGCGCTCGCGCTCGATGGAGATCTCGTCTGAGTCGGCGGGTAATGCGGAGCGCTCGCGGTTTGCCTGGCGTCTTGTGCGCCGAGAGTGCGGTGAAGTTGTAGTGTTAGCTGCTGCTGAAGATGATGGATTTGCTGTGCTGTTTGGGTCTTCGAGGTGCGCGAACCACGTCGAGGGGTCTGGCACTGGGGGCATGTCATTTCCAGGATGATTGGCTTCGTGGACCATGCGGTAGAAGCCAATGTAGGCGTTCTCGTTCGTGTATCTTGATCAGACCGTCAGCATGTTGATTTCATGAACAGTTTCAAAGGGATGGAAGGTGGACAGTAAGACGTCGAGGGGAATATATATACTAAGTTCATACCTGTCTGTCAGGGACTTACGTTGCCATTCAGCCTCCTTCTCCGCCAGCTTCTCTTGAAGCTTTTGACTAGGCGGCTGATCAGGCTGTCTGTTGCGCCTCTCCGAGGGAGCCTCGTAGTCTTCATCTTCGTCGTCCTCGTCCTCATCCACATCTATCATCTCCTCATCCTCATCTTCACCCCGCCGTCGGGTCCTCCTGGTCCGCCGTCGAGCAGCACCTGTATCCCGCTTACGCCCTACTGCTACCCCCCCAGTAGCCTCTGCCTCTTTACCCAGTTCCTCCACCACCTCCGACAATCCGTTGAGTTTGACCTCCGCGTCGACCATCTGGCGCACGTGCTCCTCCAGCCGGCCCGTCACCTCCTTCACCTTTTCCTCCAGTCTGGCGAGTTTGGAGGCTTCTTCATTGTTCTCATCGTCGTCTTCCACGTCTTCAAAGGCCTTGTCATTCCCAGCCTCGCTGTCCGCCTCATCCTCATTATTTCCATCGCCTTCTTCTCCTTCATCATTTTTCACCGATATCCTGCGGTCATTATTACCTTTCCGTTTCTCCGCTCGCTCCCTCTGCTTCTGCCGCTCGTATCGGATGCGCGCATCCGTCGCCCGCTCGTTTATCTCGCCCGCTGTCTCCGTCAGCTTGTCCGCCGCCTGCTTCAGATGGGTCCTCAAGCTGCGGAACGAGCTCGACTGGGAGAGCGACGCGAGGGCGCGCTGGGCGTGCGGGTTCAGTGGTGCTGATAGAGGCTCGTACTCCGGCAGAGTGGGCACCGTTCGTGATGACGATGACGATCCATGATGACCTTCTTCTCGTCTCTCCTCGCGATGATGATGATGTCGAGAGCGGTGTCGTGATGATGACGCGTCGGGTGTAGCGACCGCCGACATTCCTTTTTTTTTACCCCCTTCGAAGGTCAAGTTGTTCTAATCTCTCGCGCTTTTCTTCTCTCTGTTTAATAATGTGCGTCAGTACCGTACTCCTAAAAGACACATGTACATACATGTATGTACGTTGAGGGTCAGATCACACGGAGTCGTAATTACAGCACGTACATGTACAGTACAAGTCGAAGGTTGATCGTTTTAGATAGAAACTGGTGCTCTTAATGAAGAAGAAGAAGAAAAAGAAATTATCTCTGTCTCTCTCACGGATTCCTTGAAACATTTCGTTTCTTGAAATCAAAATCCGTCAATTGTTTGTTTGATTTTTTGTGAAGAACCCGTCTTGATAAGATAAAATCGAACTCGACACGCGTGACGACGTGTCGTGATGGCGCTAGTCCGTTTTAGGATATACATATCCTTGAGGTCCTTTACGGATCCGTACTATTATTGCGTACTTCGTTAGTGTTATGTCGAGTCGAAACCTGGCTGAATGGCTGAATGACTATATGATTATGCTAAAAAAAAGTTTTCCTGATTTTGATACCAGTGCGCATTTGTTTCCCTGTCTCATGAAGCCAGACTACTTGCTTTACTGGACAGTACGTACGAAGAGAGCTTCCAGCCAACCACAAATGCGGCAGGTATAAAAATAGGTATACTGTATTGTCTATTTGTACAGTACATTTCTAGAAGAAAGAAGTGTTTCCCAAGAATGCAGGAAAAAAAATTAATTACAGAAAGATGCCAGCCAGAGAAGTCACCTACTAAAAAAACCCCTTTAACTACCTAAAATGCATGCATGCGCAGGAGCCGTCGATTCATTACACCTTGTAGAAACAAAAGGCGTGGTAGAAGCCTATATGAGAAAAGGAAGTGTAAGCGTAAGGTCAAGCCTGAAGTTTTTTAACGCAGGAGAAAGGAAACTTACTAGCTGCCTCGAGCTCCTCGTCAGTAACCAACAGAGGACCACCCCCTCGGGCTCTGACACCCATGCGCTCGCTCAAAGGCCCCAATTCTGGGTCATCTTTCTCTTCTTTCCAGACATCCAGGAACGGTTTGCGGTATTGAAGCTCCAGGTTGTACTCCTGGGTGAGTCTGACGGGATTGTTAGGCACAGTGTCTCGGGCTGAAAAATATAAGACGCGCATCACAAGACTTACGCTCGAAAAGCTTCCCACGGCACCACGTACTCCGGAAGCCCCTCCACGGCCTCTTCCATGAAGTAGCTGTATTTCCAGCCAAAAGGAGGACGAAACACCCCATCTTCAGGTGTAGCACCCGGGAATCGCACCCGATAGATACTGTTACCCCATTGTGGTGTTTCTTCCTCCACCTCCCCATCCTCCGGCACCTCAGCCTGGCCCTGTTTCCTAGCTTCCTCTCGCTCCTTGCGTTTCTTGTGGAATTCCACTACTTTGGCGCTGATCACGTCGGAGTTGGGTCCGACGCCCAGGAATCGCCCGCCTCTCTTCAGCAGTCCAGATACGTTCTGCAACATCTGTCGAGCTTTCTCTTCGCTCTCGAAAGCATAGTGCATTGAGAACATGCTCGCGACCACGTCGAAGCCGCCGCCGCCCCAACGGGAGCTCATGATCGATCCGCCAGGTCCGACATTGGCGTCAATGCCGACTTGCCGAATGATGGGGATATCGCCCAGCCATTCCCCAAAGCAATCCTTTGGGTAGAATTCGGCGTGGAAGAGTTGATTGCCTTTCCTGCCTCGTGGGCCGCGCCCGCCTCTCATACCGTTGTATCGCTCACGAGCCTGCTCGATCGAGACTTCAGCCGGGTCGAGCCCAACGTAGAGATCGACAGGCTGAGGAGCCAGCTGCCATTTCCCAAGATCTCCTCCCTTGCCACAACCGAGGTCAACCACTAGGAGCCTCCTCTCTTCAACTGGGGGAGGACCAACACCCTCAGCCCAGTCTTTGGTGCCACTCATACGGGACAGGAATTCTTCGTCCGGAGAGAACTTCTGGATAAGGGTACTCTTGACCCAGTTGTTGAAAGCCCGGAGCCCCTTGATTTTACTGTCGGTTCTCCTCCACTCTCGCCCCCTTTCAGGAACGGCATTGTAGTGCTGGCGGACTACGTCCGAGACACCACGATCCCGCAACGCTTTCTCGACTTCTTCCTGCTGAATCCGCTCCCGCTCCTCCTGTCGACGCCTCAATGCCTCTCTGTCTGCTATCCCCAGCCGCGCGCCTCCGCCCGGGCGTTTCCTTTGCCGTGCCTGAGCCTCTGGTGTAGGGGATCGTTCAGGGGGTAATGGAGAATGGTCTCGACGTTGGTCTTCTGGAGAGCGTCTTGGCGATACGGACCGGGAATCTCGCGGGAGCTCAGGGCGGATTGGGCTTCGGGAGCGATCTCGACGAGAATAAGCTGACGGTGGAGTTGGGCCGCGTTTTCGAAGTTTCAGATGCCGTTCTTCCTGTCGCTTTCGCTTTGACACAGCTGGTCTTGGTTTGTCGGAGGCAGGCTCCTCGTCAGTCAGCTTTCTCTTCTTTTCATTTGACGTTCCATCTAGTGTCTGAGTCTCATTGGCAACGCCGTTGTTCTGGGGCTCGGTGGGTGTACTATCGAGTTCCGGTCTGGCTTCATTCAAACCAGCAGTTTCGCTTTGATTCTCTCCATGGGTTATCTCGGCCTCTTCAGCCATTGCTTCCGGAGGGCGCGTGGGTTGAGCTTCGATGTGAGAGGATTCGAGGTCGTCGACCTTGACGGAGGCGGCGTGAGAATGAAAAGATTCTCTATCCTGTTCCGATGGTGAGAGGTCTCTCGAAACGGCGGAAGCTGGAGGCTGGTCTGAGCCTGTACTCTGCTCGGCGCCACCTTCAATTGTCTCTCGAGGTGTTGAGTGTGGAGCAATCGTAGTCTGCAAATAGTTAAAACTAGATCTGATGGAGCCCCAAGCGCACGACGAAACACTGTCCGCTCTCCGCTTGGTCCACCCAGCGGTGACTGCGCGCAATATTCATTCAGAATAGGGTTTACCTACCGAAGAACTGACAAGATTGGCCGCAGGATCTGGCTGTTCCCCCGGTGGGTGGACTGAAGCGCCGCCATGGGCTGCTGTGTCGCGCTTCTCAGCTCGGTGGCGCGCATCGCGTTCTGCCGAGCGGTCGAGGTCCTGCTCCTCGGAGACGGTGTAGATATCCCGCGCTGGATCGTACATGGCGACGGACGCACGACGGCTGTCTTCCGACGGACGCTCCGCCATGATGGGCGATGAAGCCTGCGATCTTTATAGGCCCGGACGCCTCTCTGTCTGCATGCGGCATCTCCCTCGCGACCTGAGCTCGTCACGGCGATCGCATTCTTTGATGCAGGATATCCTGTTCCGGCCTAGCGCCGGCTGTGCTAAACCTTTCCCGATCGGGGCTTTTCTGGTTCACCAATTACGTCCGAGGCAGCCTCCACGAATGACAGTCTTCGAGAAGAATTGATGCACAAGTAATACGAGAACCATGAACAGTAGCTGGGGTATTAACAAGTTCATCTCGTAACTACACTATATCCTTACGTATATATCTATGGTTCATACGGTCAACTCCCTCAGACCCCAAATCCAACCGCAAACGCCGCGCTTGCAAGTAAAACGAGAATAACAAGCCTTGTAATAAACCGGTCTTCATCGTGATTTGCTGCTAGAGACTGACTTTCTGTGGGCCCTGACATGGAGAGCCTCTCTCACTCGCCGGAGTTTCGACCACCATTCTCTGTCTTTAGCCTTTTGCGTTTCTTCGTCGACAGCGGTGTAATCGACGGAGCTGACGTCGGAATCCACGTGAAGCTTCTCAGAAGTGGACATGGATCTGACACGACGGCGATGTTTCGTCTTGATGCTTTGGGCGAGGATCTCCCAGCCACAGTGGAGATCTTCCGTCTTCTCAGTCGTCTTCCCAGTGCCGCTCTGGGCCTTCCCATTGATCCAGGGGCAGTAATCCATGTGCTCGTTCGTAACAGAAAGCTTGCTGTAGACTGCACTCCGCCCGTCCTCTTTTGGCTTGTACAGCCACAGACCTAACCGCCTAAAACATGCCCGGCATTCTAGAAGACCACTCGAACCGTCTTTCACGACATCCCAGCCAAAGAACGCCAAAGCAAAGGCCGTCTCATCGATCTGTCGTTCGACATTATCCGTTTCTGCCGATTTCTGTCCATCTTCTTGACTTTGTTCGCGAGAAGCTCCAGGCTCGACTGTAGTCGATGTGGATTCCTGCCGCTGGAGAAAATCCGGTGGTAACATCTTTATAATCTCCTCCACTTTAAAACCTTCAGGTATTTCGATAGTCTCTCTGGAGGGCAATTCAGATCCCATATCGGCGACCTTCAAATAGCGCTTATGAAGTGCACTTATGGCGACATCTGGATTCGTCAATGGCAGACGATGGATCGTGGCTGGAGAATTGATTCTTAGTGTTGGCTTCGAGATATTATGATTTGACTACGTACCATCGCAACCCTTGTTCCTCCACGGGCAATGTTCACTATGGCCTTCTGCCAAGATTCGCGTGTATTCGTCAACGACCTTCGCTCCTAGGACGGGGTTTAGCACTCTGAAAGAGATAAGAGCACAAGATCTTTGCCTCCACATACGGACTTCCTTCCTTTCCCGCACTTTGTCACTGTCCAAGTCATCGAAATCATCCACCTCCTCGGGGAGCTTGACGACCACAGAGCTTCCACAGCCTCCAACACATGTAACTCGCATGTAATCTGTGCACGACCACCCACGTTTCGCCCATTCGACCTCGTTTATAGGCGCCGGTTTGGGAGACCATCGCGTGACCGGGCGGAACGTCTCGAGCCGTTCGAGAAAACGCTCACGGTCCCAGGGAACGAAATTGGGACGGACATTCGCGGCACTGGGGGAGGTTCTGATTATTTTAGAGATCTCTGTCTTGGACGTTATCCCGTCAAGAGGTCCGTCGCTGACCCGAACTCTCTTGATCGATGGTGGAGTGGCGAGGCGTTCGTGTGCCGCCATGTCGGGATCCTTTGCAGCTTTCGAAGCTGCATCGCTGGCCAGAGGTTTGGAGATCGACTCAAGGACTCTATGAAACTTTCGTTTCTTGGTTTCCAGGGCGTAAGACATTGTCACGGGGGCTGCGACAACAACCTCATGGAGAAGTTCTTAAGATGGAGCTACCTGGTGGAACTGCGGCGATCGACCTCGGTGGTGGAGCCTGACTAACCAATCTGGGATTGTATACAAAGACCACAACAACGACAAACCATGCCCTGTACCATTCAAACATTTGTGTCATTTTCTCTTGGCTTACTGTCATTAAATTATTTTATGTATGTTGTTCGTGAATGAATTCGGCATCCATGACATGTAAATGGTGAATGAGCACGTACTTTTGTGGATCGGGAGTGACATCCGACACTGAAAAGAGCCAGTCCCCAATTACGGAGTACAAGATGTGAGGTGCTAGAGCTCCTATTGAAAGTTAGGAACCGCATGTCCATTGTCGGGGTAACCTAAGCTAAATCCAAGGTCCTTATCAGATGGCTACCACAATAGGCAGCCTGTACAACCCATCCGGGCTTGATGAGTGTAAGGAGTCTCATAGTTGGGCTTTCAGCTCTTCCCCTTTTTTCGATGATACCGGATACTGTCAATCGCAAAAAAAGTTCAACGCAATGATAGCAACGGCATATAGTTCCTTTTGGAGCCACGGCCGTCATAAATAGCCGTCGTCAGGCTTGCTACAAATTATAGCATCTTTCTCACCGCTACTCGAAAGATCTTACACCCTTGTATTTGATTTTCAACAGTTACTTAATCCGGAAAAGGCGATAATGACCTTATGGCGTTCGCCCAAGTGGATGAGGGTGCTTGTTGACATAACAACCCAGCTATCATAAGCGCGCTTGGAACATGCATTCCCAGCATCGTGGAATCATGTGAGCGCCATTCTGATCAGCCCAGTTGGGCAGACAAGGAAGGATACAGGGATCAGGCCGGCAAGCCTACCCCTCCGCAACCCGGACAAGATTAGTCTTAGCATGCATCTAACATTGGTTATAAATACCCGCATGGACGGCGAGGTATCTCGTTTACCGTCGTCAGGAGCCTTTAGTTTCATTTTATCTGCTGCTGGAGTGACTATCTCCACAAGACTATACTGTTACAATGTCGTCCTCTTTCAACGGCGTGAGCCTTCACGTAAGCATCACTATTGCCCCGGAGAATGTCCCAAAGTTCTTCGAAGCATTCAAACCGGTCTATGACAAAGTGATTGCGGAGCCCGAATGTACCTTTTTCGAGGTGCATCAATCGCCAGACGAACCAGGCGTGCTTTCGTGGGTCGAGAACTGGTATGTTGTCTGCAGCATTAAATTGAAGTTCAGATGAAACTGACCAAGATGCAGGTCTAAGCCAAAGGAGTGGTTGATACAGGTGAGAGCCCTGCCCTCGGTGATTAATAACGATTTGCCGACATTAACGTTCGCCTCCAGCACCAACTTACAAAAGAGTACTACAAAGAATACATCGCCATTACCGAACCGATGTTCTTGAAGCCACGCGAGATAAAAGTTCTCAACCGTTTGGGTTCTCCCTACGTCCTGGTTAAGGAGGATAACGGTGGGATTCAAACCTCATAACTGCAATCTTATCGTTGGTACTCTATCGGTTGTCTGAAATCGTTTCATAATGTGAGGAACAAGTGAGTGGCTTGCCACCACTATTGTAAGAAAGATATGGGAGACAGCAAAAATTGACCGACAGATGAAGTTAAAAACTTCCACACAGAAGGAATTTGACAGCGCGTGTTTTGCATTAGATGCAATTCAAACTCATATCAAAGTCAAGTGTCTTAGGAAATTCAGACTAGATTTTTTGGAACAGATCATTATCCCACTCCTTCGCCCTTAATTTTTGAAGTTTCTGCAGTCCATTGAAGACAATTTCACCATCAAGAAATCTCCAGATGTTATTGAATGTAGTCCCACTGACACCATGGACTGGTCTCATAATTACATATGCAGGCCACGCATTGAACTCTTACTAGGGCATATCCATTGGCTTGGTTCTGCAGCAACACCACCAGTCACTTGCTCAGAATCCCTATTAAACACATTCAAATGGCATAAAATATGCAAACTTCTGGGCAAGAACATAACCCGACAAGAGACCATTGACATAAATGTAGTTTGCAGTTAGATAATGTCAGAGACCGAGAATGGAAAGCGGTCAGAGCGGAACATACCTAACCAGCTGATCTGGTAAAACCCCAATGCTGATTGGCCCGCACGCCCCGCGTCCCGAGATATCGCCGGCAAGAGAGGTCCGACGTCTTTTCTGATCTTACAATTACTGGTATTCGATTTCATTTGTTTCAATTCTTCTGGATCCTAGGGCGATTGCCCCTACCATTCAAGATGGCTTCTTTCAGGGCCCCGGTCCCCATGTTTAGGAGTCTTGCTCCTCGCATCTCGCGGGATTTCTTCACCTGTCGCCAATGCTTGCGAAACCAAGACTTCATCACGAGATCGTTCAGCAGGCGTACGACCCCTGTATCATTTCTACGGAATCCGGGAAGGCTCAATTCATATCTTGCGAGCCTCAGAAGCCAGATGAGAAGCTTCCCAAGCTTGAGGACTGCGTCATTATCGACAACCGCCGCCCGGTCACTGGAACAAGGGGCTTCGACCGCGAAATCCCGCTTTCCGGAGGTTAGTGACAAAGTTGTTGCATACTGGCTGTTAGCCAGCGCTGCGAGTGTATTTGGTATCGTCATATTCGGTGGGCTCACAAGACTCACTGAGTCTGGGTAAGTATGCTCTGTGCCCCCTGTAAGTAAATTGAAATTGACAATTACTGCAGATTGAGTATCACGGAATGGAAACCAGTCACCGGATCGATACCTCCCTTGTCTGACGAAGACTGGGAGTCGGAGTTTGCAAAATACCGCGCGTCCCCTGAGTTTCAACTGCTGAACCCTCATATGAATCTCTCGGAGTTCAAATCGATCTATTACATGGAATGGATACACCGTCTCTGGGGCAGATTCGTGGGCTTGTCCTTCGTCATACCGGCCGTCTATTTTGTGGCCAAGAAAAAAGTTTCGAAGCCAATGGCTTGGCGGCTGGCTGGTATTGCTGGTCTGATCGGGTTCCAGGGATTCATCGGATGGTGGATGGTGAAATCTGGCCTGAAAGATGACCTTTTTGCTCCTGGAAGCCATCCAAGAGTGAGTCAATATCGGTTAACGGCTCATCTAGCGGCAGCCTTCACATGCTACGTAGCCATGCTCTGGAACGGCCTTGCAATTCTGAGATCTCATCGGCTTCTTGCTGACCCGGAGGCCGGCATTAACCTTCTCAATTCGTTGCAAAATCCGAAACTCAAGATCTTCCGCCGATCTGTTGCGGTCCTGGGTCTGTTGGTCTTCACCACTGCTATGTCGGGCGCCCTTGTTGCTGGCCTCGATGCGGGTCTTATCTATAACGAATTCCCGACCATGGGCAATGGTCTCACTCCTCCGAAATCCGAGTTGTTTGACGAACGGTATTCGCGTAAACCGGACAAATCTGACCTCTGGTGGAGGAATATGCTGGAGAACCCATCATTGGTGCAATTGGACCATCGCATCCTGGCTATGACTACCTTCACGAGTGTCATGGCTCTTTGGGCGTATACACGAGGTTCGCCGACGATGAGACGCTTGCTACCTCCGGCGGCCAAGAAGGGCGTCCACGGCGTTGTCGCTTTCACATTTGTTCAAGTAGCCCTGGGTATCTCGACCTTGCTATATCTGGTTCCTACACACCTCGCATCTACTCACCAGGCTGGGAGCCTTTTCCTTCTGACTTGGGTCCTTGTCCTCGGGAGCAGAGTCTGGCATCCATCAAGGACCGCTAAATTATTGCAGATGGCCGTAAAGGCTAGGAACCAGTCAGTTTCGGCATCCGCCCTGAATGCGACGAGCAAATTATAAAGTGGTGTCATGGAGATCAATTGGTTTGCTGGCATGGTGCATTTTCAAGCTCCTCTCCGACATCAACAATGAATCCCTGATCTCCTCTCTGCTGTTTACCACGGCTGTCTCACCTTCAGGCTTTGTCTGCCTCTTTTGGAAAACGACTTTGTGACAATGCCGCCATATAGCTGTATATTATAGAACTTATCCTGTATAAATTAACTTGTATTATTAACAACTTTCTGACCTCCTGTATTGGGTTTTCTTTACAGGAAATTTCCAAAACATTGGAGAGACTACACGATCAATTATGCTGTGCCGTCATTTTGCCTCAGAATTTTTGACTTGGACTCTCTTGAATTTTTTTTTATTAGTAAAAATATTTCTTTTTCCTACCTCACTACAGAAAACATCAATAGGACAAACCAGGACAAAGAACTGGGGGTTCAATCCATATCAGGTCGCTTCAACGGTTCCCAAAGCTGGTAGAAGCTGGTAGAGTTGCGAACGACCAGCATACCACTTGAGGAAGCTACGTCCTCAACAGACCTGTATTGGAGAGAACTCATTGTGATGTGCAAACACGATAAGCTTTTTTTTTGTTGTTGTATTTCTTTTTTTTGTCGGACAATACAAAGACAGAATATGAAAACCGTTTTCTCATGACATGGGAAAATTTCTGATCACAAGCAGTCAACCGGAGTACATGTTCTGGAAAGAGCAGCGTCGATAACATCTGCTGTGAGCAGTCTTGAAAGAAATGTGTGAAGTGAAAACCAAACCTGGGCGGCGAAGGTGAACACAAGCCGCAGGTGTACAGGTTCACAGAAGGCTAAACCCAGTGCCGAGCAAACACATCAGTCATATCTTGTTTCTGTCAAAATCACTGTCATCTTCACTACACGCCTATTATCTCTCTTCTCCAGCATGAAGACTAGAGCGTCTCTTCATCATTGCCATTCTGGTCACTCGGGGTGTGGTGATCAGCTCGATTGTGTGGATTGATTGGGGAACTCGAGTTCAGAGTTGGTCCCCTCTGTCTATACGTCACTGCACGTCTGAGCGAAGCTGGGGAGAAGCTTCGGCGGCGGGTACGGGGGGTGCCGAGTATGTCATTATCCTATTCAGTCAGTCTTGTTATCCTTGTCGCTGAGAAGACAGGATCAATTGCTTGTACACACCGATGAATCTGGTCTAGTGATATCAGTTGGCAGTTCAGTTATGATTGACTCTGTGCCAGACTGCGCCTGAGCCGGAGAACTGGCAAGGTTTGTCGCCTCGTTAGGGTCTGGCTGTGACTGTCTTGACTGATTTCCGACTTCCGAAGTCATCTGCCCAGCTTCTTCTTCTTCTTTCTTCATTTGCTGGTATGCATCCCCCGCAGCTACAATGAGGAACCACCAAGCACGGTCACGTTCGTCGTGCAGGTCGAGCTTGTACTGTCGTGCTCGTTCCCGCTCTTCCTCGAGCTGTATCTGCTTCTGATGCCAAGCGTCGACGTCGTCCCGGTGCTCATCATTCTCATCTCTCACTGAAACAGCGGGAGTTTCTCTGTTCTGAGCAGCCGGAGAACCCGGAGTCTCGACATACAGAGAGGATGCTGCCTCATCGGTTTCGAGTGGGGTGTAGTATTCAGCTTCAGGCAGTCTCGGATGAGATTCAAAGTCCATGTCCATCGGCTGCGGCTGCGTATCGATGGTTTCGCGCGGAAAGAGTGGTCCATGACCAGATCTACGTGGTTGGGGGAGGGGTCGAAGACGGCCACGTCCTTCGGGCACCGCTCTATGCGGATTCTGCAGTGGAAGCTGCGCTCTGCGATGCTGGGGTTGATAAGCGTATTGTGGCACACGAGGAATTCCATGAGAATACTGTGGCAGAAAGACAGGGTCAGGCACTGGTAGCTGTTGCATGTTGCCATTGGCGTCATGGTATACCTGGACGGGAACAAAGACAGTTCCATTGTAGAGCTGTGGCCTCTGAACTTGGTGGTATCCAGCATGTTGAGCTTGACCATACGAACCTCCAAGACTCACCGGATTCATCCTTCTATGTGGCATCTGGTGTTGCATCCTAGGTAAGACACGAGCCTGTTCAATTCCTCCGTCTGCGTGCACAGCATTTGCTGGTTGAGGGGGTGCACGCCCTCTCTGAGGCGTTGGATCACCACCGGAGGGTTGGCGACTGGTATTGCCCTGAGGATTAACACGCCTATACCGACGAGAAGTATTATGCTCCCTTAAGCCACCTCGATTGTCGTCGCAAGGTGAACAAATCTGCCAGCCACAATCTTTGCAGCGGTACATGACTGATTGATTTTTTTCATCGCATACATCACACTTAGCATTGCGCACTGTGATTTCGTCCCATCTATTATGAGGTTTGGCCTCGTCTTGATCTTGAGCGTGTCCAAGTCGTTGAGAAGCATCGATTATCGCAGGGTCAATAGGGATTGAACCTTCCGGATTGTTTTCTGTCATCTCGCTTGCTGGTCCTCGCTGTTGCACACGGATGTTATGAATCATCGCTGGATGTGCGTGTGACAGCATTCTCTCAGCTTCGGCTTGTTCTTCATGAGCTCTGGCCTCTGCAAGTCTATTGCGCAATGCAGAGAGGACTCGTCCGAGGTGATCGTTTCTTGTCAATCTCCCGAGGTAGATGCTGTTACCTGGCCCTGTGTTCTGGCCCCGTCCTGCATTTTGAGCTGATCCTGCGTTTTGAGCGAGTCTGGCATTCCGACCAGGTGCTGGGTTTTGCCCTGGCCCTGCATTCTGTGCCGGCCCTATATTCTGACCTGGCCTTGTGCTCTGAGCTCCCCTTAAAGGCTGAACTGGCGGTCGAATGCGACCTGAAGTATGAATCACTGTTGCATTGCCATCTGGTCCACGGATTGAGACAGGGACCCTTCGAACAGGTGCAGTCGGCTGCTGAGGAGGTACAGGTGGATCAGGTTCCTGATCATCGACAGGTGTTGAAGGACCTGGCATCCTGTCGAGTGCAGGGAGAGAGCAGGTATTCGAGGAATGACGATTGATATTGTGGAAAAGATAAGATGACTTGCTTTTTTTTAAGATGGAAATACGAGTCAAGGTTTTGGATGAGACAAGACCCTGCAGGGTCAAGGAAACTTTCAAGAATAGAGCCTTGTGATCTAACCCACAAACCACAAACAAGGAAGGAGACAGGTATCTTAGCCTTCCAAGACGATGAGGGTATTTGACAAGGAGGGAAGAAGATACTAAGACGGTATGAGAAGGAGAAAGCTTGTTGGAAAACTGACTGACAAGACAAGCTAGGTGGGAACAACGCGGTGAAGACGCGATATTGCAAGTGACGTGGTTAGATGACAGAAGAAGAAGAAGAAGAACAAAACAAGAAGAAGGGGGGCAAGAAAGAAAAGGTAAGACTCTGTTAGTCACGTCGAAGGAACTTCCCATTCACCATCAGACGCGGTATACCGGGTTACCTGTTTAGGAAAGGCGAGATATCAAATAGCAGATGAGTGACGGAGGTGGGTGGCGAAAAGTGACGGAGAATTTCCTCTTGTTGACAGGGTCAAGAGTGGTGCATTCACCGTGGAAACCAGGCTTGTTACTCCCTGTCAAGAGAAATCTTTTGGATGAAAAAAAAAATTGCAAAAGAAAGTCTTCTTCTTCCCAGGAGGAAAAAAGGGAAAAATAGAGCATTTCAACAATGGAGAGCTATTTGTCTTACCACTACTACAACAATATTACTGTGGGTGGGCTTCATCTCATCCAGGATGTCGACAAGGCAGGATTCTAACACGGTGATACTGGTCTTAGTCGGGACATTCCGGTCATTGTTCTGATTCCTGTCCCCTGATTCCATTCTCCTCACTGTCGAGGATTCTTTAGATAATATATTGACGATAGCATCCCTACAGCTAGCTATAGCAACTATGCAGAACTACGGAGGTATCTATCAGATCAGATGGTACATAGTACAGTACTTATCTGATCGACTTGGCAGCACACTCCATCTCTCTCTCTAGGTAAGTACCTGCTGCTGCTACTGATATATTGCTATCGCAGAACAAGACATGACAGGACGATGAAAAAGGCATATATGTCCATCATATCGTACAGTACATATCTGTACTAGGGCTCAGACCCAGGCTCAGACCAAGACCAAGACCAAAAACTCAAGTCGGTAGACGGACGGGGAAAAAAAAAGAAGAGAGAGAAAGAGAGAGACGAGACGAGATGATGAGCGAAAGAAGAGGACCAGACATATCTCGGTATATATGCATATACTCTGACTAATTACGAAACGAGTACATATACGATGTGTATCACCAGCATCGCAGCTATATGCTACGCGAAAAGCAGACTCGCATTTTCTCGACTCCTCCCATCATCATCGTCATCATCGTCATCATCGAATAGCTAGGGATTACGATTCCTTAGTCCTTGCTCTTCTTCTTTCCCTTATTTGTTTGTTTGTTTTGATTGATCGTCATATGAGGTCATACCAAGTTATCTAGTTATCTTCATCATCCCCATCTTGTGGGGGTATGCCGACTACCTGTCTACAGTCTACCTACCTAAGCGCCTGAATCAAGTATTTATTGTTACGTTACATTATAATGACCTCGATAGCCAAGCTAATTTAATATTCATCGAGATCGATGGAGGGAGAGAGAAAGGGGAAAACGGCAGGAAATTTGTTACGATGCTTTTTTTATCTGTGTGTGCAAGTCATTTCTTCTTAATTTATCTTATCCTGTCCTATCCACATTCTAACGAGGTTTCTTGTGTTTAGTTCGTTAGGTACCTAGGTAGTTAACTATATGTCCTTCCTTACTTCCTTCTTTCCTTCCCAAAACATGACAACACAGCATACCGTACACCATTTATGATCGTGGATCGTGGATCGTGGATTGGCATGAACATCGGACATCACGATTCAGGGTTATTTATTTGTGGGCTAGAAAGGTGGGGGGGGAAAGACTGTCAGTTTTGGGCTCAGACTTTACTTATTATACTGGGCGACTTACGGATTCCCTCCTCAGGAACGGGCTCGACGCCAACCACCTCCGCCGCAAGAGGCTTCTCTTCCTTCTTGTCCTTGTCCTCCTTCATGAACGGGAAGGCAAGGACCTCCTTAATACTGTAGTTGTCCGTCAGGAACATGACCAGACGGTCAATGCCCATACCCCAGCCTCCCGTAGGAGGCAGACCGTATTCCAGACTGGTGCAGAAGTTCTCGTCAATCAGCTGCGCCTCGTCGTCACCCTGGGACTTCTGGCGGGCCTGCTCCTCGAAGCGCAGACGCTGGTCGAACGGGTCGTTCAACTCCGTGTACGCGTTGACGATCTCCTTCTTGCAGACGAACGCCTCGAATCGCTCGCAGAGACCGACGTGCTTGCGGTGGTACTTGGCCAGCGGGGACATCATCTGAGGATGTCCCGTGATGAAAGTCGGGTTGATGCAGGTCTCCTCGATGAACTCGCCGACGAGCTTGTCGAGCATTCTCGCGTTGGTCAGCGGAGGTGGGCACTCCACTCCGGTCTTCTTCAGCAGGTTCTTGAGGAACTCGTGGGCCTCCTCCGTGTGCAGCTTGTCTCCAGGAGGGAACTTCTCTCCCGTGGCCTCCTCGAGGGCCGGGATCATCTCAACCCGTCTCCACGGCGCCTTCCAGTTGATAGTGTAGACCTCGCCGGATTGCGTGTGGAAGGTGGTCTCGTATCCACCCGTAATGTGCTTGACCAGGCCAGAGATAAGCTCCTCGGTGAGGTTCATGACATCGTACACGTCGGCGTAGGCCCAGTAGAACTCGCAGGTCGTGAACTCCGGGTTGTGGGTAAGGTCGATGCCTTCGTTCCGGAACTGGCGACCAAGTTCGTACACACGCTCCAGACCACCAACGATCAGCATCTTCAGGTACAGCTCAGGCGCCACCCGCATATAGAGATCCATGTCCAGCTCGTTGTGGTGGGTAATGAAGGGCTTGGCCGTCGCGCCACCGGGGATGGCGTTCATCATGGGCGTCTCCACCTCGATGAAATCCCGGCTGTCGAAGAAGCGACGGATGTAGCTGACGATCTTGTGTCGGGTCACGAAGACATTGCGCGACTTGTCGTTCATGATCAAGTCGAGGTACCGCTGACGGTACCGCTGCTCCTGATCGCGCAGGCCGTAGTGCTCTGAAGGAATCGCGTGCAGGCAAGGCGCCAGCAGGACGACTTCGGTCGCGAAGATGGACAGTTCGCCATCGGGCCGGTTCTTGGGGTTACTGCGGCCGGGGAACCCGACGATACCGATGATATCTCCTCTCCGGAGGTGCTCATGCTGCGCTTCGAAGGGCACGTCGCTCTTCACGTTTTGCGCTTGGGCGACCACCTGGACCTTGACGCCCTCGGCGCGGATATCGTAGAAGATCAGCTTGGGACCTGACGCTCGCTTGGTGTAGATCCGCCCCGCGATCCGCACGGTCACATCTGGCTTCTGCTCTCCCTTGGCCAGCCCCTCGTATTCCTTGAGGAATTGCCGCAAGTCGTCGGTGACCTGGAACTTGTGTGGATAAGGATCGGGGTTCTTGGTTTCTCGCAACTTGTTGATTCGTGCGCTTCGGATTTCAAAATATTGCTAGAAGCGCAAATTTTCGCAAGTTAGCGATTGCACAAAAAATATCAGTAAAAACTTGAGATGAGAGAAACTCACATTCGGAGTGAGATTGCTTTCCTCCTCTTCCGCCGATACTTTCTTCTCCGGCTTCGGGGGCGCAGCAGCCTCCTTCTCCTTCTTCTTGGCTTCCTTCTCTCTCTGCTTCTGACGTCTCTTCAGTTCCGACTTGGACACCCTCTCGCCGGTGACCTCATCGAGGACCAAGTTGGCCATGGAGGCCTCAGCCTCCTTGACTGCGGCGGAATCCGTCATAGTCACTGTGATTTGATTTCGCGCTGGAACGTTCCTTCTTTTTTTCTTTTACCACAAAGTTTTTTTGGGTCCAGCGATTAATTAATTCCTCCTGGCGGAGAGGTGGCGCAGTTTGAATGGAAAAGTATGCAGCAGAAAAAGATGTGCGGGGAACGCGGTCACCGGAGGTTTGGTTTGGTCCCCTCCAGAACTTTTTCGGACATGAGTAAGGCGGCAAAGTCTGGGACGGCCATTCATTGGGTTTGGGGTCCTGCGAACGATATCGACAGTCTACGTCCTGGGAATACAAACCCCAGATTTAGTTTCGAAAATCGAAGGGAACTCCCATCCTAGATTTGCGTTCTTTTCTTTTCATGCAGAGAACAAGACATACTCTCTGTCGATCAACGTTTCGTATCTCGGCCTAGGGCTTAGGGCTTAGGGTAGCGAATGAGGGGCAACCCCGCCTTCAAAATCGTTCTTGGCATTTATCAGCAGGAACCGTGATGCTCACATTATTACTTCTACTACTAGTCTCAAGGTCCTAAAATTTCCTGCTTGATACAATTTCCCAAATAGTTCCGCCATTCCCAAATACCTGTAGCATACATAGTGTGCAGTCACGATGTCAGTCCGGTACTATGCTTGAACAATCAATCGTCTGAATCACATGAGAATTTCCTCTTCCAACTGATCCTGCTTAGATGCGCGATCACCGTTTTGGTCCAAACCTCTCCGGTTGTTGGCCCAGTCAGACTTGGAGCATAGTCTTGTTATCCTCGTCATGTAGGTTCATGCCAATGCCGAAAGTGAGCGAATAATCGTATTCTGTCTTCACATCGTCATCGTCTTCCTTTTTTCTGCTGCAAGCCACTCCTGAGCCTTGGTCAGCTTGGCCTTCTCCTTCACGAGGTATTGTCGGCGCCTTTGGCGTTCCGGGTCTTCGGCCATCAACTCCAGGCATCGCTCCATAGCTACAAAAGCGATAGTTATCGGTATATGATGCCAGGGAGATGGGAGATAAGCAGTACTTACCGTTCTCTTCGAGTATGCCAAGTTCTTTCTCAATGACCATGAACAGTTCGTCACGGCATCTCGAGAAGACCTTTATATGAACGCCCTGGCATATGGAATCAACGAAGCGCGAGCTGGCTACTTCATAGTAACCTCGAACGGTCTAGCAAGTCCTGTTAACTACTGACTCTCGTGAATCACAGCTACAGTAACATACCGCCATCATATCGATTTCTCTCTCGAATGGATCTGGTCCCATGTCTCTGTCACTCAGTTTGCGGACCTCGGCCTCTACTTTCTGCTGCTCCGAAGGTAGTCTTCCCTGAGATTCCAGGAAGCGGCGCGCCCTCACCTCCCGTCGACGAGCTTTGAGAGTTGCGGAGGCGTCTTCCTTCGCTCTCCTCATGTATGAAGTAGCCATCGTGAATGGCTTGTTGTACTCAAGTTGATAAAGTTCAAATGCTTGGGCAAAGTGATCCTCCCGGACTTCCGCCAGGAACTTCTCGATGATTCCCACAAGTTTTCCGTAAAGATCAGTCTGTTTGTATTGCGAAAAGACCCGTTCCACCTGCTCCAGGAGCGTATCCTTTGTCAGTTTATGGCTAACAGAAAGAAAGATCTTAAGAGGTTCAACCCAGTGCCGAACGGAAATCTGGTTCATAGTCTCGACTGCTTTTGGGTTGATCTCCTCCTGAATACCTGTGCTGATAGAGTCTTCGTTTATGCCGCGAATTTCTTCCAGCGGAAAGACCTTTGCAGCGGCTATGGTTTACAGGTTAGCTAAAATTGAATCTGATTTAAAGTCTTTTAGCACTTACATCTGAATTCGCTGAAATGGGAAGTGAAATAACACCTATTCTCGACAGAGGGTTGTGCCTGGACAGACGGTCGTGGCTTCACGTCAACAGGAGGCTTCACGTCCACAGGTGGCTTCCGCTTCAGCGTGCTCCGAATAGCTGTCAATTCACAGTCCGAGTCCCCAGCTCCCGGCTGCTGGGGAAAAGTTTCCGTTTCGGCCGACAGTTTCATGGTTGGACGTGTTTTCTTGATTGCGGCTTCAAAATCCTTTGCAATATTCACCCAGATCTTTTGCATAGGATGCTCCCTAGAGCCGCCATCGATATGAGCTCTGATATGAGACTTCAGGTCATGCAGTTTCGAACAGAGGATATACGGGAAGTTGGCCGATGGGGGTTCAGACAGCGTAAGGAGCTCATAGTCTATCTGCTCGGCTTTCTCGTTAATCTGGCTAATAACGAGAGGCAAGGACCTCTGGATCTGCTCTAGTAACAAGCCGGACAACGCTGTCTGCAGGTTTCGAGTCCCAAATCTTGCCTGAAAAGCCCCTAGTTTCGTCGTCCATGGAGGAGAAGCGAAAAATTGTCCTTCCTCTAGCCGGGCCTGTGAGTGTCCTACTGACGGGTCAGGATTATTACGGACAACGTAATAACCATGGCCAAGAGCGAACTTGTCGCCACTGAGGATTTCGATCCATTGCTGGAGAGCTTCGACACGGTCGGGTTTTGTCAGGACACCGAGCGTCCTTGACGTCGCATTCGCGATGTCTCTCACGATTCGTGATGCGCTCGAATTTGTTGCATCATCCGTCATAGGCAATGTCAGGAGCACGATACAGTTTTCCTGGGCGATATATTCTTTCACCAAGTTCTCGACCAATGTAACAAGATAACGTTCCTCCTCGAATTCCGCCTGGCTTATGACACCGGGCAGGTCATAGAACGACAAGTTAGGAAAACCTGGCGCAGAGATGTCAAGCCTGATGACATTCGGTGAAAATTTCACCTGGGTTTCCTTGGAGTAAATGTCTGGAATCCGATCCGGCTTGTAGTTTTCTGGGTCGTCTTTAGGATTCAGGATGGCGAGCTGGGCACACCTGAGCGCTTCCTGGACTTTTCCCCTGTCTGTCAACGTGATGAAGTCCACCTTGACCTGGTCCTGCTCTATCCAGGGGCCAAGAGGCTGGGATTTCCTGGGTAACTTTTTGACCTTTCTCTGTCCATCGTACATGTAGTTGAAACACAGGGAAATCTGACAGGTCCACTCGTGATTTGCCTCACTCTCTGACAAGTTGATTTCCAGAGGGCACCGCGTACAGGTACCCGCGCTACGCGGGACCTTGATCTCACTCATGCCTTCTATGAGTGAGCTCTTCCCAGTTGATTGATCTCCCACCACACAAATCTTTGGTAAAGCGATTCTGGAATCCTCGATCCCAAGATGGCGTAGGTCTCGCACCTTTCGGACTAACGTCTTCATATCATGAGCCATAAGCTCAAGGGAATCAGAGCCATGAGCGGGGAGCTGAGAAACATAAGGGCTTTCACGATGAGGGAGATTGAACGCAGAGCTCTTCTCCCGGAGAAGCACTGGAATTTCAGTCAGTTTGAATACCATTTTTTTCAAGCTTTGCATGTGCCTCACCTGCAGGTTCGAAGGACTGTCTCTGGTAAGAGATGGCCGGCCCCGTATTTGGAGGCATCGACAGTTGTCGCATGGTGGATGAATCTTGAGACGGCTAAAACTCTGACGAAATATTCTTCAACGAGTCCTTGTACACAGAAGATTAAAGACAATGGTAGAGGATGACAGCTATTAAGAGTGGCTGAGACGAGGGAACAAACTGACAGGTCTCACTGACACGAGTCTCTGCTGATAAGTTTGATGTAGAGAAAGATACAAAGGTAGAAAAGAATGAAATGAGATGAAGGATCTGAGATTGTAGAGATGGTATGTTGTGGGCAGGTGAAGGTAGTATTGTAGGTTGTTGTCTGGTGAAAGAAAAAGAAGTAAATGTAAACAAGGCAGGTAAGCAAAAGTCAAGTGAGTGAATGAGTGATCCATGCTCGTGTCACTTGCAAGACCAAGTCCCATGGCGACCATTCCCAAGGAATTTGTGGTGGAAGACTCCGTCGACGACAGCAGCGTGAACAAACACCTGCGTATAGCTACCCCCAAAATTGGCAGGAACAGGCCGGCAGTCTGTCCTGCACGCTCAGAGCTAACAAGCTACACCAAACGTTTCAATTGGCCCAAAGACAAACCAGGCTGGGTGAACTGTTTGGGTTTATTTTACTCTCAGGGATTTGTCCCTTAGAAGCCAGACATCTCAGGCGTTACAACACCAGGTGTGAGTCGCGTAATCCATTGAACTGTGCACACTAAGAGAGCTGGATAACGGCAACTGCCTTACGAGCAAAATTTCAGCTTCGCAATTATTCCCATAGAAGAATATAGCACCGCGAGGAATATACAGCTTGTGATTATTATATTAGTGGAGACGAATATTAATTTCTCTAGTAGTAAGTTTAACAGCCTAATCGAGCCATTAAGTGTCACCGGACTGCAGATTGTATGTACTCTGAAACACAACATACTATGCAGGCCAATTCTCTGCAAGTCCCTCTGCTGTCAACAGAATCGATCATTGGAATTGCGTAGACTGCGAACGGAATAGGTGAGAGCAGCCCTGCTGTTGCAGGGCTTACTCCAGAGTACTGTATGAATGCGGTGAAGAATCGAAGGGCATGCATGGGCTTGCCCCGATGCGGGAGCTTGTTGTGCAACATAGCCAGCGGGGTCCCTGAACGTCTCAAAATTAGGACTGACCGCCTAGACCGGCTGCGTGGCAATCCTTAGGAAACAACACGCTGGAGGGCAAACTTTCGCTAAATCCTCCTGCTGTCCCTTTCCTTCAATTCTTTGATTCGATCTGCGCTGCGAGGACTCTGCATTCAGGAGGATTATTCCGCGAGAGCATTGCTATAACTACCTTCTCCAGATTGTTTACTTTAACTGCGCCAGTTAATTATCTCCGCCCCAAGGATGCTCCAGGTTCCGCATCGGGAACACAACCTGGCCTCGACCAAGGCCGTGATTTTGGTAAGCTCAGCTCGACCTCTTTCGCCTCAGCTGCGACGACTGTCTGCTCACAGGAAGATCCCCGTCTAGGTCGGTGGTCCTTCCAGAGGAACTCGTTTCAGGCCTCTGTCGCTTGATATTCCCAAGGTGCGTTCTCGCCGCCCGCAACATACCCCTGACCCGCCCCGCATTGGATATTTCGATCGCTGAACGTACGATCATTGTCTAGCCTCTCTTTGAAGTCGCCGGCCATCCAATCATCTGGCACGCCCTCAAGGCCCTTGCGAAAGTCCCTGGACTCCGAGAAGTCTACCTGGTCGGCTACTACGACGAGATCGTCTTCCGAGACTTCATCAAGGACTCCCACAAGGAGTTTCCCCATCTGCGCATCCAATACCTACGAGAGTACCAGGCACTCGGCACCGCTGGCGGTCTGTACCATTTCCGCGATGCTATTCTGAAGGGCAAACCGGAGCGCTTCTTCGTGCTCAATGCCGACGTGTGCTGCTCGTTCCCCCTCCTTGAGATGCTGAAGCTGTTCGAAGAGAAGGATGCGGAGGCCGTCATCCTGGGAACGAGAGTCAGCAACGAGGCTGCGACCAACTTTGGTTGCATTGTGTCCGACTCGCACACCAAGCGTGTTCTGCACTACGTCGAGAAGCCCGAGTCCCACATCTCGAACCTGATCAACTGCGGTGTATACCTGTTTGCGACAGAATGCATCTTCCCTTCCATCCGCAGCGCGATCAAGCGACGCACCACTCGCCCCCGCCTTGTCTCCTACCCGTCGTCGGAGAATCTCGAGTCGTCGTTTGTGGCAGAGCAGGAGGAGGATGCTGAGAAGCCCGAGGTGCTGCGCTTGGAGCAGGACATCCTCTCCGATCTCGCCGACAGCAACCGATTCTTCGTCCACGAGACCAAGGACTTCTGGCGGCAGATCAAGACCGCTGGCTCTGCCGTGCCCGCCAACGCCCTCTATCTCCAGAAAGCGTTCCAGGCGCAGTCGGATGAACTCACTCCCCCGTCGGCGTCCATTGTGCCGCCGGTCTACATCCACCCCACCGCGACGGTCGACCCAACCGCGAAGCTGGGCCCCAATGTCTCCATTGGCCCTCGCGCCGTGATCGGGGCGGGAGCCCGGGTCAAAGAGTCGATCGTTCTCGAAGACGCCGAAATCAAGCACGACGCCTGCGTGTTGTACTCCATCATCGGCTGGAGCAGCCGTGTGGGAGCCTGGGCTCGTGTAGAGGGTTCTCCAACGCCAGTGGGGAGCCACTCTACGAGCATCATCAAGAACGGCGTCAAGGTGCAGAGCATCACGATCTTGGGAAAAGAGTGCGTCGTCGGAGACGAGGTGCGAGTACAGAACTGTGTTTGCTTGCCGTACAAGGAGTTGAAGAGGGTGAGCTTGTCTAACCCATCCACCCTGTCTACGATCTACTAACTTCTCATTCAATTAGGATGTCGCCAATGAAGTCATTATGTAATTCGTCGATGACATACGGAATATATCTCTGCTGAGATTAGCCTTTTTTTTCTTTTTTAGACTTGTGGTTGAATTTGTATGACGACCCATATTTCCCATCCTAGCAAGCTCCTCCCACATCATGTTCCATCAGCGTAGTTTTCTTCGCTATTTGGATATATAATCTATAAAAAAAGAATTTTTTTCCCCCTTTCAGCGGGTGACTGTTGGTTTTTTTTTCTTATTATTATTATTATTTTTTTTTCTGTGGCATGATGCTTGGGTAGGTAGCTTCCTTCCTGTCCACGTTATCCATACACAGTGTCATAAATATACACAAAACGCATGGCTAGGTCCATAATATGATATATCCTATATCCTATATCCCATCACCACGTCCGTGTCCACATCCATGTCCTCTATAACTACCTAGTCATCATTGATTGACAGCAAAAACAAAAAGGCAAAAAGGAGAAACTACCCATCGATGCGAGCCCTCGTGATGAACAAAGCAGATAACACCGCCAACGCCAATCCCGGGAAAAAAAAGCTGAGGTCCGAAAAATTTTTTTACCCCCTTATGTGGCCATCCAATTGCAGAGGGAGAGATTCCGCTGGAATCCCTATAGAATGAATGGTGGGGGGTAATAAAATCTCCATGGAAAAAAAAAGCCAGAACACTTGAGCAAAGAACGCCTGGCATTACAATCATGAGGTTCAACCAAAAAAAAGGTGCAGTAAATATGAACAACAGAGACATCGCGAGAGAAATTCAGAGCCGGACGTATTTCTGCACATCACGAAGGAACAAAACAATCCACAGGTTATCGTTTACCGGTAATTACCCGGGTCGTAGTGTGTCTGTTCTGGAGGAGCACTGTAGCCGCGCAGATCGTCCATTCTCGTCCTTAATGGCGAGTAGTGAGGAGGAGGCGCGTAGCTCCCACCGACAGCGGGGACGTTGTCGTAGTACTCCTGCGCCTCACCGGCGTGGTGCTGCTCCAAGACATCATTGTCGCGGTACGGACTGCTGGAATACGGATTCGAGTATCCCGTCTGGTTATAGCCATAGTAGCGCTGCTGCTCCTGAGGACGGACCGTGCCGAAGGCATTGTATGCATCCGTGGCCGGGTCGTTGGGGTTGGAGGGGACGCCAGAAGCGAGGCTGCTCCGCTGGTCGAGCTTGACGTCCGCGAGCATGGTTTCGCTGCCCATGGCATTGTAATCGCCCCTGTTGTACTGGTTCTTGCGGGCGGCGACATCGACAAAGATGGCGGCCAGCTGCGAGACGAACGCAACGACGACGAACGAGAACAAGGTCTTGTAAATCCGACAGACCATGATTCCCGTGGCGGTGCCCCAGTGGGTCGTGTCACACGTGGTCGTTAGCGTCCCCGACATGCTCCAGCCCAAGAGGCCCAGAGACACAATCCAGATCAGGAAGAGGCCCGTATTGAAGGCGAGGGCCAGCGTCGGGGAGAGGCTGCCACAGCAGTAGAGCGCGCCCGTGAACGCGAGATTGAGGAAGGTCAGGAAACACGTCACCATGATCTGCAGGAGAATCGTCAGCCGGGCAAAGGGAAAAAAAAAAGAGGCCATTGATCCCGAGTTAAGATACTGTACGTACCACAATAAACGTAAAAGGCAGTTTGAAGTTATCTTGATGCAGATGGTACGCGAAATAGATCATGATGATCGCCACAATGAGGGTTGCAATAAAGCTGAATGCTCTGACGACATGAAAAGCCCCCGGCGAGTAGGGAGATGGAAGCGTCCTTGCGGTCCTCATCTTGACGTGGGTGGTCGTGTATTGCCTACCAGTCAAAAGAGGTGTGTAATTCTTTCTTTTTTTCGTATCAACGGATCGGTGTAACCCTCGCCAGAGGGTGATGATTGCC